ATACATATTAAATAGTCGTTTATGTTTCATTGATCGCAGTCTCTTCTACATTACTCTTTGAGATTTTCTCTAGATTCAGTTATCTGTTTCATGGTTCAAAGATGAAAAGTCATTCTCAAATTTTCTTGAAATTTTTACTGTACATTTCCCTTGACTTACCAAGCTTCAAGTAGTCAAAATGTTAAAATTATTACCTATCAATTGTTAGTTCAGAGTTTCAATTTTAAGCTCAATGTGCTAGAATTGACAACATTTCAATGACTGTAGACATAAAGGGATAATTAGGATACAAGGTAAAAATTGGCTGATAATTTAATAAGCTTAAGTTTATGATCTGAATTTAAGTTAATTATTAAGCCAATAATTTCAGTTTATTAGATTAGATAATTGTTTTTACTCATCTTCATTGGCCTTTATTTGATTCTTTTACATTTCTTGCACTCTTTTTAACAAAATTGTTTCTTGCCCTATCTTTCACTATTTGTGACTTGTTATCATTCCTATTGTAATAACCTTAATAACATCAAAACTCCCTATTTATTACATTTAATGTTACTTTTTATTTAGCGAATCAACTGTTGTTCCTTAGGTGAGTAAGTAATTTTATAAGATTTTACCTTTTCTTCATTCTTACCTGATAAATTTCCTTTACAGTAAAAATACATTTAAGACGTTACTTGGTTATTGTTACTGTTTACGAGTTTTCTATTCCTATTTTGTCTTCAGATTGAGTTCAAGAAAGTTCATAGGAATTGTGGTAAGTGAATAAAAGAAAGAAAGTAAAATAAACTTCTTCAGCCAGTCAATTGGAGCAATTTTCGTCTGCAAATTGTGTTTATTTGTTATCATATAATTCAGTTGAGTTGCTGAAAAGATGATGATTGCAACCAATCAATTTGACCAAGTTACTCACATAAACACAGCTTTAATGTGATAAAAACTTAAGCAGATTAAAAATGCCATGAAAGTCAAACATTATGTTGACATGTGAAGGAATTAAATACCAATTACAATGAAACTATTCTCATCCTTTGCTTACCAACATTTTGCTGTGGATTAAAGCCCGTATAAAGAGATTTATTTTCAAATCTTTCATCAGGTAAAAATAACTTTTCATGTTTTAATTATTTACATGACTAACAACTTTATTTTTCATATTTTTTCAGGTATTTATCAGGTTACACGTTTGATCGATTGATTTGAACCATCAATAGGAAATAATTTGCGCATATTAATCCAATTTCTTGGGCGTCTTTAATCGACAAGTCTATAAGGAGAAACTAAGGAAATTGGGAGAAATTTTGCAATTTTCCAATACATTGGAAGGTGACTAGAAAATAGGACTTTTATCTGACGATAAAACAAAAGTTCATTTCTATTAATTGTTACTTTTTTACCAAGAGTTTAGATTACTTGTATACATGGAATTGGAAAGATTGTATTTTTGTTCTTTGCATGTTTTATTACAAAGCTGCCTTTCCTAATCGTCTACATTTGGATTGCATTGAAAGTATTTTGATATTGACAATATTTCCATGAACGGTAAACAAAATGTTTTTTTAAGTTACAGAAATTTTGACCTTTTTTTTCTTTTAGATTAACATGTAAAGACTAGAGAAAGAAAACAATGATCGAAGATTACAGTATATCTCGATGTTCAATAGATAATTACAATTATGCTGATTATTCAAATGGTTCACAAATTAAAGGGACAGAAAGAAATGTTTGCATATTCTATGATCAACTACCCCTTGAAGCTAACAATGTGTCGCAGTGTTCCTTGGCTTTGCGTCGTAGTTCGTTAACACTGCTGAAAGCTGTGATTGTTGGTGTTGTTGAGGATGAAGTTGATGGATTAATGATTGCCACTGGTGTTATTGATGAAGATGTTGGCGTTGAACTTGGCTGATTTGATGCACCTGTTTGCGCTGCTGGAATTGGTGGAGTCAAAGAAGGTTGACCTGATCCTGGTGATACTTCTAGACGGTATTTGACTTTATTATCGGCTATTGTTGAGCTAAGTGTGTCAGTTGGACTAGTTGGTGAAGACATTGATCCAATGGTTGAACCCAAATTGGAGCCATTGATAGAATCCGTTGGAGGACAACAGCCACACATACCTGTGTGAAAAGAGTTGATAAAAAGATTAGCTCGATCTATTTTAATGCGAATTGGTTTGTTTGTCCGTAAGTATGAGTGATATTTAATTTCTTCATGACTAACAGTCTAATAAAATTGTTAATAATCTAATTTTTTTCTCTTTTATTCACAGATAATAGTCTCAAAGATTGGATTTGCTATAAGTGAAGAGTAACTCATGATGAAGTTGGAAAAGAAGCAAAGGAATGAATTGGACAATGATTATTGCCATGATCATGTCAATGAATTTCAATTAACGCAAGACTTTCAGAGGGAACATTTAACTTGATTACAATTCAATCTATCTCCTAATTGATTTTACCTTTTTAAAGGTAATCCTAATCATATTGAGCTATCAAGAAAGACAAAGAATCAAGACAAGAAAAGGGAGAAATAAAAGAAAGTCGCAAAAGAAATAAAACTAAATTATTGAGGCAATTTAGCCCAAAGTAGCGAAAGGTAAGATAATTGTTAAAAAAGAGAGGAGAAAGACAAATGTTTCCTATTAAATAAATTACCTAAAATTGATCTAATCTATCTCATTAATGATAACAACTAATTAATAGCAATTAAAAGCAACTAAATTAACCAACTAAACAAGTAACAAGCAATGTAAACCATGCGCAATTTTTATTCATCTCAAACTGTAACACTTGTTCAATATTGCCAGGTTAAAATTAATTTAACATTTGTCATCCTTCATCTTCAGGCTTCTTTCAGATTATCAATTTACCTTTGTCTATCTTCATAATCATTTTCACTCCCATATTTGTCTTTCAACAAATCTCTTTCTCTTCTTTCCTCCTTTTTTAGACTATAACACGGCAAAGGAACCTGACGATAGATGGAGCTTGGCAATTTTACCTTGCTATTTATAGGCTTTTCCAATGATAGCTAACAATGGATCTGGTACAATCAACTAACCAATTAATCATTAGAGTTGACTTCATCTCCATAATCATCATCTTAGGCTTCATCTCAATAGTTAACTGGTTAATCATTATTATTCATGCAATCATGGTGAGTATTTATCAATTTAGTTTTGACTCTTTCTCTTGCGCCTTATCAAATGACAAATGTCATTTGATGAGAGATGTTGATTAAATTAACTGAAGAAATGCTTACCTTTGAAATTAGCTGATGAATAGGCAGCCAATTGTTGCGAGATTAGCATTGGATGGTATGCTGAAAGTAGATGGGGAAACCTAAAATGCAAATGATGAGGATGAAAATAAAACGGTACAAGATTTTTTTGTTAGTCAATTAGAAGCAAGTTTTTATCATTTGAAGGGTTGCATTTTAATTGTCAATAAAAGCATCAGTCAATTTGAATGAGTGAAACAAAAAAAATTAATGAGATGAAACTGAAATAAAGGTTAAATCATAGGCTTGAAATGGATAAATTGATTAAATAGCTAGAAATCAAATCGCTTAGCAATTGAAAAAATAACCTCATTGACAAATGCAAATTTTGAAAAATTGGATTTTAATAGTACTAAATTTAAGTGCTTTTTTATTCGTAGGTAAATTATATTGATTGGATTAATTAATAGTTTAATCACCTTTCAAAAACTAAAGGAGACATCAATGGATATCGAAAATTTGGTAAAGACGGTGACATTCCTAACGATGGACGCCACAACGAGTGATCAAAATGAGAAGCCATTTTGCTGATTAACGGTGAAGCCAATGCTAAATCTTTGGATGATGGTGAAGTGGTTGGAGTTGTCGAGGACAAAGATGAAGTGAGGGGCAATTTTTGCTCTGAACTTGAGGTTATTGGTGGTCCAGCTGATGAATTTGGTGACGCTATCATTGATGCTGGTGTAGTTATGGATGAAATTGACATAGATACTGAAGGTGTAACTGTTGTCGCTGTATTTGTCAATGTTGAGGCTGCATGCGATGAAGAAGAAGAGGAGGAGGAGGAGGATAACGAAGATAATGATAATGAGGCGGCTGATAGCGACGAGGAGGATGAAGAAGATGATAAAACTGGAGATGATGAGGAAAATAATAGTGAAGTTGTCATATTATTGTTTATTATAGGTTTAACAAGCCTTGAGGAAAGTTGCTGTTGGTGATGATGATGGTTAAGATGATTGAGGTGATTAAGATGATTAAGATGGTTAAGGTGTTGGTTAAGGTGATTATCAGTGGGTGAATTAAGGTGAACTGCATTAAGGATTGATTCTTCTGGATTGTATGAGCCTTTTGATTGGACTGCTGAAACAGTTATTATATTATTTGATGAAGAATCACTCATATCTAAATTTTCATCATCATCCTCATCATCATCTGGACAAGCTGAATCGGGACGATCAATAATGTTTATATCATCACATTTAGGAGATCCATTGATGGACAAATCAACACTATCAACACCACTTTTATCTCGATCTTCCTTCTCTTTACGAAGCCTTTCCGCTTTCCGCCATTTGGCTCTTCTGTTTTGAAACCAAACCTGGATCAAAAATGATGTAAAGTTAATTTTAACTATCAATTGTTTAATTTTGGCAACAATTGAAGGATCAGAATGAACATGTTAACTCAAATTGGCTCATCTTTCATCGATAAACTTTGATTATTTATCCTGTCAATGTGAACCCTATTTGGAGTGATAATTCAATCTACTTTGAAAACTGTTTATCAAATTGATTATTGCCGATGATAACTATTTGGTGAAAAATGGACAAGTTAAGTTAATTTAGTTTTTTTAGCCAACCATTTGTGTTTACAGAAATGTCTTCTCTCATTTGTACCATTTGCAGTTAATGACAAATGTCAAGTTTCTTAGCAAGTCAAGTCTGTCTTTCATTTTCTATTCTTTCTCTTCTTCAGGTTACAGTCTACTTTTGATATACACACACAATAAGGAATATATAAATTAAATTTTGAATCAAATCGAGATGAAATTGGGAGAATCAAATGGAAAGAGGATGAAAAATGAAGAGACTCAAGTAACAAGTGAGTTAACACAAAACGTCAATTTTGAGGCAAAATGAAATAAGTAGTAAATATATTTACAGCCCAAAATAAGTTTCTATCAATTTCATTGTGTTAAATGTATTTTTCAAGACGTTTGGCTTTTCCATTCAATCATAAATAAGAAGAAAAAAGGAAGAAAAAGAAGGTAAATTGAATGAAAAAAGAAAACTTTCTTCCACATCTTCATCATCTTGTTCCTCTTTCTATCTTCTCTATCTTCCCTGTCTTCCCTTAAGTAATGTACAAAATCCAATAAAGTTACCTAATCGAATGAGATTTGTGAGCAAAACTCAAATCCAATCAATCAACCTTATCCAAAATTCATACAACACTTTCAACAATAACATGTTAAATCAAATAGGAAGATAGCCAATGGAAAGATGAAACAAATGAAGAAAGATTAATAGTTAGAGGAGAGACAGATGATGAAAAAAGTGATTCTTGCCTTGAGCTGAATTAATTGATTCAGTTGCATGATTCATTCACTTTACCATTTTCAACCATTGCATGATAACACTTTTTAACTACTGTATTAGCACCAACTGATTCACACAGAAGCATAACAAAGCAAATCATTCTAATTCTCGAGATAATTTGCTAATAAAAATAATCAGTTATTCTGGTGAAATCAAATTAATTACTTTGTAAATTAAGATTGAAAACTTGATGAGAATGCAAGAGATGCAAACAAGTTCGAAAAGCTTTCTTTTCTCTCAATGAAATGAAAAAGTACATTTAACAGATGATTGTTTAATTTTTTTGATACTTCATTAAGACAATTATAATCTTAACATTTTTACATTAACCATTTCAGATTTTATTGTCAATCTTTGGTCATTGGATTTGGATGGTTACAATAAACTAAAGATGAACCTTAAACCAACATTAAATTGTCCATCGATGTAACACCAACTGAAATGAAACATCTACAATTCCCAAGCGAGTAAAGTATTCAATTGCTATTCAATAAATAAAAAGATGGTGAATTAACAATAAAACCAGGAAAAAGACAAAGTTGCTGACCCAACACATGATATAGTACCAAGTCTCTTCGTCCGGCCAAGAAAATGCTGATGGAAATTGTTTGAATCAAATTCCAACATAATTTGATTCAATGTTTATCTATTTTAAAACTCTGAAACCTTTTGAAACAAAAAATCGATTCATAACTCAACCCAGAAGGAATAGAAAGCAAAATTCACACCAAAATCCAGCACAATTCATTGTTAATTGATTTTGGACTATTCAACTGGATACTCATGTTTCGTACAATATTAAAGATATTTGTTTCAAATTCAGTAATAATTTCATCAGTATTTTAGATCATTGAAAAGCTGGTTTGGTGATATTGAAACAAAATTGTGATCAACTTAACTGGATTAACTGCTGTTGATTATATTTTCATGACAAAAATGACTGATCTAATTTAACTTACGTCTAATGGTAAAGGTTATCTAATTTAACAGTGAAAAACATTGAAATGGCCAAAATGATAATGAAAGGGCAAAAGACAGTGAATCAAATTAAATTGATGGATCGCTATCAACTATTGGTTAACATTGCAATTAAATATTTAAATTGTTGGAAGTGTATTTACATGAAAGTAAATTAAATCAAGATACAAAGATGAATATATAAATATTCATCTTAATGGTTCAATGAAGTTAAATGTGATTCCAAGTGAAATCTACAAAGTTTACTTTAACTTACAAATTGAAATTGAAATTGAAATGGTAAAATTTGGGAAAGCAATTGAAAAACATGACTTGGTCAGTTGATTAATTATTAATCTTGAATTGACACTATTCCTTTCAATAATTAATTGATAAGCAAATAAAATGCTATTTAAGTTATTCAAATTGTATCATTTCATCTTTTTTTTGTATTGAAGTAAATGTTATTTTGTTTAACATGCATTTTGAAGCAATATTTTTAGTCTTTTCTTGTTATTTACCATTAATTTAATTATGCAATTTGTTTGATTTGAACTTTACGAATTAATTGTTCCGAATTGTTAATTGGTAAAATCGGTTTAATTGGGTAAAGGAAAGGTAAATTGGGTTAATAATGTTAATGTAAATGGTAAATTGAATTGGTACAAATGAATGAAGATGCAAAAGCAAAAATGAAATTAAGAGTGAAACTTGAAAAGATGTGAAAAGGTAACCTGAGAAGATTTAGATTATTATTGTGATTACTATTACAATTTAACAATATTATTATTGTTATTATTAAGTTTAAAGATTAAATTGTGACAACATAATACAGCAAATGGGAATGAAATACAAAAAAAGGTCTGAATTTATAAAAATATCTCAAATGACGAAAGTGGAAGTAGTTATTATTATTATTTGTGTTGGTGAATTGAAAGATAAAAATGGCAATCCAATATTATTATTGTCACAATCTAATCAGGATTAACCATCAATTTGCTGTTAACTAGATTATCCAATTGGGATGAGTAAAAGGATTTAAAAATATAAAAAGAAGCAACAAGAGAAAGATGAAAAGGATGATAAGCAACTGAATAAAGCAAATTTTTCTTCATTCATTGAATTGTCTTCCAGGTTAGATAGGAATACTAGGTGTATAAGCTTTATACCTGTTAACTTACTGTAAATGAAAACAAATTGTTCATTCTTTGATCTTCATCATTCATTTTACTTTAATCAGAATCAATTTGATACTTGAATTTGGCGGTTAAACTAAAATATGGCGATGCATCAAGGATTATAATATATGGGATTACAGTTGTACTTTTGAGAGAACCAAATAATTCTGATTTGAATTGAATAGATTGGGACTAACCTGTACTCTGGCTTCCGTCAAGCTGATCTTCATTGCAAGATCTTCTCGTGTAAAAACATCCGGATAATGAGTTTGGGCGAAAGCCTTCTCGAGCTCTTCCAATTGTTGAACAGTAAATGTGGTTCGATTCCTTCTCTGTTTACGCCGGACAAAAGCATCTTCTTGTAATTCACTTGAATATCCACTGTAATTTGGATCTAAGACCATGATGTTGATAAATAAAGAAACGGAAGATGAGAAACATTGTGTTTGATATTGCCTGTCAATCAACTGTCTGAATGAGACAATTGAAATATGTTTTTAAAATAAAAGACTTTTCTGGTATACAATCAGTGTTACATTGAGCTGAGAATGTTGAAAGCAAATCAAACGATTCTCAAGTAAACTTATCTAAGAAGCTGCCATAATTAACAGTAAATAATCTGTTATCAAATTGAAACTGACAATACAAGATGTAAGTGTAAACATATCAGTGATATACAACATTTTGAAAGTAAAGGCTGAAAATTGATACGATGTTGGGGAAAAGTCTTTCTTTTTTACGTTTGCTATCGATGTTGGAATCTATTACTTTACAACATTTCTTGAAATCCTGAGTCAGATTGATGACATGATGGTTGACAGGATAAAAAATTTACTAAAGAGTTAAATAGTTAAAGGGGAAAGTAAGAAAAAGGCGAAAAACATGAAAACAGAAACTCACAATGTGATGGCTGAGAGAAGAGAGGAAACGATGAAATGTTACTCGGATTTGGTCCATGAGGATGGTGATGAGCATGATGTCCGATTCCAGAGGTTATTGAACAATGAGGATAACAAAACATTAAAATTGCCGTTTGTTGGTTGTCTCGTTAATTATAATGGAAACACGAAACAAAAGTTAACTCATTTGCGATTCAAAAAACACACGAAAACAAGACTAAAAAAATTTACCACCAGAGGTTAGCATAGTCCAACAGAGAGACAAGTGTGTGACTTAACAAAAAGGTAAGATATTTGGCAATATTAAGTAACCTTTTAATTACTTATTATAATTGTGATGAATAACTAATTGTTGTTTTATTTTTACCTTAACAGTGTACAAGGATGTAAAAGATATACAAACAAGGATCCGAGGAGAAACATATAAACTAGATGTTGGTGCGATTGTAACAATAGCGAGGTGATGTTATCAAGTGAATAGATAAAATCAACAGCTCTTACCAAGTCAATCGGTGTTGCTATTTGTTATCATTATTATTATTATCTCCTTATAGGGTTTGGACCAGGTCTTTTCATCTTCATCTTTCAGTGTATCTCTCTTGGCATCATCATTATCATCATCTTCATCATCTCTTGAGTCAATATTCACTAATGCAAGGCGATTATGCGCATCACATTTAATAGTGAATTGATTTAATGGTTCACCAAGGTTTATCATTGGTTATTATGGAGGAGCATGAGCATGTAACTGAATTCACTCCCAGTTACTTCTTTATTTTAATCAATTCTAATCATTATAATCTTCTTGTTTTTTTATTGCTATTATAATAGCAATGATAATAACAAGAAATATATATAATGATAATGTATTGACACTGGTAAAACTGAATATCACTTTAGATTTCACCTTAAGGCCATTATTTAATCTGTAAACTATTGATTATCTCATTATTATTGACTTTCAGTGCTTTACTTTTTTCTTACCCTCTCTGTCAACCAATTCAATTGTCTTAAGTATTACCATTTTCCTAATATAATTTTGATTGTTTTGATGAAAGTTAATGTTAAATTGGTTTTTGTCCAATTTAAATAGCAAGTCAACTCAAAATTACAACAATCTTTCAATAATTTACCAAATTTTTCAATGTGATTTTGTTTAACTCCATCATTTGTATTTCAAGGGAGAAACACACATAAAATACAAAATGATTGAAATTAAATTGTTAGAAGTAATTGATTATTGCCTTGAGTTGTCTCACATTCAACTATTATTGAAGCTTGTTGAACAATAATTTGAATACAACTGTTAATATTGAATAACTTTATTCACAATACAATGCTAAAGGCAATGTTCGTGTTCAATCTAGATTAACATGTAACAAATTGTGATCATTAATGATCTATCATATTATATAAGGTGATAATCTAAGTCTATTAATTACAATGAAACGTGATAAAATCATTTCCTATTAGCATACATTTTACCAAGAAGTACTGATCAGTGTACTAATCTTGCTGATTTTGTTTTCACTAATATATTCAGCTTGGACCATTTGCTTAACCAGGACAATTAGAGTTGATCATTAGATGAACTTCATAAGCTTTTAAAGCAAAGTGTGAAAAAGGTAAAATCAATTTGGGTTCAAGTTGGTTTGATTTGTTTGAAAGGTTGACCAGAAAGATTTGATGAAGTTGCAGTTTAATTGTAAATTGATATCCAATCTGGTTTAGTTTTTTGTTTTATTATATTGATATTGCATCAATGATATTGATCAACTAATAATTTCATTTCTCCTGTTTTATTGCTCATCCAAAATTATATTTAACATTATTTTGTTTGCGTTTTCACCTAAAAGCTTTTCAGTAAATCGTATTAACTGTTAAGCTTAAAATAAGCTTAACACTTTTCAGGGTGAAATATGATCTTCATCAAATGATAAGGTGATATTTTGCCTTTGAGATAATCATAATTTAATAATAATTGAATAACCTCAATTTTGCCGTGAAACCTCATCATGGAAAAGTGATCAAAATGAAAATGAAAAATCAAATATTTCTTGACCGAACCCATTGAAATGCATTTTAATCATTTGTCATAATTTTTCAATTAACTCATCTTCCCAGTGATTATGTTAATTCATTTTGATTTCAAATGAAGAGTCAAACAAATGCTTGAGGCACATTTAAATTGGACTCAATTAAACTTGGTGAATTAATCATTTGGACAATTAACATTTTTAATGTCTATCTTCATCTGATTAAAATTGTTTAATCTTTTACTCTCAAGTGTTTAAATTGTCTATTCAACACTTTATATTGAATCAATACATTTTTACCAATTCTTATAATCAAATAGCAACTCATTTGTAAGAGCAACAACAATTTGATACAAAATGGGACAATTCCCTGGATAACCAACAATCATTTAACAATCAAACATTTGGTTCGCTTGGGATTGACTCTCTGTTGGAAAGGTGAATACAAATGAATTATTGTAACTCGGGAAATGTAAAATGATTTAACCATTTATCACCAAAAAATGAAGTAATTGTATTTAAAGTAAAGAAAAAATTTTCATTAATCTATGCTAATTAACCTCTTCTTGATGATTAAATGATATTAAGCCTTACTATTGGAAATATTGGCTGCTTTGATCATATGAGATCAATTGGATCATCGAAAATGGCTATTGAATAGGAAATCTTGGGTTTTTTGGGTTTTACTTTAAGATTATTTCAAGTCATTTAAGGGTTTGATTAATTTTTGCTTTATTTTATTTTACCTTTTTTTTGATTAAAGTTTAATACCTGTGAGAGTTTGTAAAACATATAATAATTGAAAAGGTTGACTTGATTGTTGAAACAAATCATTTAAGTGTATGATTAGGAGACGGCTTTTGATTCTAATTGGAGTCACTGTATGTTAATTTTCACCTTTTTTTACCTTCATTTAAATGAGAAAAAAAATTAACTCAAAATATATTTTGATAATTATTTTTATCATTTCAACCAACATGGCAATTTCATGATGAGTGAGAAATAATTATTCAATTTTAACTGTTTGATTGAAGACTGAGTTTAGGAAAGTTTTAAATTAAAACTGGGAATCAAGTGAAAAAATGAGGAAAAAAATGATGAAATAAAATGTTCAAATTAATGATAATGTTAATTAACTTTACCCTGCAACCAATTAACTATTGTCATATTTAAGTTGAACACACAATTAATTGTTACCAATTAAAATGTTGCAAAGGATAAAACAGGAAAAATAATAATTAAAAGTTATTACAATTGTGAAATGGGTTTCAATGTTAGTCAAAAGTGTTGTGATTCCATTGATTCAAACAGATTATCGTCTTTTCCAGGTGAATCCTGGTTGATGGGTAATGATTGAAGTACGGAGACGAAAGAGAGAAAATTTAAATTGAATATTGAACTAGATTCAGGGGATTTTAAAGAATCATCAGCTTATTATCTCATCAATGTGATCATAGTCATTATGAGGTGGTTAATGATGAAAAGATGTACTAATGGGAATAAGTAGATAGAAAAGGTTAGAAGCCAATAATCATTAGATTGATGAAATTTTGCTGCTTTTATGTATTTTGATTATGAGATGGAGGATGAAGATAATGGTGAGGGATGCTGTTGATTTTGCTGCTCCAGATGATTATCAAGTTTGAGTTAACAGTAATGATTTTATGATACGGTTAGGTGGTGAAGAGAAAGCCTCCAGTTAATTGAAAATGTCCGTTTTAAAGTCATTTAACATTACTGGATGATATTAAGGTTTAATTCCCTCCAGAGAAAGCAAGAATAAAAGATGTTCCTAACGTCATGATGATAGTTATGAAATATCTATCTGGATTATGACTATCGTTTTTTGGTGACTTTGTTAAGAGGAAGAGAGATGATAGGATGATGGTGATGATCTGCTCCACTTGGATGATCAGTGAAAATGGGATTCCAACTTGATATCTTTCAACGAGCTTTCATCTTAGTTGTTTTGTATGGTGAATGTGCCAAGGGAAGAGACAGAGAGTGGAGATGAAATGAATCTCATAGGATTTTGAGTCATTCTTTTGATATATATTTTGTTTTTTATATTTATGATACCTATTAAAGTGTATGATGAAAAGAAAGAAGAAAAAGTGATGATAAGTTAAAAGTGAAAACCTGTATTAAAATGAAGGGGAAAAGGAGAAAGGAAGAGAAATGTATTTACTTTTGGCTGGTACGGTTGATGAGTGCAGGTCATCCAGAGTAACGGAACAAATCCTTTCCTTCCTTGTGGATTCATAATTACCTTGTACCAAGATGATCATAACTAGCAAAATAATCACTATATCATTGTATTATGATAATGTTAACCCTATGTACTGGCTGGTGGGTTCACTTTCCATCCTCTTCTGTTTCTTAATAGCTCCTATTTTCATATTTTTAACAGTCAGCTTGGCATTTATGATGTTTTAATTCTCAATGATATTGACAAAAGAAAGTGATTTGAATAAATAAAATGTGAAAATGAGCAAAAATTTTGAAAATATCGGATACTCACATTGGCATGGCCTTTTGATCCTTGATCTTTGTCTTTGGTCTGATACAAAATTGATGTAGATGAAAAATTTTGCTGTGAAAGGGAACAAAATAAATGAAAGTTTGTCAAATTAATCTCACATTCATAAAGAAGATGGCAATTTGTAAAGACTTTTGATTATTTGAAATAAAATATTGTCTTTAATCCATTTTATTATTATGAGACGTTAACCTGTGAAAACAAGTAGGGTTAATCTTATCATTTCAGTGGATCGGCTAGCCACGACAGCTTTTAAGGCGCCCTCTACCCCTTAGGTGTTAATCAAAATCAGCCCCTAATCAAAACAATCAAAATTTTTGTCAGAAAAGTGAAATTAGCGAATCAACTTTATCTAAAAAGGGTTTTCCTGTCAAATTGATTTGCTTAATCTCCCAAAAACTTAAAGATCTTTTTATAATTCACTGTTCTCTTCATTCAATAATCCAAATAGCATAGTCTGACTTATTATGAACTTGTAAACAATAATTCCTATTGATTTGAGTAAATTTGACACACTGATTTCACTTAATTTGATTTAATTTCTCGTGGCTAGTCGGTCCACTGACATGCTAAAGGTTTACTTTATTTAAAAAATAGGGCATAAAATATTCGCAGAGCCATCTATTGATTTGGATCAAACTCACTATGCATAGTTCGATCATCGGTTTTACAATTCTTAGACAATTTAGATATCAAGAGCACCATTTGCAAAGATTATCCAGTTTCGTTTGCATCCTTTTTCCCACAGTTTATTCAACAAAATTAGTCAAGGAGTTATAATAAAAAAGATCTTGGAGTGAATTTCACTCATTTTTCATTGTCAAATCTGTTTACAAGCATGAAAAGAAAAGGTTCAACTCATTAAATCAAAATCATTTTCTCTGCTTTGTTTATCTTTTGATGCTTGTCTGCGAAAATTAGCTCAATAAGTTGTTAATCAGGGAGTGATGAGCAGATATGATGATGAATAAAGTTAGACAAGATGTGAAAAGTAAAGCTACTTATAAAAAAATGTATAAAAAATTGGTTATTTTATGAAGTTAGCTGAATTAGAGATTATGTAATGAAGTAGAAGGAGAAAGGGAAGGAAAATAGGAAAAAGGGACTTAAACTCTCTTCTTTTATGCTGATGATCAAAGTGAAACAAGATAAAAAAGAAACGATTTATATTATTATCAGAATAATATGATAAATTAATGAGTTGGACAGAAAGAATAGTAGATGAAAGACAAAAAGCAACAAATTAAGCTATCATTGTGTGTAGTTATTTTGTTAGTGGAAAGTTAACATAAGAACAGACCTGACATTGTCTCCAATCTATCAACTCATTGTTTATCCTGATGACCGATTATTGTTTTCTTTCATGGAAATTGGTTCCATTTTCGAGTCTCTCCTTGTTGCTTCCAATAATGATCTCATCCTATACATAATATTCATAATAAGTTGAGGAATCATCTTTTTATTCCTTCAAGCTTTTTGCTTTCCTTCATTAGATCCATATTTTTGCTCGTCTCTCCTCATTCTTCGTGATATCTATTGTATTTGAATTTGGATATTTTCATTTATTACATGCAAGGTTTGGACAGTGGTGGACTTCGAGCTAATGTACCTTTTTATCTACTTGTAGAGTCAGATTCCCGTTAAATGAAATAAACTACGGTATAATGGGTAAGCATACCATCAGAGTATTTTCTAGAGCTTTCTCAGTTTTACTAAAAAGATACAATGAACACAATTGTCACATTTATACACAAATTGACACAAGTACTGAAACAAATGGGTAAAAATGATTTTATTTCAAATTGAGACTCTGTTAATTTGGAGGGAAATAAAAACTGAGTTTATTTGTGCGATTTAAAGATTTCTCTGATGAACAGTTCTCGAGAAAATCGAGTTCAAGTTTGAAACTTCGATTGATTTTTGTTCATTTATGGAGGCAGGTTTTTTCGTGGAACTCATTTTTCCTGATGTAAAATTCAATGGCCAACTAGAAAATGCACTTATTTTGAAGAATAAAATTTTCTGTCTTCTGTGAACAGACAAGTTCGATTTTTGATTTAAACCGATCGCTTTCTATGGCCGAAATATTTGGAGAGCTGAAACTTATTATTTATCCATAAAAATTGATGGATAATTTCATGGAACAAATAATTTTATTAATTTGTAAACAGTTTTCTTGATTTTGCCCATTGGCCTTAAAACTTTGAACGTCAATATTTCGAGAATTGCATCACTTTCAATCATCATTCTTGCACCAATCCAATCTTAGTCTAATTAATGATTCAATTTAGTTTAGTAACTTTCCATTAGTGCATTCTGGTTACGATGTTTGGGTTGTAAATGTACGAGCAACAACTTATTCAACAATCAAAACTCATCTCAACCCACATCTTGGTAAATAAACCAATTTTCTGGTTAAACTTACAAAGGAAACGCAAAAAGTATGCTAAAGACTCGAAAATTCATGTTAAGAGTTGAATGGGTTTGTAGGAACATATGAACATATGACCTGAAACCTTTGCTACTATTAAATGGTTTCTGTGGCGAACAGTTCTCGAAAAAATCGAGTTCAAAGTTGCAACTTCGTTCGCATTTTGTTCAACAATGGAGGCAGATTTTGTCGCTAAATTTATTTCACTGATGTATCTTTTGATGAAAAATCAGAGAATGAATTTATTTTAAGAAATAAATGTTTCTGTTTCTGTAAAACAGATCAAGTGCGATTTTAATTTAAACGGACCGCATTTGGGATCGTTAGAACTAGAGAGCTGAAACTTATGCTTTGCCCACAAAAATTTGCGCTTCACATTATGCATTGAATGCTTTTAACAATTCAACAACATTTCTTTTGATTCAGGCCATTGGTCTGAAATCATTGAGTCACGGTATTTCGAGAATGATATAATCTAAAACCATCATTCTTCGAAAAATCGTTAGATTTTATTATGTGCTGGGGGATGATGCAATTTCAGATCATCTAAGATGCTACGGAAAAAGTTATTGCATTGATTATTCATGTACCCAGATTTGTTGCTTCATTTATAAAAGTAAATATGTTTTAAAACCCAAATCTAATGTTGTGTTAGTCAAATATTAGGGTGTCCGGGTCAATGTGACCGGCTTTTAAATGTGAATATTTTATCGATACCCGAACCAATTCAGCCAATTCTTTCGAAAATCAAATAAATAGAGATTCAGCCTTTTTTTGACACAACTTGAACCCTCGTCGCATTGGTAATTCAAAAGTTATTTGAAAAAAATCGAAAAATGGCAATTTCGTAAATTTCGAACTTTGTGGCCATATAGCGTCGATACCAATAAAAAATTTTGCACAGTCATTTCATTTAATTATAGCACTTGGGTTGATTGAAAATCACTTTTCTCAATTTTTCTCCTGATCTCCAAGTTTTCGAGAAATTTTCGATTAAAAAAGTTTCTATCGCGAGCAAATCACAGGGGGGACTCTTGGTTTTTTTAGAAATTTTTAGCCTCAAAAAATTTCATTTTTTTCGATTTTTTCCGTTAAATTTGGAATATGAAAACGGAAAATTACAAATGACGTGTCAAAAAAAGGCTGAATCTCTATTTATATGATTTTCGAAAAAATTGGCTAAATTGGTTGGGGCATCGATGCAATATTCAAATTCAAAACCCGGTCACATTGACCCGGACACCCTAATAAGTCTGTTTTGCAAATTTTCACATAAATGAAATGTTTAAAAGATCATTGACAGAAAATTTGACTTTCGAGTTGAGAGTTAAGGTATTGTCTGTTTGCACAAACGGATACCGGGTCCATTAGTGCTATGAAAAAGCTTCTCCGACCGATAGTTCTCGAGGAAATCGAGGTCAAACTTTATACTTCGATCTGCTTTTATTCAATTTTGGAAACAGATCTTTGTACCAAACTCATTTGCCTGATGTAACTTTTGATGACCAATCCGAAAATGCATTTGTTAAAATCAATAAAAGTCTCTATTTCTTTATAACACACCAATTCGATTTTCGACTAAAACTGACCTCATTCAGTGAACGTAAAAGTTAGAGAACTGAAACTTAATAAACGTCGACAAAAGCTGTTGGTTAACATCAGTGAACCAAAACTTTGTTCAATTTAGTGATGTTTCTCTTGATTTTGGCCATTGGCCTTAAAAATTTTAGTCCCAATATCTCGACAAATATAGTAGCTACAATCGTCATTCTTTGTCTAATCATTAGATGTTAAAACAATATATCGGGCTATAACATAATATGACTGAATGGAGAGACGATCTGAGTTAATTGCTACAATAAGGAAAATGATTCTAACGCATCACAAGTTTGTGTTTGAAAAACTATTTATCTTTATAAATCTAGCACAAAATCTGGTAACATAAGTAATACAATGCTAAAACTTTTTTTGCAGGATGTTGAATGACTTAATATTGCATTACATTTTAGCCCATAATGAAATCCAATAATTAGGCAAAGAATGATGCTTTTAGGTACCATAATTTTCGAGATATTGAGACTAAAATTTCAAAAGACCAATGGCCAAAATCAAGAGAATCCTCGTTAAATTGAACAAAGTTTTCATTCACTGATGTTTACACACAACTTTCGTCGACGTTTATTAAGTTTCAGTTCTCTAACTTTTATGTTCACTGAATGAGGTCAGTTTTAGTCGAAAATCGGATTGGTGTGTTATAAAGAAATAGAGACTTCTATTGATTTTAATAAATGCATTTTCGGATTGGTCATCAAAAGTTACATCAGGCAAATGAGTTTGGTACAAAAACCTGTTTCCATTATTGAATAAAAGACGATCGAAGTTTAAAGTTTGACCTCGATTTTCTCGATAACTGTTGATTGTAGAAGCTTTTTCATAGCATCAATGGAGACAGTTTTTGTTCCTGCTAACACTTAATATCTTAACTCTCAACTCGAAAGTCAAAGTTTCTTTCAATGATCTTTTAAACATTTCATTTATGTAAAGATTTGCAAAACAGACTATTTGAGTAACACATCTTAGGATTTGTGTTTTAATATCCATTTACCTTAATAAACCAAGAATAGAATCTGGTATCTTAAGAGATCAATGCTATAACTTTTTCCGTAGCATCTTTAATGATCTAAAATTTCAAAGTATTTTAGCAAATAATAAGATCTAATTTTTGGTTAAAGGATGACGGTTTTATGTTACAACATTCTCGAAATATCGAGATTCAAAGTTTTTAGGTTTTAGGCCAAAATGAAGAGAACTGTTTATAAATTGTAAAAAGGGATTCGATCCACAATGTAAAACAACATTTTTGTCAACTCATAATAAGTTTCATCTTGCTTGCTCTTACGATCACAGAATGCGGTCGGTTTAAATGAAAATCGAATTTGATCTGTTTTAAAGAAACAGAAAATGCTATGTGTCAAAATAAGTACATTTTCTGGTTGGTCATCAAAAGTTACATCAGTAAAACGAGTTTCGTGTGAAAATCTGCTTTCTTGATTGTACAAAAAGCTATCGAAGTCTCAACTTTGAGTAACAACCGACATTGTTGATGAGTTGCTTAAGCAACGAGACAAAAGAGTCAAGGTATAAATAAATAAATAAATCTTCTTTGAAATAATAATTTTTGATTGATTTTATATTATAATATTAATTTCCATTCACAATCCAGAGCAGAATTAGTATTATTGGAAGAAGTCCATCGTTTGAAGCTCTAGGACCTCAAAATGCAATTAGAAGACTTATCTCGCACGAATAATCTTGAACCAAGTACTAATGAAGATTTGACCAGATGAAGTTTCGTACAAAGGGTACTAAAATTAAGGCTCATACCAAGAAAAAAGGTGCAAAAAATGTTGAAGTGCAAACTGAAGCTAACTATATTGAATCTGCAACTCAATCATATATTTTTTGACTTTACTGTGCCACTGGATTCACCTAATAATAAGTGATAATGAATTCTGGTAATTTTCAAAGCTTGGGTAAGAGTAAAGCTTAAACGCGTTCATTTAAGAGTTACTTTCAATGTAAATTGTTCATTTCATCCTCGTTTTCACAGGACATTGTCTTTTTGTTTTCATCTGTTTGTGGTCAAGTTTTACTAATGATCGTGTTAATGCTGATGGAGTTAAACCAGCCGCTGCCAATTTAACGGCCAGCAATGTACCTTGGTACAATGGATTGGGAATTATCTGACTCCATTTGAAACATTTATATTTTTGTGAAAAAAAACTTTTAAATCGAGCTTCAAAATGACAAATGTTAGTTGAGATAATTTTTGTTTAAAACAGTCATCTCAATAAACTTTTGGAATGAAAATAAATAAATAATACAATTTATCATATGATTGAACTCGATTTCGTCAATTAATCGCGAATTTTGTTCAATCGAGCCAAATTACGGCCATTTAAAGGCAAGTTTAATGTTAATTAGGTGAATTAATTTTAAAATGGACTAAATAAATATTGGACAATAAAACAAAGATAACATGCAACAAGATGGAGGTTAGTGTAAAGAATCTGTAATGCAATTGAAATTGGTTCAAAATTCAGTTCAAGAATCACTGATATTGGACTTTTGACTGACATTGGGAGTCAAATGAGTCGAGATTATGCTCATAAAGCCTTATCTAAAGAAGGGAATCTAACGGGATAACTAGAATCGATCGAAACGAGATTTAAGGATTGCACCAAGACGATAGCATTTTTACCCAACAGTATACCGATGGCTAGTAGTGGCATTTTTTACCCCTTCTGCAATTGCGCTACGAGCAACATTGCGTCATATTTTGATGCGATTCTTGTAATTGTTTCCTTTTCCTGTTATTCAACCTTTCTTTCCTTCTTTTCTCGTCACTCTGCTGAATATAATATTTAATTTTATCCTAACATGCTTTTAAATATGTTTTTAAATTTCTTTTTTAATAAAAAGGTAAGTTTTTGTTTAAAAATTTTTTCTTCGATATAAACAAGTGTTTGTGTTTTTATTATCTAATATCATTTATTAGTTGAGAAGTGAAATACAGGATAACCAAAAAGAGATCGCAAAGATCAAAAGTGAATTGGAACAATGCCGGACAGAATTCAATAGAATAGTTGAAACCATTGGTCGAGCTCATGCTGAAGCCATTTCACGGGAAGATGAAGAAGACATTGGTGATGAGTTGATTAAACTACGAGTCAAGGTGAATAAATGTTTTTTTAAGAGACTAATTTAACAATTATTTTCCTTCCACAGCCCAGAGCAGAATTAGTATTATTGGAAGCAATCCATCGATTAAAGTTATTGGATCTCAAAAAGCAATTGGAAAAGGAGAAATTGCTTAAACGACGTCGAGAAATTTTTAGCATGCGAAGTCCAAAACCAAAAGTTAAAGTCAACAAAGAATATCAAGAAAAGCTGAATGAATGGAAATTATTGAAAAATGTTTCACAAAATGAGATCAATCAACTTAAAAAGGATAAAGAATTATATCTCACGAAGAGTCTGGAACCAAGCACTGATAAAGATATGAAAAAAGTGAAGTTTCGTACAAAAGTTACTAAAGTGAATACTCATACCAAGAAAAAAGTTGCAAAAAATGTTGAAGTGCAAACTGAAGCTAACCATGTTGAATCTGCAACTCAATCCGAGACTCGGATAAACACACTAATAAACACAATAAATGTGTAATAAATACAATATGTAACGATTCTGTGTTGTAATTTTCTAATGAATTGGAAATGAGAACTAAAGATGACTAATCTAAATTTTCAACGAAATTCATTCTGTTTGCATGACACTCTTGTCAAGAATAGTATAATTTTTAATCAAAGTTTCGTTGATGTTTTTATTTGCACTTTTCTTGATATCAAGAGCCCGAAATTGATTTTAATTATCTGATTTGTCTGAATTTCTACCAATATAGCCAACATTTTGAAACTTTACTCAAATCATTATTCAACATCCTTCACAGCAAATCTATGATTAAAGATTCAGTGGAATAGAAAATCTAAAGACTGGTTGATTTCAATGAGTGGTCTGAAATGTGATGATGTCAATAGTCCGATTAATATTGTTTAACTGTTAAACTCAATAATGTAATTTTGAATTAATTTTTTTGGCAATACGATTCTTTTTTTTAAAATATTGTAATTGAATTTTTACTTATTACAATATGTATATATAGATAAATGATCATGTCAAGACGAGAACCATGTCGCCTTCAATGGTTATACTTTTAATTGAATTAATTCAGTTTAGATTAAAGTAAAGCATAATTAAAGTTTATCCAAATATTGTTCAAGATCAGGCAAAGATTCCTTTAGACCCTTTCGTTTACGAGTGTCCATAACAATAGTGTAAGGTCGAGATTTTCCGTCCAATGGGTCACCGGGTAAAATTTGCCAATGGTCAAATACACATTGTGGGAATGCTTGTCCTCCAGTGCTTGATCTTAAATCGGCAGTGAAGCCAAATGATTCATTTACAGGAAGGTGAGCCTTAACAACGAACATAGGAGTACCTGGAATTTGAGCTTCTTCGAAAACAACACCACGACGTCTGTTGAGTACACTGTAAATACCACCAACAGCTTGTTCGGGACATTGAATCTCAACAAGATAGACGGGCTCCAAGAGTCTGGGAGCAGCGGTCAACACACAAGCGAAAACACATCGACGAGCAGTTGGGATAATTTGTCCACCACCACGATGGATAGCATCAGCGTGAAGGGTAACATCATAAATGTTGAATCGGATACCTCGCATGTTTTCATCACAGAGAACAGACTAAAGCAAAGAAAAAAGATTATAAAATATTAGTTAATGAAACATAATTTAAATTGTTTTTCTCTTCAAATAATTACCTCCTTTGAAGCCCATTGGAAACCTGCGACAACACTATCTTTGATTTCGTTAAGATACTGAACTCCCTTAGTAACATCAACAAGAAGATTTGGTCCAGTTGCTTCGGGTCCGAAAGACCAAATTTTTCTGGCCTCAGTTGCATCCCATTCATATTTCTCGACTAAATAACGAGCTCGTGCCTTGAAATCGTCTTTGGAGGAAACATCTCCTTTGTCAATATCTTCAGCTAAACCTTCAGGCATTGGGACAGCCTTCATGAATAGACGATTATGCTTGTTAGGTGACTTGGAAAGACACATAACACCTGATTCTTCGCTAACAGTTTCCCGATAAGAGACGACAGGGTCAGAAGTTTTGATGGGGATTTGAGCGTGATCTTCTTCTAAATCTTTAAGACAAATTTCAAGATGCAATTCACCGGCACCAGCAACAATATGTTCACCTGATTCTTCAATAATACATTGAACCATAGGATCTGATTTGGCAAGTCGTTTAAGACCTTCAACAAGTTTTGGCAAGTCAGCTGCGTTTTTGGGCTCAACAGCAACACGCACAACAGGGCTGACTGAGAATTTCATGACTTTCAAGTTGTGAGCATCCTTAAAGGTGGTAATGGTACCAGTCTTGACCAAGAACTGGTCAACACCTACCAAACCACAAATGTTACCAGAGGGAACGTTTTCAATTGGCTCAACGTTACGACCCATCATGAGAACAGTTCTGCAGGTAAAAAGATATCAATCAAAATTAAGGTTAGGAGTGGTCTTGAATAAATTAAGTCAAATTATAACATACCTTTGAATGGCTTTTTCAGTTAAATCTTCTTTTTTACCAGGAATATAGTTTGGTCCCATAATTCTGACCTTTTGACCTGAAGCAACAATACCAGAGAAAACACGACCGAAGGCATAGAAACGACCCTTATCGGATGTTGGTACCATTTTAGAGATGTACATCATCAATGGTCCGTTGGGGTCACAATTTTTAATAGCAACAGCGGCTTCGTCATCATGAGGTCCTTCATACAACATTTCCATACGATACCTTTGTGCAGTTACAGGAGATGGCAAGTGAATGGCTATCATTTGAAGAAGAGCATCACCAGCAGGGAGCCAAGTTCGCATAACAACTTTCAACAAGTTCTTACCGTCCTTTTCTTTGTCATCACCCTTGAGAACGATATTTAATTTTTCTAAAAGCTTAGAAATTTCATCTTTCTTGAAATCCATAATAGCTTTAAAAACTTTGTAGATAGGATCCAAAACGAAGTTACAGAAACCTCGAACATAGCCAACATCTTGCTTGGTAGACCATTTGCGAGTTTGAGGATTGTAGAAGTTTTCACCCCAGAATTTGGTCATCAAACGTTGTGGGTCAGTCTTGAATTTATCAGCATAAATCTCAGCAAATTGTTTAAGAGTGAAAGCCCAGCCATGTAAACCTGAACCGAAACCAACGCTACCCTTGGATGGGTCAACTTTAATGTCACCCATTGGACCAGCATCATCAGCGTAAGTGGCGATGATGACGTTGACATTTTCGACAATACGAGTGAATTTTTGATAAAGATCTTCAGCATCAAGTTGAAGGGTTAATAAGGCCAAATCAACTTTGTTCATGAAAAGAACAGGCTTAATTCGTTCAGCGATAGCTTGTCGCAATACAGTTTCAGTTTGGACACATACACCTAATTATTACAATTAACATCAAATTAAAAGTTAGAAGGGAGTTTCTGAGCAGAAATTTCCGAAAAAAAGATTTTAAATTAGGATTACTAACCAGAAACACAATCAACAACGACCAAAGCTCCGTCAGTTACTCGAAGAGCAGCAGTAACCTCAGAAGAAAAGTCAACGTGACCGGGGGAGTCAATAAGGTTAATCAAGAAACCTTTAACATCCTTGTCTCGTTGAGATTCCTCTTTGATGAAAGCCAAATCAGGTTCATCAAGTTCGAAGTACATAGAAATTGCAGTAGACTTGATGGTGATGCATCTTTCCTGTTCATCTTTTCTTGTATCAGTGAATCTCATTTCACCAGCCTTGGTACCGGCGATGATACCAGCCTTAGAAACAAGGGAGTCAGTTAAAGTGGATTTACCGTGATCAACGTGAGCAATAACCGACATGTTTCGGATGCTCCGTTTACGGTTCATCATTTCACGAATTTCATCTACGGTGAAGTTAACCTAAATTCAGAGAAAAGGGCATTAAGGTACGCAATTAGCAAATGCGATAAAAATCAATAAGAATATTCCATAGGATAAAGCATGGGAACAAGACACGTTGTCACTCTTAAAACAGCCATGTTGAAAGATAGATAATTCAAAGTCTATTTCAATATGGACCCAAACTTTGACAGTAAAGAAAAATTTACTTACCATTTTCGCTGATTGTTGATATTACCTCGTAAATCAAACAAACAATATAAATTACAATTTAATTGTATAAAACCGAATCAAAGGAGAGTTCTCAAATAATGAAACTTGTTAAAGAGAAAGAAAGAGAGTAAAAGATGATCAAGAGGATATCATCATCCCCAACTGTTTCCGGGATCCTTTTATACTTCTTTTAAACTTCAGTGGCACCATCTAGTACATACTATTGTTACAGAAATTTAAAAGTTTTGTCGTCAAGGTCTTTTAACCAATTGTAAACATGTTTGTTTGCTTTTGCTTATAATTGTAAGGATTGACAGTTAAGTTTAAATTAAATTAAATTTATTCACTTTTTCAAGTTAAACAGTGTTAGTTTTGTTAAATTAAAGGTAACAATTGGAACAGTTAATTAATACTTTGAGCACATTGAGAGTCAACTGTAACCAAATGCAGATGGAAAACAATGCCAAAATCAGATGATCAGTTTTTAAATACGAGAAAGGTACAAAAGTTGTTATTATTTAAATATAAAACATTAGTTATTAATTATATGAATCAAATTTACTTTATTAGTCTTCAATTAGAAGATTAAAGTTGAACAAGAACCTTGTTTTTTTATCCTAATTTGTAATGTTTTTGACGATTTCTTTACTTTAAACAGATGACTTGCAAAGCAACATGGATTCACATACAAAGTAACTTTACTTTCCATCCTGTCTTTGGTTAATTTGATGATTTTGGAGTAATATTGGATGATTATAAGGAACAAAACGATGATACATAACATAACATGGTCTTGGAGTGTTTAATAAGTCGAGCCAGCTCGTAAAGTCCATAAAAAGTTAAAGTGTTGGGCGATCCAAGGGGAAGCAAAGAGGATTCATCTCAATAATGTCTTTGTTGGGGACTATAGAGAGTTACAATCAATGAGGAGACAATTAATTGAATCTGAAAGACCTGGAAATTCAGTGTATTGATTAAAAGATTACTTACTAGTATTGAGTTGGATAATATTGTGGAAAATGTTCATGCTGAGAACGAGCCAGTAAAACTCCAAGAATAATTCCTTTGAGAAATTTTCTTGTTCCAAAGGATTGGGCAGTTAACATCAAACTATAGATGACAAATAACATGAAAATTAATCCTTTTCTGAACATGGTTGCTGAAATACTTAAAGTTACGATTGGTCAATAATCAACAGTAAACACTTTTGGAGCTGATGTCACTCAAGTTGGTCGATTGAAAGCGAAAATGCAAATGATCATTGAAAGTGAAAAGAAGTGCTGAATATGACAATTGTTGGTTATTGGACTTTTGGCTTCCTTTAGATGATTAAGCGTCAGAAAAGTAAAGATTGGATATATTTGACAATTCAGAAATTTAATTGAAACATCATCATTAATTAATCAAATCAACCATATAACTCAACTCTTCTCATCAAAGATGATTGCATTGATGTAATCTTTCAGTCTCAATCTCAACTTCTAATGACGATTAACATGCATTTCAGTGATGATGAATGTTGATTACTATTAAAAATTTATTTTAAGTCATTATCAAGCCTTTTCCCAATAAGATTATCCTAAACCAATTGATGGCGATGATGAAAGCAGATTGTGATTCCATTAAAATGCAATTAAAAATCATAATAATAGGGAAAGTTAGAAGTTATTAGACCACGATTAGATGAAACCCGAAATTTACTAATTAAAGGTTAATCTCGGAAGGTCAATCAGGTGAAAATGAGTTAATATTCATATTGATATAAAGCCTGCTCTAGTTGTCAATAAATTACAATAGTGAACTTAATACTTCCGATAAGTTGAAATTGACAATAATTTACATTTTAATCAATAAAAGCCATTAAAATCACTTCCTTACAAGAGTCAGATTTATTCTTACATTGAAATGGATTTACAATTTCAAGTGAATCGACATTGATATTGGGTTTTCTGGTTAAATTTAAAAATCAATTTTATATTGATGAATACAAAATAACAGAATAGAGAAGGAAATTTTCTTATGTTTGTTTTTTCAGAATAAGATATTTCTTTTGCATGTTGACCCATTTCTTGGTAAAAATGATGAACAATTTATCCCCAAATCGATTATTATTGCCAGCTATTGTTGAAGTTGATTAACTAGTCGGTGGAAAGAGTAAAGACAAAAGACTGATGGATCGATAGATTGTCTCGTTTCAAGAAAGAGTCTCAAAGACAATATAATGTGATTATAATGGCGATGATGATTATTATGGAGATGAACTGAATTCGATCTGGTCTTTATCTCTAACCTGTAAATCTAATAAATCTAGTTGTACGCTTTACTTTGTAATATCAGCTAATTGATTAAATTGATTGGTGATAATGAATAACTTTCAACGTTCACCTCAACCTGTTGATTTGGTTATTTGTGTTTGTTGCGTAAAAGTACATTCCAACTATTATTAGCATGACTACAAGTCAATTGGAAAGGTATGAGAGTTCACCTAATATTAACAGTTTAACTCAACGAAGACCAACAAGACAGTTAATAAATAGAAATGCAAATATTATTAATAACCACAATATTCATCGTAATGATGTGAATGGGTGGAAGTTTAATCGAGGTCGTGGTCGTGGACGATTTTCTGGTTCATTTAATGGTGGTGCTGCTTTCGGTGGACACAATTATTATCGACCAGCTAACCCTTTCTATTTAGATCCTTATCCAAATTTGATGGCTTTAGAGGTTACAGTGATGACGTCCGATTTTTTTTCACAAGTCCGTTTACCTTACAGTGATGTTGTCCAAACACTCAATCTACTATTCCGTCCCAACAATCAAAATGATTCCAATACAAGACTGTAAGTAATCAATATGTTTTAATACAGAAACAATAATTTGTTAAACAATCCTTTAATCTTTGTGTGAAAAAGCCATTGGTTTATGTAGTTGTTGCTATGACTTGGATTGGTAGTTGAATTGTGAATCAAATTAAGATGTTTAGTCAGGTGCCTTTGTTAATTCTTGTCCATCCTTTATGGCGAGTGATATTTTTAATTTAAGCCTTTCAATATGAATTGTCCTATCAACATCAGTTTTAAAATTGAAAAATTTAACGTTCCTTGATGCTCTAATCAAATGATTTTTCAACTACAATTGGTGCCATTTTTTGCTGGAGAGTCTTAAATAAACTGGTGAAAAAGCTGGTAGATTTAATTAGCTAGTGATCAAATTGAGATGTCAAACAGTCATTGAGTAACTACAATTTACTTATCACATTGTACCACAATGTTAAATATTGACTTTATTATACAAGCCAATCAATAGGTAACTCTGTGAGTAATTTAAGTAATATATCATTCAAGTTCACCATATTCCTCTAGCAATTTGAATGTAGCTTGATGAACCAGAAATTGAACCAGATCAGGTTAACTTTTTACAAAATTTGATACAAACATCATCAAGATTCCACTGTTTTCTAGGACGAACTATCAGCAAAAGATAGATGGAAATGAGTTAGTAATTGAAATGCTAGTTAAATAATTAGTAAGGTGGATATTTAAGCATCTTTAATTTGATTGCAATACTCACAAATAAAAAGGACGATTGTCTCATAACAAATATATGAGTTACACTGATCCCATTTTCACCATTTTCAATCCTCTCCAGAGTTGAATTTATCTAAGGTCATAAGGTCATTTAGAAGAGCAAAGCTCAGTAATTCGGCAAGTTAATCAGGTGATCTAGTAGATACTTACCCAGACTGCCATTGGTAATGGTATTAGATTGACACCACGAGCTTGGATTGAGAAGTTTCTCTCTCGAATCTCCATTAGCTGTGAATAAACAAAAAACTGATTAAAACAGCTATTCAAGGCTGGTTGCTTTTTGCCCTTTTCTCACCCGTTCATGAACTACTGTTCCAGCAAAATGAAGCAGAGTGAGATTTGTGTACGCGATAATCGCTAAGCCAAAGCAAATAATTTTCATTGCGTTAGATTCACTTGTAACAAATATAGCAAGAAAGAGAGAAAAATTGGCCAAAAATGTTGCTATTATATAACCAACGAAAGCAGTTGGACCGATATCACAGTTGATAGACCTGATTAGGTTCAAGATCTTATTTTGCCGTTTCAAGTAATCTGCAAGAAGGTCAAGATGTTTACCCACATCTGATTGAATGATACCACCAAGATCATAAGCACAGCCCAATGACATTGAACAATAAGTAATTAAGCTGATGAAATGAGTGTAAAACCAGAAAAGGGAGTAAATATTGAGAGCCAAAGGTCCGGTAATGATGATAACCCAAAAGACGAACCAGATTGAGTGATAAATTGACAAGTAAAAGGTTGAAGTTTGTAAAGCAAAAGTGATGCACAAAACGAATAAGGAAAGTGCTATTATTGGTATACCAATGAAGTAAAATTGAAGAGCACTGTATAAAACGATACGGAAATTTTTAAACTTGGTTGGAGTCAACAATCGGCACATACTATCGAACCCATGTTTCTCAATTTTCCCGTAAAATTTCAACATCAACATGGGTTTTCGGGCTTCACTTATATGAGCACCAGCTCGAGAAGCAAAGAAAAGCAAATAGTAGACAATTATCAGGAAATGAAGAAACTCTTTGCCTTTGGTTTGGCTGAAAAAATCACCCAAATAAATGGTCTCATTTGGATCATCAAATAAAAGCAAGCGAATCGATCGAGCAACCACAACAATAAACCAGATATGAGATAAAGTGTGAAGTGTATGATTCAATCTGCCCATTCGACCTTTTTGGGCATATCCTAGGACACATGTTTTAGTTATTTTGCCCATCTTTTCCAAGCGTCTTACTTTAGGTCGTAGGCTTTCTGGTGACAATTGTCTGTCCAGCATTTTAACCAATGGATCGGTCAAGCTTTTGACGAGCTTCATCTCAATTTATTGGTTTGCTGCAAGTCACTATCAGATCCTAATAAGTAATGAAAGAACAGCGTTATTTGATGAAATTCAGAAAAGTTAATGATTGACTTTGAGCTTACCTCATTAGATAGTTAACTAGACGGCTCTCTGTCATCGTGATGGTCTTAAATGAAGGTCACTTCGATCAATGATTGTCAATGAAGACTTGAAAGTCTTGCAAGACTCAGAGGAAATATTCAATGCTCTTAACATATTGACTTTAGATGATAGCTAATAAGTTGATGATAATTTTGTTTCATCTTTACAATTAACTTCTGTCTTGAGTCATTATATAACAGTTTTGTTTCATGTTTTTCACCAATAACCATTTCACTTTCAATATTTTCATTAGCGCCTTCCCTTAATGACTTACAAAATGACAACTTATTTCTATTAATACTTACTGTTAGCTCAACGGTTACAAGGGTTTACAAGTATTCTCAATGCAACTTAATTGTGCTTTCTTTTGCCAATTAATTGAAATTTCATGACAAAACAGCAGATGATCAATAATCTGAATGGAAGAGCACAACTGATTGAGATACAACAGATCAACAATTTAAACCAGTAAGAGATGATTAATTACTGAACTACGGCATAAGTTGTCTTGGGTTGTTTATATTTGTAGAGGTTATTTTCCCAATTAATGTTTGATGGTAAAATATCTTTACAATATTTCTGTTGATTTCAAATTGCAATCAGTCGATTGGCTAATTAACTGTCAAAATTTAAAGATGAATCATTTGAATGTACATGTTAATCACGTTAATCAATGAGCGCCAAACAATAATCAAGTCATATCATTTATCGTAAATAAGTTGAGTGATGGTCGCTTAAAGGGTGATAGAAGTAGTTGATCCATTTAACTGAAGCTGAAACGGGACAGTTTACCAGTCAATTAATGAATCAGATTGAAATATTACAAACAATTGAATTAGAAAGTTGAAATATTAATTACTAACTATTTATAATGATTAAGGAGTTTGGTTACTCATGAAATCACTTTGATAATACAAAAACAAAAAACCAAGAAGTAATCAAAAGATGCCATTCACAAAGAGAGTCTTCACAAAATTAGTCAATTAGATAGACAAGTGAAAGAAAATTTTGAAAGGGTTTGGTGAAAATAATGAATAAATATAACACAAAGCATTTACTATTTTGGTTACAACTGTTAAATAATGAAAAGGTAAGAAATAAAAAGGTAAAAATTGCAATCAAAAATTCATCAACTATGCTACAAAAAGAGGTCAGTCACGTGATTTAAGTCTGATTGTTGAAGACTCAAGAGAAGATTGTTGTTGTAGTCAGAACCATCTCTTTCTCTTGGTGATTCACACTCGTGTTTCTTCCCGAATGTTTATTGTTGATTGTAAACACTTCACAGATAACCATGAATTGGTTAAGTCATACCAATGGGCCTAGAAGAGTAATTTAAATAGCAAAACCCAATTTTTTTATCCTCTCCCTTCTCTCTTTACTCTCTTCCTCCGTATTCACAACATAACATCATTCAACTCTATGCCTCACTGTGTACCCTCCCTTTCTTCCTCTTTTGGCCTTTATCTTTTTTTACATTCCCGGTCGTAAAAAAGTCTAATTTCTGTCCCTCTATTAATTAAATCATCATCAAAAACAATCTATTCCCTCACGATATTCAACACCTATTTTACACCACATCCTTGTGCAACTCTAACCTTTTCATCTTCTGAAATCATCTGCTTATACTGTTCACATCTTATGTTTATGTGTAATTGTGTGTGTATGTGTTCTAACTCTACCTGGGATTAACTTAAATCATCTCTATCTAAAAAATATAATTCCGATTGATATAAATTGCTCTTTAAAGGACAATGTCTATTGACAATGTTAACTCTGGTCAGAGAAAACCCAGCCAAAATAAAGGATCCATGTTACTTAGCAAGGAAGAAAATGATCTTGTTTTTAGTCTTCTAGGAGAAAAATGTGTGGTAAGAAATTTTTCCTTTTATTTATCATCTAGGTATTACTTATCAGTTATTAGTAATATTAATACTTGTGTTACCTGCCTGATTCAATAAATTTCCTCTGTCATTACTTGCCTAGTAATTCCGTCTCTAACATCTATGCGACTACTTCTCTTCCTTCCTAGACACTTTCAAGTGCAGTTATTCAATTATTGGTCACAACGCCGCCAACTCACTCGAAATGGACCAAACACACCACTGGGGTAGTCTGCTTTGTAAAAGATAACATTGTCCGGTCCTATTTTATCAAAGTTTATGACATTGACAATGTAAGTTTCAATTGCACCTCGTGTTAGAATCCTGGTAACCGGTAGTTACCATTCCTATTATTCATCTTCCTCGTTATCATTTGAAAAGTATTACTCACTTGAATCAATGATTACTTCTCTCTACCTTTCCAAATTAATCACACCAAATCCGTATTTAGTTTGATTGACGAGAACTGGCGTTTTGTTGATAGTTTCCATAAGATTCAACACTTGTATCTAATTTGTAGCGTTTTGTAAAATAGTAAAATCTATCGACCAAATTAATTGACAGTTTTAAATGTAACAATAGTTGAAACAGTCATATGCTTGCGTCAGGCTCTAAATCAATTAAATTATGATGTGTGAGACATATCGATATGATTTCATATGAGAAAATAAAATTAATGGCTAATACGGTTTATCAAAAACTACATCCAAATTAATCGTTGAATTCATTGTTAGATTATTCATATCTATGTATTCCTGTAATCCTAATTTTGATTTCTCTCTTTTTTCATTCCCAGAAGCGACAATGTGTCTGGCAGCAAGAGCTTTACCGCTATTTTGATTATAAAGCTGCTAGAATAAACTTTCATACATTTGAAGCTGATAGCTGTCGAGCTGGTTTATATTTTGCTGATAGTAACGAAGCCAATGATTTTCTCAACATTGTTGAATCAAAAGTTAAAATTTTAGGTAAATCACATATTATCACCAATTCTATTGTTAATTTTATCTGCTCACATTGTAGATTTAATTCTGATTCATGGGACTTGTATAAGTCAGTAATACATGAGCAGCACTATATCATTATTTTCATTTATCTTGCGTTGTACTTACATTTTATTTTTCATTTCTATCCACAGAAAAACGAGGAAAAAATTCAAAACAACAAAGTAATAGTAGTTATCCCAGTATAACTGGACCAGGTTGGAATTTTTACCCATTTTTGGTTATATGTTGACGCAATTGTATTTGTTATTTGCTACCTTTAAAAGTTCACGATCTTGGCCTTTCAATATTGACTTTGAATATGATTTTAGATAAATTATCTATTTATGTCGCACTGAGGCCAGACGTTAGAAAGATTTAAAATATTGAATTGAGACGTTTCTCACATTGAGAACTTTATAAATCTCAATTCTACCTCACGTAGATGGGTTAAAAAATATTGTTAGTAGGTTTTTTTTTATATTCAGGTGATCAAGTTTCTTATTCTCACTCTACTCATTGAGTCACTCAGTCAGTTTTCATTACTCTACTTTAGTTGGGAATGAACTTGATTGCTACCTTAAAATTTCCTAATTGGGTTATCAAAAAATTAACATCTAGCTTTTCAATCAACTTTAGACCAACTTTTTCTTAAATTTTTTTCTATCTTTAACATGTTCAAGTTATTACTGATGATCATAATTCACTTTTGAAGTCATTACTTTCTCAAGTTTGAGTTAACTTGAAACAAAAGAGTTATTCTAAATTTTATTCATCACCCTGTTTTGCAGTAGTTTGAATACATAATTGTGAAAGTAGCAAAGAAACTAAATAAATTGCAAATACATATTTCATTATGAAATGACCCGTTTTCTTGTACTAACAACTCTTTTTTATTTTCTTTTAGCTTCCGACCCATTTGCGTCTCATACTCCAATAGCAAGTAAAAAGAAAGAGAAAGGGAAGAAGGAGAAAGATAAAAAGAAAAAAGAAAACAAACCTAAAGTCAGAAAGGAAGATATTGGTCTGCCAACCGATTTTCAACATCTTCGTCACATTGGTTGGACACCTGAAACCGGCTTTAATGTAAATAATCTGTTTCAGTTTAATTTTGATTTGGATCAATATCCTGTTCATGTTTCAATAATGTTTTTACTATTTTTTGCTAATCTTCTTCAACTTTATTATTCATTTTGAAACATTCAGGTCACTAATATTACTCCAGAGTACAAGAAATTTTTTGAATTTGCTGGTGTCACCGAGAAGCAACTCCAGCTACCAAATATTCGTAGTTTTCTTTATGATTTTGTGGATAAAAGAGGAGGTATTCAAGTATGTTTACAAGATATGGACCAGCACCTCTCTCAAAAACAACCTCCATCACTACCACTTCAAGTAAGCACATGCATATGATCGTTAATGAAACTGTCCCATCAATACTTAATCGTTAATCATATCTTCATGGTTTACCAGTCCGTTAAATTTTTAAAATCTTTCACACACTTATAATGAGAAAACTTGGCATAAATTTCATTTATTCATGTTGAATTAAAATTTTATTTTATCCTTTTTTAGCTGCAATCGCAGTCATGGAACGCACCTCCAACTGGAGTTCCACCACCTCTACCAACTCGGACACCTCACCATCGAACTCAAGCCCCACCTCCACCACCTCCAATGAATCCTCCAGTAACTAAGCCACCTCATTCAGCTCCTCCACCGCCACCGCCACCTCCGCCACCAGCATCTTTAGGTGCAATGGCGCCACCACCACCACCTCCACCTCCACCGCCTCCATCAGGTGGCTCAGGACCTCCACCACCGCCACCTCCTCCACCTCCACCAGCCTCTGGCCCAATGATGAATAATGCTCCACGATCCGTCGGAGATGAAAATCGCTCTCTCAACGCTAATGGTGGTGGTGGTCTTGATGCTAGATCGGCTCTGATGGATGCCATCCGTAATGGTCCTAAATTGAATCGTGTTGATCAAGAAAGTTTATCATCAAAATCAAATAGTAGTGGGGATACCGGGCGTGATGCTTTATTAAGTGAGATAAGAAAAGGTACCCAGTTGAAACCAGTTGGTACAACTGCATTGGAGCGTCCTGCTGTTCAAGCTCGACCCATTGGTGGTATTGCAGGAGCCTTAGCCAAAGCTTTGGAAGAAAGACAGAGAGCTTTACAGGGTACTAGTGATGAAAGTGATGCTTCCAGTGATACTCCATCAGATGATGAATGGGAATAAAAGTGCTCTGATTTTTCTCTTTCTTTTTTTGCTTCCATTCTCATTGATTTTTTACGCATTATTAATTATCTTCGCAAATCATACTCTGTTATCACATTATTATTATCATCATCGGTCATTCAAATTGGATTCTAGTTTTCACTTTTTGGTTTTTTAAATCAAAGCAAACAATTTTTTCATCAAAAATTATAATATGTGAATCAAAATTTTGAGCAAAAAGTGTAGACTCGATTTGATAACACACCATACACAATAACACTTAAACATTACCACGAGCATAAAAAATATCATCACGTGAAGGTCCGAGACTACCCCTGATACATTGTCAATCAAACTATGTCAAAAATAATTTTTCAATCATCTTTATTGTTATCAACAAGAAGACTGTTGAATAAGACATCTGTTGTTTTGTTATAAAACAAAGAGAAATGTTGGACAATCTCACCGAAAACTGTTAAAAAACTTCAATAATATTTCCTAAGTACTTAATAATGAAACCAATATATCAAAGTAATTATTATTAAAAAAACTGTAATCTATTTTTCTGTAAAACAAATGTTAAATATGAAAACAAAAAATCGGAAAAATTGTAACTTTTTTCTCTATTTCATTTACAATATTTAAATGGAAAACAAAAATCGCTTTATGACTGACGATTATTAAAAATAATAATCATCATTTAACTATCCAAGTGAAACAAAGTGGATTCACACGAAACAGGAAAACAAATGAAGGAAAGGTTATAACCTTTCTGTCTAACAGCATGTCAACTGTGTTGAGAAGAGAGTAAAATAAATGACTATTTGAATATGTAACTCTTTGATGATAGTTAATATCCAGTGATGAGGAACATATTGCAGTTAATTTGTAGATTAAACATGTTTTTAAAGTCACACAGAAAATTGATCAAATTAAACTCGGTCACGGTTATACAATTCCCATTTTTTTGGCAGCATTTAAAAGGTTTAACTACATTGTCAACTTTTGCCACTCAATCCATACTCCACACATGAGTCTTTACATGATAATGATGATTGAAACCAAAAGGTTGCTTTAATTAGCTTAGCAGCTCTTACGACTCTTCTTTTCCTCTTTCTCTCCATTTTGCACTTGTTTACAGGATGTTCAGGTTTGTTTATCATGAAGATAAATAGTTTTGTTTACCGAATCGAAGGATGAAAGAAAAAATTGATTGTTATCAGTGAAATAGACTTGGTATTTTATGGGCTTTTGAGCTTGAATTTATTCGTGTTTGTCTTTCGCTTCGTTAGTATGGCGTCATTTCTTTGCCTTCGTTCTAAAATATGATTAAGTTGTCAATTTTTAAAATAAAATCCATTCTTGTTACATGAAAAAAGTCAATAGACTTTTGTTATTAGTTTTTTTTCAATTGATTAGCCTCCATTTTTACTACCATCCTCTGATATTCTCTCATAATTTTATAAATCAATTAGATAATGTTGATATACAGTTTTGCATATATGGATTATGTTGATAATTAAAAGAGAGGTAGAGAGAGGTAAAAAGTGGTTGAGTAATATTAAGCTGCTTTATCAGCAGGTTCCGTTTTGAAGCTTGATCCAGTCCAAATTGATTTGAATTGTTCCGGAATAGGATGTTCAACCTTAAATAAAATGAACAAAAATGAGTTAGAGATTGGATGATATATTATAGTAAAAGATAAATCAGAGAAAATGAAATATTAGCAATAGGTGTGAGCATTAATGAAAAAAATTAACTTACGAAGTCACCGTTTGCATCAGGAACTGAAACGTTAACTGATGATGATTTGGCGGTTACGATTTCAGCATTGAGCGACTTGGCATTCAAGTAAATCTCGACTACATCTGTCTTTTCGACGTTGACAGTTGGTACAGCACCCATACTCTACAGAATCAATGAAAAAGGAAAGAAAAATTAATAAAGCATTGCCAGTTAAGTTTGTTTTTGATTATTTGTTTTAAGTACCTGAGCTTGAATATTTTGACAGTTGACAAACTCTACCACTGAGACAATATCATCAAATACCAGTGAGAGTTTAGTACATGAATCTACTGTGATTGAGTTGATTTTGCCTTTGATAACGACCAGACAATCTTTGCATTTGTATATGTTGACAGATTGGCTCATTTCAGTGTCACTGACGGTAAGATCTTTCTTACCGGTTTGATGTTCAATCATCCACTTTTTACCTTCCAATTCAAATTTTGGAGGTTTAGGTGGAGCAACTGATTTGACCACAGGTTGAGAGACTGAAGGTGCCTTGTATGGAGTTGGACCAGAAGATCGTAAAGCTGGGTTCTTATGAGTCTGTTGATCAGAAGAAATTTTCTTGAGACCTTTGGTTATTTCAGTTCCTCTATTTAGTTCTTTGAGCAACGCACTTCGTGTATCATCTCCAGCAACTCCTTTACCAGGTTCGGCAAAAAGGTCTGCTGGTGGAGGTGGTGGTGGGGGAGGACCACCAGGACCAGAACGAACAGAGGCAGAGGCTGTAGCTGGTGTGCCCCGCGAGTTCCAAACGAGACCGGTGGTATGGTAAACTCTTATGTACTTTTGAAGATCATTTAAAAACTGTAACCAAGCTTTAGCCCAATCAGTGTGTGTTTTGTCTTTCTCTTTGTAAGCAACCAAGACCTTATTAGTATAAAAAGTACTGGCATCAGTCATTTCTTTAACAAATGGAGCGGGCGTTGGAGAAACAGTAACCCAACCAAGGGCACCGATCGACTCTGAAATGGCCGATAAATGATTAAACCAGCTGGAGGCTCGATTTTTTTCTCGAAACTCTTGGATGGACATGATGCACTCTGACAGAGGTTTAAGTAGCTGCATGAAAATTCCTTGATCAGGCTTACTGTGAATACCGGTTAAAATAAGTAACGAATAAAGCTCTTGGACAGCTTTGTTCACCATTTGAGCATGTTGATGGACCAGATCACCAATTTGTTGACTCAGTTTAAGATAAACACCAAATGAACCTTCAATTATGTCTCTACATTCTTGAAGGAAAGGTTTCTCTTCTAAAAAGATAAAAAGATGAATAAAGAGCGATAGAAAGGTTGATCAATAAATTAATGAAGCCGAAAAGTCGATTTCTGAAAGAAAACGACATTTATACAAAGAAAGCCATAATTTGAAGTGTAGATAACAAAGTCGATACTTACCAATGCTAGAATCCATATTAGGACAACAAAGTTATCACCGTAAAGATATTGACACAAAATTAAAAAATGTTATAAGCAATTTTTGAAAAATTACAGTTGAATAGAAGAATAGTTTCTCAAGATTGACAAATTAAATCCTTAATCCAGCAATTGTGTTCAAGTCAAGTCAAGATTCGCATTTCAACTGATCGGGGCGGAGGCTTTATTTTTTCATTTAAAGTGTGCAAGCTTTATCCGACTCTTTAACAATTCAATTCTCAATCGATTGAGAAATCGATTGTCAGCTGGCTTCTCAAGTTATTTATTTTTATTATTGTATGGCTTTGCTCGCTGATTAATTCTTGAGTTGACAGAACAAGTCTAATCAACTGCTCAGAATACATTACTTAATTACTAATCAACTTTTAACATTTGAATGTTACATGTAAATGCCTTTTGTGTCCTTTTTTCTTGTTTGATTCGACCGCAATCTGTCAGTTGAATATCTGCTCAAAACAAAACATTATCCCTGTTTACAATTATTAATTTGTGTAACTTTGGACTCACTGGAGATAAACCATATTTGGTTAAAATTTTCTCTCTTCCGCTGATTTCATTTATCTCAGATTAATCTATGTTTCTCATTTCGCTATCATTTCTTTCTCTCCACCTTACTCCACTAGATTTATTTAACACACTTTACACAGTAAAAACTTTATCTTAATATTAACTCTTTTGACTATAAATGGTTATATTCAATAGTAATTAACTAACGATTACTCACTGATGACACTTTTCTCTCTTGAATTTCAAGTCTTTCTGAAGAAGCTTCCAATTCCCTATGAAAAGCTATGATTATTTTTTTGGCTTCATATCAATGGCTAACAAGTTAATTCGAGTGTAAAGTTTACTTTCAAGGTGGGAATTGAAATATTAGTTATCAGTCTTCCCATTTTTCAAACCAAGTATTTTAACTCAACTCGATTTTCCATTAATGTCCTGGATATGTCCATTTTTACTTGCGTTTGATATGAAAAAATAAAAAATCTAACAAGTGCTAAGTTTTTTTCAGAATCATAAGTCTAACTTGCTTCAAAATTGAACATCCATGTACATATGCAATTAGTGTTAGCAAGTAACAAATCGCAATTGTTTATTCAATTATGCACTAATTTAAAGATTTTTTAGTTGTTTCCTTAGCTATGAATTATTATTGTGGCAATACAATGTATGCAATACCAAATCATCCTCACAATATTAATTTTGTGATGATTTGATTCTTCGTCACTTGGTAACCTGATGAATTGCAGGAGCAAGGTACCGAAGTGGTCAGAGTTAAGTTACCAAAATCGAAGATTTTTTTTTGGTAGATGAATACGGTCGACTAACAATGAATAAAAGTACCAATAATATCGAACTTTATTTTTTTTGTTATCTCTAAAACTGAATATGCTCGAGATGGAGACACCTAAAAATTAACTCAAGTCTGAACCTTTTAATTAGTCTAACCTGACCACTACTGTAACCACATTTTTAGATGAAACATCGGCTACGGAAATCTTTTGTTAAATAAACACTTTGATAAGTCTTTCAACTTGATCCATTCCGATTCAATCAGTAATAAGAATCCAAAATCTACTCAATCCTTGTTTAAGTTTGATGCTGAAAATCCAATCGAACATGGCTTTGATATCTTTTAAGAATTAAAAACGAAGCGATAAATCACTATAAACGGTAGCTGCTATCCGAACTCCGTGAACAGTTGGATTAGTATACATTGGTCTAATTATTATATAATTTTGAGCTGTGATTTTGTTCGTTCTGCTTGTTCTTTGTTCTTTCCACAAGTAAACCGGTATTTAGCGAATGATTGAGCCAGCACAACTTCATGACCGTATTCAATGAATAAATGTACGTAGAAAGATTTGCAGTAGCAAAGCTTGGTGAGCCATATCGAAGAATGGAAATAGATTCTTAAATTAATTTTGAAATTTCATTCCGTTTCTCAGTAACGGTGCAATTTTCAGGTCTAATTTGCCGTTAAATAAAATATTAGAAAATTTGACCAACAAATTTTTGTTTATTGGCAAAAGGGAAGATATCTTTCACATCTTAGAGCTTAGCGATTTGATAAAATATTATGAAATGGAAATAAAAATGATGAAATGGCTCCAAAAGTCGACAAGAAATAACAAAACTTCATTAACTTTTAGATGGTAGGTGAACCAGGTTTCAGTATATTCAAACAGTTGACCAGCATTGAAAAGATGATGAAAATTATCACAATGATAAGTACTTTGATCAATAAAGATCTTGATTGTTATGCTTATTGGTGTTAGAACTCATTGGAAGAGTCTCAAGTTTTTATCACAGCTCTTGTTGGTAGTGTTTCTGTGCATTAAGTCTAATTGAAGATGCTATTACCTCTCTGAAAAAGATGGAAACAAAATTAATTTTGAGTTGCAAAGAGTAGGTTATGATCATAATGTCAAGACTGAAAATCAGAAACTAAAATTACCTAAAGACGTTCATATTAAAAAGTATAGCAGTTATGTGTCCTCCTTCAAGTGTACGTAATTTGGATCCTTTCCAAATTTCGGTCAGAGGAATGAGACCATCGCGAGGAACATAAGCGTCTTGTGAGGCAGTGACAATAGTAGCAAGTTCAGGATCAACTGGAGGACCAAAGTTTCCAAGATGAGTACATTCGTCCATAATACCACGCATAAAATTAATACAATCTAATTTGAGGTCTTGATTTTGTTCTTCACCTTTGTTGGCACTTTCGTTTGGCATTGAATCGAGACTAGATGGAAAGTTTTGAGCAAATTGTCTTCCAGCATTGAATATTTCATTCTGAAGTTAGAATAATAATATTAAAAACAAATCTTACACAAGTATTAAATTAATTTACCTGTTCAGGAGAATGAATCATCTTTTTAACCTCTTCACGAAACTCTCGGCCATATTGTACGTATTGATCTTCCAAAGTTTGCCATGGAATAGCTCCACTCAATACTCCTATAGGATTAAATTGTTTTAATAAAAAATAAACTTAAGTAAATTAAGAAATGATAAAAAATAGAAGACCTTGGGTGAAAGCACAAGACGCTGTTGTCCAGGAGAGACAAGGTATAATCGATATCGGTTTGTTCCAACTTACTCCAGCCAGAGAAGCCATCTAAAAATTATAAGAATTTTTTTACTCAGCTGGTGAAGAACGTCTTTAAAGAGTGAAACTTACATGACCACCCATGGAAATACCCGTAACACAGAGTGGAGCAAAGTTCATTTTTTCACACCAATTGAAAAGAGCTATAGACTCTAGAATTAGACAGCCACCCATGACAAAGATGTCTGAGACTTTTCGAAGACAAGAACGGATTTGATCTGGAGGTTTACGAGATCCATCTGTTATTGGAAAACAAAAAAAGTTAGAATACTGAATCTTGAAAACACATGATAGCATAATTGTTCATGTTTGGATGAACTTGAACATACAGAAGGGATTTTCCAAGATTATTGAACCAACTCCAGATTCTCGTAATAATGGTTTAGCCATGAGTGCTCTTCTTCTCCAGAAAAACTGTAAGATAAACCAGATAATGAAAAACATAGGACGAAGCAGCTAATGAATGGAAATAATGGCATTTACATGATCTCCAGTACCAGCTAAATGAAGGCAAACAGGCTTGAGATATGGATGTTTCCATTTTTTAGGTAATAACAGCTGAAACCGAGCTATTCGTGATTCTTCTGGGATACTTTCTGGAAGATAAGCATTCAAAGGACTAATAAAATGTCCCTCTGTTAATGTGTGTTGACTTGAATCCTCCACAACTCGATCAATGTAAATAGGATGATTTGCAGAGACCATTTTCATACATGATTCACGATCAGAGATGACTTTTCTCAGTGTAAATATCCTGAAACCATTAACCAAAAAGATCACATATTAGTAGATATAACAATTAATATAAATACGATAGAGTCAGTTTTTTGATGAGTAGAGAACAAGTAAACAAAGCAGCAATTACTTTTTCATGTTATCTGGATCGCCCCATCCTTGGGTGAAAAATTTACTCAACAGTATACTCCGATAAATGGTATCAATCTTACTGGTTTTGGGATTTAAATTAAATTTCATCGCAGAGAATTAATTAAAAAGATAACAACAATTCTATACTCTCATCTAGCTATTAAAAAGAGAAGTGAATGACAAAAAAATAACGTAATGCCAACAGCAACAAAAACATTAAGACTCAACAGCTGTTTTTCATTCTCATATCTTAGATGGAGTTACAAGACAATCAAGCAAAGAGTAAAGGAAGCGCTTAACGTTTAACATAAATGTTTAACTCTTTTAATCATTTTCCTGACTTGAAGTATTTCCAATCTATTTGTAAGATTAACTTAAATTGAAAATTAACATTAGAATGGTGGCGATAATTCCAAATGAATCGACAGCAAGTTAGCCTTTACCTTGGTTTGGACCTTTGTTGTTGTCCATAATTACACATTTTATTGTTTACAAGCAAATCCTTTGGTAAATGAAATGGCTAGTTTGAATAGTCAAAACAAAGTGAAATGCAAAATAGTAATTTTAATGAATGGATTGAAAATGCGCCAAAACTAAAGAAGACCAAGAGATTAAGGTAAAAATAATAGCAACAAAACACCCAACAGAGTTTAAGATAATCTTGTAAAGGTTGACACAAATCTGTTCAATACAATTACTTGTCACTTCACTGTTTTCAATTGAAAAACTAGTAACCTTAAATTATAAGTTGAGATACTAACAAGTTTAAATTGTTTAAACAATCAACTTCACTTTAACAGTGACTTTTACAGTTTGGCAAGTTTGAATTTGGCTGACAATTTTGTTGCATCGCAATATAAAATAAATAAAAATAATAAACACTTCATTGATATAAAAACTGGCACCAATTACATTTATTAATAGTTTCATTAGCGAGCTGATTATTAACAAAACGCTTTATCAACACAAAACTGTTTTGGCTCATTGAGAATATTAATGTTTCATTTCTTGCCTTTTTTGTGGTGATTATACTCATGGGAAACGGTGTTGATGATCAACATTGATCAATGATCATATCAATTATTGTCAACTTAAATGCTTTAACATCTTAAGATAATCTTTCTTTTGTCTTTCGTCTTCTGTTTTCTCTGCTAAACTCGGTCTCAACCATTTCAAAAGAAATGAGCCTAAAAATAGCGCTAAATGGCTAAGCTTTGAAACTAAACGCAGGTAACGAGTCTCATGGGAGTCAACAGTTCGAGAGTAATTGGATTAACTGGATTAATTTCCTGGTTTTCATCTAACTATTGATAAATGAATGGTGATATAGCAAAAATATTACAAAAGTTTCCATTAATCTACCCTTTTTGATAATCTCTTCCTCAAATAGATAGCGATGGTAAAACAACGCCACGACATTCTCCGAAACCGATTCTGACACCTTCTTTCTCACAAAATCCGCTCAAAATGACCTCATCTCCATCTTGGATAAATTTTCTTTGACTTCCATCAGCCAAGGTTAAAGGTTTAGTTCCTCGCCATGTCAATTCAAGCATCGACCCAAAAGATTCTGGCTCTGGACCACTTATGGTTCCTGAAGCAAGAAGATCACCAGGTCTAACATTACAACCAGTTATAGTATGATGAGCTAATTGCTGTTTGATGGTCCAGTACATGTAGTTAAAGTTGGTTTTAGTTATGGTTGTTGGCTGGCCATTTGCTGGCTTCAAATCAACTGTCAGATTTATATCCAGACTGAAATCATTTTTATCTTTAAGATAGTCAAGTGGTTCTGGATCTTGCTTAAAGGGTGTAGTTCTGAAGGGTTTAAGAGCTTCCGTTGTAACGATCCATGGACTTATTGTTGTACCAAAATTTTTAGATAAAAATGGTCCGAGAGGAACATATTCCCATTTTTGAATGTCCCGAGCAGACCAATCATTCATCAAAACCATACCAAAAATATTATCCTCAGCTTTTGCGATTGGAATTGGTTGACCAAGTTGATTGCCTTCGCCACCAACAAAAAAGGCCATCTCTAATTCAAAATCAAGTAAACGGCATGGACCAAAAGATGGATTGGTAGCATTATCGTCCTTTGTTTGACCGTTTGGACGCCTAATCGGTGTGCCTGATACGACCACTGAAGATGCTCTTCAATGGTAACCAACTGGAATATGACGCCAATTTGCTATTAAAGCATTTTCTTTTCCTCGGAACATGATTCCAACATTGGTTGCATGGTGAATTGAGGAATAAAAATCTGTATAATCACCAATATTTGCGGGTAAGTGCATCGTTGCCTCTCTTTGGGCAACCAATGCCTCTTTACGAAGCTTTTCATTATTCTCTAATGTTTTATCATTTCCATTCAACAGGTTTTGAACCTTGATTCTCACATTATGTCATTCAGATGGAGTTAAACTCATAAAATCGTTTAAAATTGGTTTCGTTAAAACATGTTCACCTGATTTTAACAGTTTTGGATCATCGAAAAGATGATGTATTGCTTTAAGATCGAGAATAAAGTCACCAATGGCAACTCCGATACGATGAGTTGGCTGAGAAGAAAAAGAAAAAGTAAAATCATGAACTACTGACTATATTATCAATTTGATGATTATTGAGAGGAAATTATAAACCATTTACTTACATTAGTTGCAGTTGAAAATACTCCATATGGCAAATTATCAATTGTAAAATGGCTATTTTGAGGAATCTGGACCCAAGACATGATTGGTGGTAAAAATGGAATAATAATACTCTTAAAAGGTACCTTTATAATTACACTAATGATATTACTGGATGCACATTTGTTTAATAGATACTTGATTGTATTTGCCAGACACTTGATACCAAAGAGTAAAGGAAGAAGAGTGTGCAATAGTGATGTACCAAATTGGTACTACCAATATTATTGTTTGACCAATAATATTCGATATTTCGGTCTCGATATTTATCGATATTTTTTACAATATATCGAATAATCAAATTAGCTAAACTTTTGTTATTAAACGTTAATTAATGGCCAAATTCAAACTTGTCGGAAATGAGATTGAAGTGTTACTTTTTTATGCTCATTTGAATTAATGATAAATACAAATGAATTTGCGGTGAGAAGATGTATTGAATTGCTCTCTCTCTTCTTCCTTTACTCTTTGCAATCAACACAAATTGCTGATTTTTCAAATTTTCAGCATGAAATAATTCAACGAATATACCGGAATCATTTGTTGTTTTAAAATTCATGTAAGTACAAAAAATATGGATAACAGTCATAGATATAGAGTTTTGGCTTTCGCTTAACAAAACAATGAATTAATCAGTGTTTTGTTCTGGTGATTGTTTTTTCTGTAACCATCGAAACATCTACAAACATGATTTAGAAATATTTCTTGGTCAGATTCCTTTAATTATTTTAATCACTTAGAACTAGATAATGAAAGATCAAATTAAAAGTGCATTAATGATTCACTTTAAATGTTGCCGGCTCTGAATTATTTCTTTTGTTTCGTTTCCTTGTCATTTTAATTTTATCAACTGAGATTGCCCTTCCATTCGAGTTTATGAACGCATCCTCTGTTTTTTATATAGTGGATGAATAATTGTTATCAATAATAATTGTCCTCTCTTTATTTTGATTTAATATTATTGTTTAATCATCCCTTTAAATTCATCCCCAATTCAAGAAGATTAATTTAAGGTAACCTGAATTATACATAAGTAATCGTCTGATAAGTGATCCTTTTCTAATCTATCTTCTGACACTCAATCCTTACTCTACCAACTACCATGACTGCTTATTATTTTGATGGTCTACACATCAACAGTTATACGGTCAATTAATTCAAATTAGGATTCTTATTTTTATTACAAGTTATCCATCTCATAATCAGCTATCTTTAATTTTCAAACTCTAATCGAAAAGATGATTTTCAATGATAATGCTGGTGATTTAAAAAAGTGTAAGCTTCGTTTTACTCCATTGTTTTGGATTATTCATATGGCTATGTGATCTAACAACCTTTCAACTTGTACTTATTCCTCTTCAACTGAAAAATGGACCAAAATTGTGTTAATCATTGGACCAAATTAAGGAAATTATGTTCAAGCTTTGGTTGAAGACAAACTCATTGTGACCACCGTTCCCTTTCCCTTTTTTTCAATGTTCACTAATTTAAACCAAATAAACACATAAGTATATCCTCTTCATTATGGCAAACCCTTTTGTGATCATCATCAAGTCCATAATTCTGACCAAAGAAAAATTCATATCATTTTCATCATCATCCAGACCAGCTATATAGATTACTTCATCGTCTTAATCAATTTATCAAGTCAACTATAACAGTATTAGCCGTCTCACTAGATTGTAAAATATTATCACTTATCATGGTTTCTCTTTGTTTTATATGTGAGCTTCCGATATTACCTCACCAAACCTGGTCAACGTGGAAAGAGATTGGTGGTAATCTACTAACAGCTACTGGGACAGCATCGCCTGGAAATTATGTTAACAACTTGTACCATGAAGATTGTCTAATTTGCTCTGTTTGCGGCTTGAGATTGGAACAGGCTAATTCAAATTGTGCCAAACGATATGGAAATAAAGTCTATTGTCCTCTTCATTTCTCGAATATATCAGGCATTGGAACTGGCGGAGAAGAGTTTATGGCTAAATTAAAGGACTTTAAACGTCAAAGCTTGGGTTATGCGGAAGCAAGAAGAAAAAGTAGTACCACGCTTTCCTTTCCAATACCTGTTCAAGCCTGTCCTGGTTCACCTTATTGCTCTGGTTATCCACATGGGATCAAACCTACCTCTTCCTATTGGATTGAATGTTGTGGATCACCTAATCTAATTGGTCCACCAGGTAGTTATATAAATCAACAACAGATATCTGTGGGCGAATCGAGTGATAAATCGGATAGAGAATCATCTGCTTACGATGGTAATAAGGAATCTCTTGGTATCAAAGAGGGAGATCATCTTTTACTGGGTATTCCGTCAATACCTCGAAGTAATACCTCATCTGAAGGATTCAATGTTAGCCGCTTGGAGAGACAAGATACATCCAAATCAACTAATGACATGTGTCCCTATGGACGTCTTCAACCGCCCACAATACAAGTGATTGAAAGTCAAACACCAATGACCAAAGATGACATCGAGCTTTATCGTAAACAGCCTAACATTGTACGTTTACTGTTTATTTTATCCTTTTAGCTTTCAACAGAAACTACAATCAGTTCAATAGTAATAGTCCATTACTAGTCCATTATCAAGCGAAGCTATTTTTAGCTTTTATTAAGCAATATTCTATTTTTATTAGTTGAATTAATATACTTAGGAATTAGGAAATCAGCAATTTAAATTCATATCCAAAATTAAATCGCCAAAATATTATCAGGTTTCACTGTCATTGTTAATCATGAAGAGGGATTGAAGTCAAGTTGATAAAAAATTGAAACCAAATATTAATATAATGATATTCCGAGATACGTTTACAAAGTTTCTCATTGTTATTAAGAATAGTTGTAAAATGTAAACAAGTAAATATTAGTCTATTTTAGACATTTGTAATCTTATGGAATTGCCTAGTTGATAGCTTACTATTCTTTTAATTACTTATTCATGCAAAACTGTCATTATTATGTAGTTGTACATCTACTTTTGTCTTTCTTTATCATCTTTCTCATCCATTTCATTCTGACTTTTTCTTAACTGACTCCCACTACTTTTTTCCCACTCCTCTCTTCTAGGTCATAACGCAAGCTCATTCAACCTCTCCACCTCCATCGCCTCCAGCTCCACCAAAAGGTGATCATGAACCACTTCCACAGACCAGCCAACTCCAAACAAAATCAGAGGATCCTTATGAGCTAATATCCTTTCAAGAGGAAATTTATGAAAAATATTATTATGGTAAAGAACATTGGAATTATTTTACCAATGATGAAGGCCTTGGACCAGTTATTTTGAGCTTAAAACAAGATAGTGTCGGTGGTCGCGATCAATTTCGTGTCCTCCTGCGAACAGTATCATATTCACTTCACGGTCTTGTACCGACCAGCTCTATTTGTGCCGATCGATATGACCGTGAAGCAGTGGTCAAGGCTTTGGGCGATGAAGCTGGCCTAAAACCTTCTCTTTGCCTTGGACAGCTTCCATCTATACCAGATGAGTTAATCAAATTGGACCAAGTTTTCGTCAAATCAGAGCTTAAAGTCGGTATAATTTATATTAAAGAAGGTCAAACCAGTGAAGAGGTGATTCTGGGTAATCGAGAAGAGTCTCCTTTATTCGCGGAATTCCTTGAAATCCTTGGTGATAGAATTCGTTTGAAAGGTTTTGACAAGTATAAAGGTGGTTTAGATACAGTTCATGATCTTACAGGAACTGAATCAATCTACACTAATTGGAAAAACATTGAAATTATGTTTCATGTATCAACTATGCTTCCTCATGAAGAAAATGATCCACAAAAGTTACAGAAAAAACGCCACATTGGAAACGATATTGTTTGTGTGGCGTTTATAGAGGCTGATGATACGCCATTCTGGCCGGGTAATGATTAATTCTTGATAATTTTATGAAATTTAGACTTTATTTGATTATTGATTATTCACTCATTCCTGATCTATGTTTCCATTATAGGTTGTATAAAATCTCACTTTCTGCATGCATTTATCGTCGTTCGAACCACTCCAAAGACTCTCGGAGAAGATGAAGTTAGGAAATATTCAATTAGCGTTGTCTGTCGAGATGAAGTATCTGCTTTTAAACCATATTTATGGCATGAGTCAACTTTCGAAAAGGTAATTATCTGAAAATCAAAATGTTCAGAAACAAATATTAATAATTTTCCATTATCTTATTTTTATCTGAAGGGACCACATTTAAAAGATTGGCTGTTGACAAAAATTGTAAACGGTGAAAGAGCAAGTTACTCCGCTCCGAAGTTTGCCCGAATGCAGGTCAGTAATAGCCCATTTTATTGTATTGATTGTCAACTTAATTCAATTTTTAATTCTAAAATCAATTTTTATTATCTCTGTTTCAGGATCGAACGCGAAGTCAAATGCTTGAAGATCTCGTAACCAATTTAGCTAATCATCTTGCCACAGGTCAGATACCAAAACCTTATCGTCGTGGTTCATGGAGGCCTATTGGTCATATGAGACCTTCTAGTCCATTGTTAGATTCCGTGCGAGATTTATTTGAAGGCTATGATCAATTGGCCAAAGATTTCGGTAGTGCATTTAATAATAACGCCAAAATGATTTGTGATGTTGCTTTCAATGTTATGGGAAATCCTGGGAATGGGTGTCATGAGACACAAATAAGACGAATCTATGGAGTTAGGGCAATACTTGCCATTCGTAGTCGTGTTTTTCTTGAAATGCTTTACGGCTTCAGTCCACCTGGTACTGTTAACCCTTCCGCCCAAATGAATAGTGCTGTTCCTGTTTCAACAGCGAGTGGTAACTCACTATCACCAGTCTCTGCTGGGACAGCCTCAGCTTCAGCTTCCGTTGCAAATATTGGAAATAACATTGGATCAACCAATGCAATCAACAAAAATCAATCATCACCAGAAAAACCTCGCCCTGTTCGTAAAAGTAGTATCACTGCCACAACCATCCATAAAATTTCACAAATTCCTAAAATAATTCATCCATCAGAATCCAAAAATAAACGTAAAGAATCATCCATATCAACAATTTCCAATACTTCAGCTAAGACACCAACTTACCTTACTGTTCCTGGAGCATCTTCTCTTGGAGGAAGTTTTCGAGCAGCATTTTCTCGTTTAGTGTCCGGCTCTTGGGCAGGTTGGGGAAGCAAGAATCGCGGAGACAGTATTAAAAGGTGGCAAAGTGAATCCATTTATGCTCGTGATCTCAATGCAGATCAATCAAAAGTACCTAGTCTCTCAGTGTGTGCCGATGTTGCTAAAATTGATCGTAATAAGTTAGCCCAAACTGAGGTAAATAGTGTTTATCTTTTACGCTTCAAAACTTACAAGAAATCGATTTTAATCTATCTTTTACTAAATACTTAACCTTTCTTTTCGTTAATTTAGTTTACCATTATTGAATTTGATGGAAATACATTTCAACTTCTCATTGAATATCTTCATTCTGGTTCGTGTCCTTTAACCTGTGATACAATTCCTGGGTTAATCTGTGCTGCTGAACACTTCGATTTACCTGATCTTCTCCAAGCTTGTTTCCATCATGCAAAGACTCATCTACGTTTAAGTGTGGTTCCGTCAATGTTAAATCAATTAGAAAACTATTATTGGAGATATAATTCGGCAACACAATTGGTTAATACTATTTTGAAATTTGTAGATCCAAGAGTGGCAAAATTTTTCGCACGGTCAGAATTTTTAACTCTCAGTGAAACAATGATTACCAGTATACTGAGTCGTCCTGGATTAGAATTGACTGAAGTTCATAAATTTCAAATAATGCATCAATGGGCAGTGAATAAAGTGGTAAATAGTGATCCAAACCATCCAACTATTTTAGTTACCAAAGAAAATGTTAACACCCATAATTTATCTCCTGCCAAATTTGCCGAATTAAGAGCAATCATGAGTAGATTAACGAGAGATGTTAAATTTCATAAAATGGCTCCAAATGAAATAATCAGGGTAAGAATAGGATTCAATTTATTCTGGTTGTTATTAAACCTTTTTTGATTTTCTTTACAGACAGTGCTTCCGTCTAAAACAATTACTCACGACAAAATATTGGCTACTTTACTTTATCAAGCTGATAAAGGAATGTATAGAGACACATCCAAGTACAAAAGTCAATTTGGGAGTTGATTGTGATAATATTAACTCTTATCTGCATAATTATGAAAAGAGACAATTAACTGGTTCCATTATAAAACCTCTGTACAAAAACGAATGTTTCGATCAAAACCTCCAAATCTTTACCAATGTCAACAGTATTTATGTTTGTTTCATTTATCATCACCAGTATCATCATCATCATCAGCTTTGTTAATTATAAAACATTCAAAAAATATTTTACATTGTTACTATCTCAGAGTCTCACTGTGCTACTCATGGTGTAAAATTATTCTTTACTATATATACTTCTTTTGGTATTTCACTCGTCAGTGTTTCCTTTTTTTCTAAAAATTCTTGCTTGTGTATATTGTTGTCATTGATTTCTTAATCTAATTCGTATTGTTGTTGTTGTTTTTTTTATTCACTAAGAATCATGAAAAATCAAGCATCTTTGAATGCCACAACCGATTAAAACCTTGAATGTTTTCATCAATACTTTTTCAACAAAAATCGTACAAATGACGCCAAACCAAAAATGGAAAAAATACTTCTTCGACACGATCATTGTCTTTCTTGTCTCGTATCAACATAAATTGTCTGTAAATCATAATGTGCAAAATATATTAATTTTCTTACTTAAATAAAAAATAAACATTTGTGAAATTAATAATTGAACATGAATGACTTGTCAATATTGAAGTAATTAGAGATAAATGAAATAGTAATTAACACGGGACTTGTTATAGCATATTTCAGATAAATCAGTAATTTATAGAGGCGTTAGTCTGGCTTGAGGTCACATAATTTAAACTGTGAAAAGACACGATTTTATCTGCAAAAGTACAACATCTTAAACAATGTTGCAATATATTAATTCGCGAGCAAATTGTAGCTCGAGAGGTAGATTACAGCATATTCAAACCATAAGACGCTGAATAAAGTAATGAAGTATTCATGAATAATGAAGAACTTGCAAAACAATTAACGGAACGATATAGAGGTTAAGTTAATGTTCAAGTAATATACTTTGAAATTAACGTTTTCGTGGGGGTGCACCGCCACCACCACCGCCACCACCACTACCTCCTCCGCTACCACCACCTCCTGGTGCTCCTCTACCACGTCCACCACCACCACGACCTCTTCCTCGACCTCGTCCTCTACCTCGTGCAGCGGCTTCTCTCTTTTTGGCTTTAGTTTTTGGAGTATCATCCACTAATAGCGTCTCCAAAGGTAACGCATCAGGTAATAGAAAATATCTGATGTTATTTCCTCTAATCGACAATGCTTCCAATTTCACTGGATCAGAACCTTAATATTACAAAGAAATAAATTCGATATTTAGTAAAATTTTAGAATGCAAAGAAATAATAGTCATACCTTTAGGTGGAACTACTTTAACAGATTTCATGTGTGTATTCATGGCGACATCAACGCCAGTAACAGTACCAGTCACAACGGTTCCATTTTTTAATTCTACCGTTAATGTCTCATTAGAAAGTTTCATTAAAAATCTGAAAGCCAAAAGCAAAAACTGTTATCACTTCAATTCAATTGAACAAAACAAAGAAACAGAAAGATACAAACCTGACGAGTTTCATAATGAAATATTGATCAATCCAGATTCGAATGATATTCTATCTGTCAAGCTTTTAAATTTACAGATAATTGATGAAAATTTTTGAGAATTACAAACTCGACGAGAGTTCATGCGATGAATTTTGAAAAAATTTCAAAATTTGAGCTCCGATTTAATTTTGCATTGCCTCCGAAAATTTTGCCGACAAATAAGTGGTGCCACCACCTAACATTTAAGTGAAGTATATTTGAAGCGCTATCGGCTTAAGCTTTTAAAAAATCACTTAAATTCTTAATTGTAATTTCATCTAATTGTGATTTATCAATGTAATCATTGATTCTTGACAAAGTGGCAGCATTAATTGTTAATTTTTCTTGACAAAATGCTCTTTGGAAATGATGTTTAGGATTGGAGGCTGAATACTCATATTTCAGTGGATAGATGGTGCTGCGCCATTGAGTCTCGTGTTGTAAATAAAATCTCTTTAAATTGTACATGTGTTTCCGATAAGCAACCAATTTAGTAGGAATATCAATTTGTTAATTTAATTCGTTTGATTGAAAATCGCTTGTGTTTTTAAATAATGGGAAAGACAAGGAAAGTAAAAGTTAAAAGTGTGCAGCGAAACTTGCCTTTGGCCCAACAACTTGAAGAAGATGCTATTGTTAAACCGTCAACTCGGGTTAGGAAAACTGATGATGAACAGCCCGCTGAAAAGGTAAATTACGTTCATTTATTGCTTTATTTATTTATTTGGATGTGTATGTAAGTCAATTTTTCTTTTCTTTTGATTTAGTTTATCGAGGGTCGTTTAAGTAAAAAGATATTGTTAGAAGCGCGTCATCAGCAAGACGAATTGGAGGAAGAATTAGGACTTAAGGATGATGTATCTAAAGATCTTGGTGCTATTATTTCCAACCTAGATATCAAAGAGGGTGAAGGTATACAAGATGATGTTTTCGTCAATGTTGATGATCAGGAAGCCTATTACAAAGATCTCAAAGTCAGTGAAGCTGATGAAATAGCTCTTCAACTCTTCATGAATCCAAAACAAAAAGACAAGAAAACTTTAGCAGATTATATTATGGAAAAGTTGAAAGAAAAGGAAACAGAAGTCAACACCCAATTTTCTGATATTGCCAGTGTTAAAATGCAAGATTTAGATAAAGAAATTGTCGAATTGTATAAAGGTGTTAAGCTTGTTTTGTCTAGATACAGGAGTGGTAAAATACCAAAAGCGTTCAAGATTATTCCGGCTCTCTCCAATTGGGAGCAAATTTTGAGCATCACAGATCCAGATAATTGGACATCAGCGGCAATGTATCAAGCTACTCGTCTATTTACTGCAAATTTGAAGGATAAAATGGCCCAGAGATTTTTTAATTTAATTTTATTACCTAGGATTCGTGATGAGATATCTGAATACAAAAGATTAAATGTTCATCTTTACCAATCTTTGAAAAAAGCCTTATTCAAACCTGGAGCATTCTATAAAGGTTTGTTCAAACTCAAAATAATTAAACTAGGTTCGAAATCTAATTTTCTCTTATTCTTAATCCTCAGGTATCGTGTTACCTTTATGTCAAGATGGTGACTGTACTCTTCGGGAAGCTGTTATAATTTCGAGTATTTTAGCGAGAACAAGTATACCTTTGATGCATTCATGTGCAGCAATGTTGAAAATAGCTGAAATGGAATACAGTGGAGCCAACAGTATCTTCTTATTGACATTATTGAGAAAAAAGTATGCTTTACCATATCGAGTTATTGATGCCATTGTAGCCCATTTTCTGCGCTTTTCAACTGATAAACGAGATTTACCTGTTCTTTGGTACCAAGCACTTTTAGCATTTGTGGAAAATTACTCTAAAGACATTTCAGATGAGCAAAAAGATGCTCTCACAGATCTTTGTAAGATACATCGGCATCACAAAATAACTCCTGTTATTTTATCACATATTCACCAAAAAATGGACGAATAAATTACCCCTGTTTATATCATAAATGATGATTGCTTAATATTATCAACTTGAGGTGTGAAAATAAAATTCTAAAGTTTATCTTCAAATTTGTACGCCAAACTTGTTTCAAGATTGTGCATCCATGTTAGGTTTTGCTAGCAAAGTAGCAATCTTCATCGTTGATTAAGTTTGACACCAAATTAAAAATTTTTCAATTGTTTGAAAATTTTCTTTGATTCACAAAATTATTGTGTTAATAATATCAAATCATTGTAAAATGTCCATTTTGTGATGATTTCATTCTTGTGATGACGTTTTTTTATTAACAAACCAACCCTCGATTTATGGGTTTGTTTACGGTTTTGAGTTTAAAAAAGTGTTTAACCGTTTATTTAAACGTCATTTTTAAAACTTTTTTTCTAAACTGTAAAAGAAATACTCTGAATTATTGTATTTTAATTATATCATGGTTATCACTTCTTATTTCTCGCTTGAAGCTGAGGATCAACGAATTAGAAATTTAATTGGGGTAAGTCTATTTGATTCATTTATTTTTTTCAGTTTTTAAGCTCGTATATTGTTCAATGCTTTATAATATGGTGTCAGTATAATTAAAATATTTTATCTTCACCTTATTTGCAATTAAATTTTAGAACGATTTTTATTGATTCATATCAATAAAAACTCTTAACAACTCTTCACAAGACTTGTTACTTATAGCTATTTCATTTTTGTATCTGTCACTTTGAAATTAGACTTGCATGAAATAGATTTAACTTCTTTTCTTGTTACATCAATTATAAGATTTGATTTATAAATTCCGAGTAAATTTTATGTATCACAAGTAGATCATTTTGAGTGATTTGAGCTACACAAATTGTGATTAAATAATAAAGGATTAAATTAATCTTGAACTATGATGTGTTTTTATTTCATTTAGGCAAGAAAAAGGTATTCTGAATTTTCTAAAGATCAAAGTAAAAATGGGTCTAGAGAAGCATCGAAGTTAAAAGCTAAAATTCACGATAACCGAAAAGAGATTTCAAAGATCAAAAGTGAATTGGAACAATGCCGGACAGAATTCAATAGAATAGTTAAAACCATTGGTCGAGCCCATGCTGAAGCTATTCTACGCGAAGATGAAGAAGACATTGTTGATGAATTGATTAAACAACGAGACAAAAGAGTCAAGGTAAATAAATCTTCTGTGAAACATTAATTTCTGAACTAATTACTAATTCTAACTAAATTAACAATTATTTTCCATCCACAGTCCAGAGCAGAATTAGTATTATTAGAAGAAATCCATCGTTTAAAGTTATTGGATCTCAAAAAGCAATTGGAAAAGGAGAAATTGCTTAAACGACGTCGAGAAATTTTTAGCATGCGAAGTCCAAAACCAAAAGTTAAAGTCAACAAAGAATATCAAGAAAAGCTGAATGAATGGAAATTATTGGAAAATGTTTTACAAAATGAGATCAATCAACTTAAAAAGGACAAAGAATTATCTCGCACGAAGAGTCTGGAACCAAGCACTGATAAAGATATGAAACAAGTGAAGTTTCGTACAAAAGTTACTAAAGTGAATACTCATGCCAAGAAAAAAGTTGCAAAAAATGTTGAAGTGCAAACTGAAGCTAACCATGTTGAATCTGCAACTCAATCCGAGACTCGGAGTGATCAACCTCTAGAGGAAACTTATAAACTATCGAAACCAAAACTCAATCAACCAGCTTCATCACCAAACGTGCCTACACCTTTCAAACAAGTGAATATGAGGCTTGAAAATTTGCTTACTTTGCGTGTTGCGGAAAAAATAAGCAAGTTAATGACAGAAGAACCTACTGAGATGGTGAAAAACACCAAAGACATAGGAATAAATACTTCAAAAGTTGAACCGGTACATGACATGAGTGAAACACTTTACTTGCCGTTGCCTTCTGATAAAAGATCTGAATCCAAACAAAAAACCCACAAAGAGACAATCAAAGAATCTGTTGATCGTGATATAAATAAATCTTCAACTGATGTTTCTTCATCTCTTGTCGATCTAAATTTAGAAGAACTAGTAACAAAAATACAGCACATCAAACACCTAGTGAATTATAAACATAAAGAATTGTCAACTAAAGTCAATAATATCTCTTTTGGAGATAAAAAACTTCTGAATTCTAATAATTTAACATATGTTTGTGGTAAAGTAACTCATGACCAATCTGTTATTGACGAACAAGAACTTGAGCCAAAAGACCATGAAACTGTTTCATTAGTTTTAACAGACGCATCTTCCTCAACACCTTTATCCTTGTCTCAACAATCTTTGCCATCTCTTTCATCTTCAAAATGTTCAACACCAAATTCATCCAATCGAACCTTTACCCAGCATAATCCACAAATTACCAAGCACCAGTTGTCTATCTCTTCCGATGATTTAAGTCTATCTATGGAAGAAGGTAGATGCAATGATTCACTTTCATCAGTATCTCGGAATCAATCAATTAGCAATTCCTTTGATTTCTCAAGTTTTACTAATCTACTGACAACTGATAAATATTGGTCCAGTCTAATAGACTTAACCGGGATTAAAAGATCCAACACATCAACTAAAACTCATCAACGGCCTTTTAGATACATCCAATCAACTCCCAAAGCTAAAAATTACCGCGAAAGTATTATCTGAGTAATAATTTCTCAAATAGACTATTATTATGCTGAATAATTATTTTTTTACGATACTTTATGTTTAATTTAAAAGACTCACTTCTTCGTAACAAAACTTGTGAACAAATAAAATTTGATATTTTCAAATTATTTTTTAGAATCAATTATTGCAAACTATAGCTTGCAGAATATGAAATAAATTGGAAAAGAGTTTGGTTAATATAATTAGTACAATTGTTTGATTTATTAATTGTCGGAATATTAATGAATATATATTCTTATATGAAAATAAAAGCTGAGGTTCCACATAAGAGAGGGTCATTAACATCGTCACCATAAATGTTTAGTCTTTCGCTAAGGATTTGGTTAACACTTGTTAGTATTTTTTTTTGTTTTACAGCATGTTTTACAGGTTTACACGTTAGGATAACATAACGTCGGATAAGCTCACATTTAAACTAATACCATGTAAATAAAATTCAGTTGATTATTAGTGGGGATGAGCAATACATTATTTGATTAAAGTCACCATCAATAGTCAGTAGTTTTGGCGAGAAGCATCGATCAACAATAATCAAGTCTTTGTCTCTTTCGTTACCATAAAATTAAGTTCAGTTTATTAATCTTTGTCTTTTTTTTGTTGGATTTGCTCTTCTCGGGTTTAGTGCTTGTAAAAGATGAGAATGAGTTGTAAATAGTGAAGCTTTAGATTGATTAAGATTAAATGCGTCTTGAGGCGGTGTTTTGAGATTGTTAGTAAGAAAAAAATACGAAATAAAAAGTTTTATGTGGCATAAAAACAATCAACCATCAGAAATACAGATGAGATGATTTCATTTTGACTAGAAATCTTGACGATTCTGAGTTTGACAACGGTGGTTGTGTGTGCATGGTGTTGAAGAGTTAATCATGTCAGATTCATTTCAGGGTTATTCAGCTTGATGAAAAAATACGAATAACGATCCAAGGAGATTCCAAAATTGTTAAGAAAGGAAGACTACATGATAATGTAAAAGTTTGGAAGCAATGATGATGAAAGTTTTCTTTTGATGAAAAATCAAGGGGAAAGTTTAAAGATTGACGTAAAAATGATAAGCATGTAAAATACTCATGGATTAAAATCAAAGTTGCATTGAGGAAATAAGCTATCAAAGTAAGTACTTAGATGTGTAAAATGATGACCATTCCCAGAAAAGTGTTGATGAGATTTGTTATCGGTCAAGAGTAAAATAATTGTCACCTAAATTGGTCTAAAATAAAAGCAACTTAAAGTGATTATAAAAGAGAATAATTTGAAGAAAAAGAAAAAATTAGCGATTAAATTCAGATCAACGAATAATGGCATCAATAAGTGAAGTTTGTAAGCATTTTCATCACGATTCTTTTAAATTTCCGACATGGAAAAATGCTTTTATTTTCGGCTGTAGATTCTACTCAGTTGCGCTTTTCGTTCCCATGTTTCGTTAAAAAATGAAAAGTGTCGATAAACATGGTGTCAATATTTTGATTAAGATGAGTTGAGATGCATAGTATTGAATTGTTGAATCAATGCTGGAGCAGAATAAGATGAATAAGAATTGTTATACATTATTGCTTGAGGAAAATTGTTTCCATCATATGCTGGCGGAGGGACAACATTAGGGTTTGCATTACGTCTGAGTTTTAGTTTAACTTGAGCGCCACTTTGATGAATAACTTGAACTGCTTCAGCATGCGTCATTTTAACAGTACTAATGCCATTAATTTCAATTATTTCATCGCCAACATTGAGTAATGAGTGAGCTGGTCCATCAGGAGCAATTCTTAAAATAAACAAAGGCATTCCATTGAACTCGGCTCCTCCTCGGATTGAGAAACCGAAACCTTTAGAACCTCGAATTAGCTCAACGGAATAACTGTCAGCCGGGATAATACGAAGACATAAAGCACGACCTGATTCTTTAATCATGTTGACCACTTCAGGGTGAGATGTATTACGAATATCTTGTCCGTTGACCATAATTATTTTATCCCGTATTCTGAGTCGACCACATCGGTGAGCTGGACTTCCTTCAATTATTCGTCCAATCAAGGCACAATTACCATAGGATATAATTACAAAACCAAAATCCTCGTTAACTTCTCGCTGAAGAACAACATCATAAGCATCAGAATTTTTCTTCCTTCGAACCAGCAAAGAGACTGTATTATCACAGGAAGACATGAGGTTAACCACAGTGTGATGAGAGGCTCCAGTTATGTCCCTTGTATTGATTGACAGTATTTCGTCTCCAGCTTTAAGAATACCATCTTTATGGGCTACTCCGCCGATCACTATGGACCCAACGGAAATGTTTCTCCCCTCTTCTGCTCCTCCAACTATGCGAAATCCGAAACCAGCTTCCCCTCTAGTGAGGACCACTACAAAGTATTCATAATCATCCTCATCAGGAAATCTGTTATGGCCAAGATATTCTTCTCCTGTGCCCATTTCATCGCCATTTTGAATCATATGTGCAAAATGAGGATGAGGCGGTGGAGGAGGAGGATTATTACCAAGACCATTGGCAACTAAACTATCGCTGGTCAGCTCACTGAGACCATAAGGATCCATATTGAGTTGTGATGACGTTGCATTCATAACTGGGCCATTTTGTCCAACAACCCTCATCCCTCCTACTCCAACCATATTGTACATGGAGTTACTAGCGTGTTGAAGGTGAGGATGTTGACCACCATTGAGACCCATATTAGAGGATGGACTTGGTGTAGCTTTTTGATTTATCATCATACTATTTGGTGAATAGTTACTTGATTGACAGTATGCACTACTTTCATATGCATTGTTGTTAATTAAACAGCTTTGAGGAGTTTGATAAAGTTCGCTTACCGACTGCTGTTGAAGCTGCTGTTGAAGTTGTTGCTGAAGTTGTTGTTGAAGTTGTTGTTGGAGTTGCTGTTGATTGATTTGCTCATCATTCATGTAATCAAGATCTCGTCGCGCCATCATTTCACAATTAGGAGTTTTACAATTACGTTGAGGTGTATTGGCTTCCTTTTCATAAATAGTGCTGGGAGATTGAAGAGTTATAGGGGTTTTACTTCGAAAACGTTTTTTACGTTTTACAGTCATACTCGCTGTATCACCGATAGAGCATTGTTTGAGTGCTTCAACAACTTTAGCATGAGGTAAACTAGACAGGTCGGTATTGTTAACAGTAACCAAAATATCTCCAACTCTAAGTAAGCCACATCGATCAACATCAAGAATTTTTTTTACCTTTTGACCTTTGTTACTATCTGATATGGTAAATCCAAAACCATCTGAGCCTTTTGTTAAATTAATATTTAAGAACTCATACTCTTTATCTTCTTCGCTGGTAAATTCTGGTGGAAGTTGATAACCACGGGCAAAAGTTAATTTAACTCGATCACCTACAACAAACGTTCCAAAAAGACGAGCGATTTCTGAATGTTGAAGACCCGAGACTGAAACACCAGAAACTGAAACTAGAACATCTCCCGGTTGGATAACACCACTCTGATCAGCAGGTCCTCTTGGCACAATATTTTTAACTACAACTAATCCCTTGTCTAATTCAATTAAGGTAAACCCGAAACCATTGGCACCTTTGGTTAATTCTATCTCATAAGGCCGTTCATATTGAGTTCTCTTATTGATATGATCAATATAGTAAACACCATAATGAGCATCACTTATTTTCTCCCAACCGTGAGGCAATGAACTAGCATCGATGGCAGCGATATTACTCCTATTTCGTCTTCGTTTAGCTGCCAAATTGCTTGAAAATTGATTAGCCGTGACACCAGGTCCAATAACAGGTTCTCCAGTACTGGTGCCTTCTGGATGTTTATCGCCGCTATCATTTGAGTCAGGATTATTTGGATCACCTCCTTCCCTTCCCTGAGAATTTACATATGAAACATTCCTATTTAACATCTCTTTGTTCTCATAGTTTGAGTTAGATCCTGGAAGCATCGGGATGTTTGAATTAACAGCAGTTGATAATGGCAATGGAGTACCATAATGATGACCCGAAAATATACCGCTTTCAAGAAGGACACCACTTCTTTCCATTTCCATGAACTCTTCAGTCGTGATGAACTTATAATCAACTCCATCGATCTCACCCGGCTTGGGTAACCTTGTTGTACATGGAATGGTTCGCATGTAAACATTGTCTCTAATAGTTGCCTGTAAATCATGGTCAACAGACCCACGAGCAAATCTTCGAGATAAATATTCCCTCAGGTCAATAGGAAGGCCAAAAGAGGAGCTACTTGAGACAGCTTTTATGTCAACCAATGGTTTATTATGTATCAAATCAATAACATCATTCCTTGTTAAACCAGCAACTCGATGGCCATTAACTTCTAACAAAATATCACCTGAGTCCATTAAATAAGGCAACTGTCCATAATCAGAACCCCCTGCAATACTCCATTCCTCTATTCGAACCTCTTTAGCTTCATAGACAACTTCACTCCAATGTCTCAATTGAGGTATTGTAGGAACAGATTCAATGGGTGGGACTCCATATCTAACTTGGCTTTCTAGATTAGCTTTATCATAAATCTGTTCTTCGATTTCATTTTTATCAAGATACTCCTGATTCAAGTTCGATTGGAGATCTTGATGATGAAGCTGCTGGTAATGTTGCAAATTGTGCAGCTGTTGATCATTTTGTTGTTGTTCCTGTTGATGTTGACCTTGTTGGTGATGTTGTTCGTTATATTTATTACTAGATTCACGTTCCATTGTAAAATTAATTTAAATGTTCAGTAGAGATAAATTGTCTAATAAATAAGTACTATTTTTTACTAGGCCACTTGATAGCATTTATCCGCTTAAAGCAACCAAAATGGTAACAACACATGAGAACATAAATTTAAGTAAATACAAACGGCAACTTCACAATTGAAACGTTACACAAATTCAACCAGTTGAGTTGTATAGAATGACAAAATTTCATTAATATCATAACACAAAATTATTGTGAGTGAAACAAATTATTAAAATCGGCAAATTTTTTGGAAACATTAAACAATTGTAAGAAGAAGAAATTTAGTAAAATTGTAACAAAAAATTGACAGCAACTGAGAATAACAATTCTCTATTTCAACAGATTTATCGGTGAAAATAAGACCGATAAAGCCTTTTATTATGAATGAAGTTATTCAACTTGTAACCAGTAACCACATCGAGTCCCTCCCAGTCACAAGTAACCGGTTGCTTGTTAATAACAAAATTTAAACCGCCAACATTTGAAACGGCAAATCGGCATTTTAATTTGTTTGCTTGTAATGAACATTACCCAGTGTCAATCCGATCGATTTTACTGCCAATTGTTCTTGCACCCTAAATTAATCATATCTTAATGCGTAAATCAAACAAGTTTACTAAGATTTTATAGTAAACAAATGAGATAATCATTCTGTGTTATTAATACTTTTTAATGTGATAAGTTTTGGTTAATCTTCATCTTTATATTGTTTACTCTTTCAACATAGGACGAGCGTACAATTAAAGACTAGGGTAAGATTTTTAGATTAATAAGAGGCTGAAATACTCTGAAATTATGACAAACTCGGACAATTAAATGTTGAGAGCAGCGTTGTTAAGCAAAACATTGCTCATGCAAAATCTTGCTTAAATCAAATCTTGCTCAATCATACTTAAGCTTGCTCTTAGTTGGAATACGTTCGTGAACAAATCAGGTCAAAACCTGAAATTGAATTACTTACACTTGATGATTAAAAATTTCATGGCTAATTACAAATGTGAGGTCATAATGAACAAAGATTGATGCGTCCATTTTTGACTATAAACCACTCAAGTCTCTTGCCTTGAAACTCAAAGTGTTTGCATAACTTTTTGAATTTTAGTCGGTTTATTGATCTTTTACTACTTGATAAATTAGATTTGAGAGAAAGAGTGAATAGTTGAGTCGCTCAATTAAGAAAGACAATCTAGAAAAGTTAATTAATTGCAATCTAAAAATGAAACAGCTTGTTGCATGAAGGATAGATGGCGTGGCTTTTATACATATTTCCGGAGCTAGCGACGCATGTATCTTTCTTTTCAATTTGTCTTTTTTCAATGTCTGAAAATTGGTAAAATATCAAAAAATCTAAATTTGATTGTAAATTTGTTTTCTGTTACTTATGAGGTTTTAGCTTAAAGTCAATCTCTAAGGGCGCTTCAATCAAGGTAAGAATTTGTTTATTTCTCATTAATATCAATCATAATTAGTGTACTGGCTGTCTGTACAATGTTTTGAATAAGAAGCCATCTTGGGTTAGTACAAACTCATCGTTAACCCCTTTCTCTTGATTGTCTTCATATCACTCATTCCGATCATCCTATCTTTTCTCAATCTTCTCGTTTCTTTCATTTTTTAGACTATAAATATGTCTTCCTCCGAAGAGGTTTCTTGGATCTCCTGGTTCTGTGGTTTGCGAGGAAACGAGTTTTTCTGTGAAGTAGATGAAGATTATATACAAGACAAATTTAACCTCACAGGTTTATCTGACAGTGTACCACACTATAGACAAGCATTAGATATGATTCTTGACCTTGAACCTGATGATGAACTCGAGGATAATCCCAGTCATAGTGATGTGGTAGAACAAGCCGCTGAAATGTTATATGGTCTCATTCATGCCCGATATATTTTGACAAATCGTGGTATTGCTTTGATGATTGAAAAGTATCAAAATGGAGAATTCTCAACATGTCCAAGAGTTTATTGCGAAAATCAACCACTTCTTCCCATTGGTAGGTATCAATGATATTCATTGATATTTAGGAAAACGCCATGCAGTTGCTAGCAATCAGCAATTATCTATAATTAACTCATGAATGTATTTCGTTATATGAGATATATTTCAATCATAGTTTTTTAGTACAAAAAGCTCATTATACAACAGAAAATGATGTTATGGTACATTTTTCTTTCTTTGTTTATAAGGAGAAACTTCAAGTTTCAACCTACTGTCAAGTTGAAAAAAATATGCAAAATATTGCTTATTAAGAGTAAGAACTATTTTGAAATTTTCATCGTGACTGTAGAAATCTGAACTTCTTAATGCGCAAACTTGATGAAAATGTACCAGAGCTCAATTTTCTGTATGGTTTACTAGCTTCGGTTTTCGTGTCTCATTTTATTTTGAACTTTGTAAAGATTTGATATTTCGAAGAAAATGGTGTCTTTTTTTGCGTAGATTACTATTATCATCATTCAAACCTTCATCAACCATCTAACTCTGTCTTTTCCAATCTTATCCATTAGGTTTGTCTGACATTCCTGGAGAAGCAATGGTTAAAGTGTACTGCCCCAAGTGTAATGATGTGTATAACCCTAAGTCCAGCCGCCACCAACACACCGATGGTGCATATTTTGGCACTGGATTCCCCCATATGCTTTTCATGGTTCACCCTGAGTATCGTCCTAAAAAACCTACTTCTTTGTTTGTTCCGCGTTTATATGGTTTCAAGATTCATCCGATGGCTTATCAACTTCAACAGCAAGCAGCAGCTAATCATAAACCAATTAGACCAATTACATATGCCAACAGTAACAAAAGATAAAGAATAAATTAGAAATTTCTTGTTCTGAACTCACAATTTTGATTCATAAATATTTAATCTTTATTAATTACAATTCCATCAATATTTTACATTGTCATTTCATTTGAATCAATTACATATTTTATCAATCTCGTCCAGAACTTGTCCAGAAATTGTTTCATTGTACGCATTTATGTTGATTATGATAAACATTGATGTTTTGTGGATGAAATTTAAGCTCAAATGATTCGCCAGAAAAAAAAATGCGCGTGTATGAAATTATTTACCAATACGTTGAACGATCCATTCTTGTTGACAAAGAGGGCATCTATTGTTTTGTTGAACCCATAATGACATACAGCAATTGTGGAAAGAGTGGTTACATTCACCCCAAACAGCAACACAATCATCTTGCTTATTATCAGCTTGGCACCGAAGACAAGCGTCCATAAGAATCACACGACAGATAGCACAGGTATCGGAGACAACATCCCAAGACCACATGGCCACAGCATTCCATTTTTTGAGAGAGAACAACTTGTTATTATTGCTGGAATCAGCATTACTTGAGTTGTTATTATTATTGTTATTAACAGTCATTGTTTTGCAAAATAAATAAAACAAGTTTAATAATGTTGATGAAAGAATGCTTTAAAAAAGATGAAAATACTGAAAAGTTGTGATGAAAATGCAAGCACAGAGACAATATCAAAGATTAAAGTGTTTTACTCTTTGGACAATACAGAATTCAGAACACAAACAAACAACTGACAATGAAAATAGTGCTGAGCTGATTCAATTCTAAATCGATTAATCGAATAAGAATTGATTTTTAAGCTTTTAAAAGGAAGGTAAATATCGAAGTAAGCATACCCTTTAAATACCTTCGATATGATCTTCGTGACTTCCTTTTCCCTTAACAGAACTGTTGGAGAGCTTAGAAATATATTCAGACGATTATACCTGAGAAATAATAAAGCTGAACATTTTGAGGAGCTTATCCTCAACTTGAAGTCCTCAAGGGATTTGAGGCAAGGTGCGAATGCTTCGAGTTATAAATCGATTCAAAAAGTCAACTTGATTTGACAAAGGGTTGAATATCATGAATATTTTTGTACTTGAATGATTATATCGAAGGTTTATTTTACCATTTAAGATTTTTCCAATAAAACACAGAATTTTGCACTGAAGATGATTTAGTTTTGAATGAAATTCCGACCAAAGTTCTAACTCAATTCCAAATATAAATTGGTAACAATTGAAGTGAGTTCAATATTCATTATTTTATGAATGAATTTGTTTTCATTTTATGATCGATTCTCAAAAATAGAGTTTTCGATTCAATCGATCAATTTATTAATCGATGCGGTGCTGCTGCCATCTATTGTTTTTTACTGTTACTGAAGTTTGAAAAATTCACGAAAAATCATCAAATGTTTCAACTTTCATTAGATCATTAGATAAGTACAAGTACTAAGGATAGAAAAATTCATATGAATAAGGTTTGAATATTATCAACTATTGAAATTTTAAAGAAAATTAATGTTTTAGTGATTTCCATTGAAAATTTGCTGCCGAGTCCATCTTTTAAATCTAATTAGTTGACTGTTGAAATTCAAGTAAATTCAGTTGTGACTGAACAACCAACATGTTATCTACATTATTAAGATAATGTCTTACCCTGTCGAGTCATAATAGATGTCATTGTGGGCCGATTTATTTGCCATTTGCAAAAGCTAAAGATAAAAGATAAAAGAGGAAAAAAGCTAAACCTTTTTACCATTGAAATTCATTGAACCTTAAAAACATATATACTGGTAACATTGATAGGGATCGATAGAGTGTTTCACAAACCTCCTTACCTCACCTCCTCCTCTTCATCATACTCTATCTTACCATCCTCATCCTCATCCTCATCTTCATCTTCCTCTTTCTTCATTAGTCTCTTCTAGAGCATTATCAATCATATGCGTAAAAAAGACAACCTATTAAAATTGTATACACAAAAATGGTAAGACCAAACATCCAGCTTTTAAACCCCAAAAATATGATTCAAAATGGTCTTATAATCATTTTATCTTCTTTTCTCTTTTCTTTTTTTTCTTTATCTTCTTCATTCTTATACAGATGACTGAATATCACCAGAATCTATTGATAATCATCAGCAAAAATGTGAAACAAAGTTAAAACCAGATCAGATTGAACAATAACAAGGCTTTTCAAATTTATTCACAAAAAGGTGAACCGGTTCACGTTGGCCATTCATTGTTTCATTTATTGCTTAATTGGCCAAAATTATGGATCAATGGTTGTGATTTAGCAATATCTGTTTACCTCATTAAAGGGAATGTTCATTTCAACTCTTGAAACTCTGTGTGGCCCATTAAGAGATCCAAAAAAGGCCAAAAAGATGGTTTCACTCCCTTAAGCTTTTATCGCCATTATCAACATATGTGCATCATATTGAAAACATAATCCAAATATTGTTGAATTTCTTGTCTATTTCCAATCATTCAGTACTAATCAACACTCTGGAGATGCTAATACAATGTGACAGAGAAGCTTATCTGATATTCAAATGATTATAATAATATAATGCCAACAGCGAAACAAGACTCTCAGCTGATCCAATATCAATGAGTTAAGTGTACAACAAAATCAATTGTACAGTTACGATATTACAATTGTTTGATTGTAGTTGTTGGAGTAACAAAAGAAACACAATAATCATTAAATTATCACACGAAATTGAAATTGAGAGTGAAAGTCTGAAAATTGATTATGAAATAGATGTGCATTACAATTTGTTAAATTACATTAGTATATTTTTTTGTACATACATAAAGGTACCAACAATCTTTGATCAATGTCAAATTAAATGTTGATTCAATTACATTATTTGATGGGGATTGATTTGAAGTTAAAAGGTTGAACATTGAAGTAAACATTCTAATGTCATCAGATTTAATCAAAATCAATGAATGACGCGTTTTTTCAGGCCTGACAGGTAATATAGCTTTCAGTCTTTCCCAATGTAAACATACGACCAAAAAAAATATAAAATACTATCTCTAATAATAATAATAACACTAGTACGACTAATAATAATCAGCGCAATGTTAATAAATCCTGAGTAAGAAAAGCTCTTGAAAAGACATTAAAAATCAATGGTTGAAAGTGAATGCAGGAAAAAGGTTGAAGAGCTCACAACCTCAATCTATACTGAATCTCTGAGGAAGAGCAGAATCATCATCCAAAGATGATCATTTCCAGGGTAAACATGAACATGGTGAAGATGGTAAAGTAAGAGACGGTGAGAGACCAAGAAAGGCGTCAGTGTAAGTGAATCAGGCTGGTGCTTCAGGCTGTTGTAGGCTTTGTTTACAGGCGTGTTTAACTTTGGCCATTGGTTATGGATTCATCTTCAAGGCGGTCTTTCCATTCATTGAGATTGCTCCAGCGATTATCTTCATCTGAAAGAATCTGAAATAGAGAGAAGAAAAGATTAGTCTCATCATCATAATCATCATCATTATCATCATTATCATTAACATTATCATTATTTTTCTGCATGTGTTTCTGTATTGTCCTTTCAAACTTAAACATTCACATTGACTAAAAACTGTCTTCTTCTTCTTTTGATACTCTCTTAATATTAATATTATTATTTTATTAGTTACAAGTGACAATCAATTAAATAAAATATTTCATCATAATCATCATTTTTATCATCATCGCCATCCTAACAATCATCATCATAATCATTTTGATTGCTGTTGCTGTTATAATCAATGTCTACAGCAATGGTCAAAGGTGATCAGTGAAAACCCAAACAAAAACTGTGATCATTACAACCAACAGCGATTAATTGTTACATATATTTATACAAGTCTAACCATTAACTTGATAATTAACTTGATTATGCAAAGGATAATTGCTCTTCTCAATTAATATTGTGTTTATCAAATGATAACCTGGATTCAACTTTGATTTATTTTCAGATTCATTTTTGTTCAACATTTTGCTTCAATACTTACCATTAGAAAGCAAAGAAAAGTGTAAACACTGTTTTTTTAATTGATCATCATCTTGTTTAATTTATAAATTTGTTGCCAAAATTAATTTCAAATGAATAACCAGGAAATATGAATTTTCAGTTCCATCTTTAACCTCATCTGTTTATCATCAGCCAACTCGTATAGGAATCCATTTGTTGGGTAAAATTCTGGTCCAGTGTTTTGAAGGAAACATCTTGGAAACTGAGGAAGCAAGAGAAGCAAAATTATGAATTATGTTGAATTGGTGAAGATTAACCAACCAATAAGTGAACAATTTAAGTAACAACAATCATCATTATTTAACTGTGTGTGCAATAATGGAGCTTAATAAGTGTTATTAATAATCAATTGATCAATAGTCAACTATAATCGGCCAATAATCCAACTGGATAAGCCTCCAATTTTACCATTTTTGTTTCATTTTGTGAGTTTTCTCTTCAAATTGTCTAAATTGTGACAATTTGCAACATGTTAGTTCCACCTGATGTTACACCCTATGGAACCCCTAAATTATTGTATCATCTAAATAGATATTGTACTGATAGAGTTAATTATCGAAGAGGACAAATTGCCAAAACAATTAGAGAGATTGTTAAGATTGTTCAAGATGTTTTGAAGGAGGTTGAAGTACAAGAGCCAAGATTCATCTCTAGTTTAAGTGAATGTAATGGATTTTATGAAAATGACCGACCCTTAACACAACTCAAAGGTTAATTGTTACAATTAATATAAATTTTCCTCTTTAAAACCCATTTTTGATCCATCTTTTTGCATCTCAATCAACTCTTGAAATAATTGTTTCATTTTCTCAGCGGTACAAATGTATTCAATGGTTAATCTGTGTTTAATTTCATTCAAACAATTTGATTCAACAATTTAATGGTTATGATTAATTTCAAGAGCGTAAAAATGTCAACTTTTATGCTTCCATTAACTGTAACAAATTGATTGATACATTAAACTATCAGTCAACTGGTTTATCAAGTGTAAAGTCAGTTTAATGATGGCTCTAAATTGTCTTCTTAATAAGCATATAATTGAACCAGAAAATCATTGATTTTGCTTGCCAATTATTCAACTTTCCAATCATAATTGAGAGTCGAGTGACATGGGATTATCATGATTGAATTTGATAAATATGATTCTGTGAGAAATGTATATTTTCCCAGACAAAATGAGCAATTTAATTTCAACCATAAAATCGTATCAATCCAGTTGAATGAAAGTCTAATCTCGTTCTGATATCAAACCTTAAAATGAAGAGTCAAAACCCAATTTAACCCAAAATACATCTTTAAACAATAGCAAAGCAAATCTTAAAAAACCTTATTGAGATCAACACAACTAACCATTAACAATACAATTAACCAGAGTCAATTGTAATGTTTAATTGCGATAAATGACTAAAAAAGAGTTGATTGAAATGAAAATGGATCAAAAGTAAAATCAATTTTTGCTAATCTTTCCTTAAATTTTATCCTTTCCCATCTGACTCCAGGTTTGGAAGTTATATCACCAAATGAATTTGAAGTTATATTATATTTAAATCAAATGGGAGTATTTAATTTTGTAGATGATGGTTCCCTACCTGGATGTGCTGTACTTAAGGTAAGCTAACCTTTTGGTTTCATCTGTTTGGACAATCCTTTCAATCCAATCTTGAGTTGATTGGAAGAAACAGAAACCCAAAATTTTTGCTTCTTTCAACAATCTAATTTGTAATTTAATAAGGTTCAGGTTTTTGATCGTTATATTGTATTTTTAAATAAAAATGAGGAAAAATGTTTGATAATAAACATGACAAATTGTAATAGAATGAGCAAAATGAACAATAATGAACACAAGGCAACATTGAATTGTATTATCAACCATTTTACCCACTTGAATCCCCTTAAGGCCTTATTGACACGCGATAAACACACGTGTAACTGTCAATTGATGTTATTATGATACAATTGTTGGTTTTTTGTGTGCTGTTGTTGTTGATGATAATCGGTAAATTTGATAGATAAATGATAAACAAATTGTTTCCAGAAATGGGTAAACACTATTCAGATCAATTGTTTGCCTTGTGTTGATACTTTTCATGTTTAGTGAATGTTTTTCATCTAATTTAAGATACAAATTACCTGGTCTAATAATGATTGTTGTTGACTTTAATTGTTGACCGTCAATGTTTAACTGTATTCAGAATAGAGTTATCGGAAAGTCAATTTTGAGATGATTAAATTTTCATGTTAAATGGATGATTGCATGGAAGGAAATAATTTGTTATTGGCTGAAACATTATTTATTCATTTCACTATTTAACTGTACGATTAAAGTATACATTAATTATGAGACGTTGATAATTTGATTAGACAGTGAAAATGGTAACCCAACTTACTTATTGATTGCAGTCTAAATCAATCAAATATTAATGTTGGTAAATGATTTACTTTTTGCATCTCAATTTTTGTTCAGCTTTCTGATGGTAGGAAAAGATCAATGTCACTGTGGATTGAATTTATAACCGCCAGTGGTTACCTTTCTGCGAGGAAAATACGCTCAAGATTTCAAACACTGGTGAGTATTGAATTTATAATTATATTCCTACAATTTTCAGAGTCCAATCCGAATATTTAACAGAGAAAAATTAGTAAATTGTTAACTTAACCAGACATTTTTATGCATCTTTGCAAGGGGTTGTATACAAATAGCTTTACATTTGAAACCTTGTTGTGTACATTTCTTGGTCAACTTTTGGCTTTTAATCGGTATTATTGATTTTAATTGCTTACAATCAATTCTTTGTTTTATAATTCTATGAAATTTATTGAGACTTACCTTAATAGCTGTGGTCATCCATTTTGTTTGACCAGAAAAAGGGAAAAGATATTAATAATTTTTGTAATGCATAGCAACCAAGTGTCCAAGGATACATCAAATAGATAATTAGATTAATAGTTGTTTAACAGTTGAACTGGTATTTTGATTAATGAACACAAAATTTAATATTGTAATTGATAATGGTTCAGCTCTAATCAATAATCATTGCTTTAAAACGTTTGATGATGGTTAACTAATTATAATAAGCGCCACTTCCCTCACTTTTTACCTCCAAACAATCAGCTGTTTCAACCATGTAATCTTACGCTGTGTACATTGACTGATTTTTGGACTTTTTTATAAGGGCTTTTTGTTTATCGATTTTTTTTTTGTTTTACTTTTTTTGACCATTCTATGATTTTAGGTAGCTCAAGCTTGTGATAAAAGTACCTATCGAGATATGGTTAAAATGATTGCAGACACTAGTGAAGTTAAATTACGAATTAGAGAACGTTATATTGTTCAAATTACTCCAGGTATGTTAACATTTGTTCAATTTAATCTATTTTTTCTGTTCTATTTCCTCAACTCTTTACTAAATATTGTATCGTTTTGTTTCATAGCTTTTCGCTGTCAAGGCCTTTGGCCTCGTTCAGCTGCTCATTGGCCTTTGCCTGACTGTTCTTGGCCACCTCAAAGTGTTGTTGCTGAAATTAAAACTGAAGGATTTGATTTACTCAGTAAAGAATGTGTAACACTTCAGGTAAGATAATTTTGGTCAATATTATTAGATTCAGTAGAAGTGTTATTATCGATGTTTACTAATTAAGGTTTCTTCAATTAACAGGGTAAACAAAGCTCAATGGAAGGTGATGCTTGGGTTTTGAGTTTTGTTGAAGCTGAAAATCGATTATTACAGGTTTGTTAATCAACTAATTAATCAACAGTTAAAAGTTGGGTTGAATTTTCCTCCTTCCTCTCCACCCCATTTGATACACCTTTCCCTTTCCATTTCACCTCCTTATACGATGACCGTTAAGCTAACAACCCCAATTGATATCATGTATGATCAATTTAAACTCATCTTGTGTCTCTGTAAAACTCGCTTTAATCGCGACTTGAATGTTTAATCAGTTAAACCAATTGCTAGAGCAATATTCAAGATCAGATTCTTCTAATAATGGCAATAAATAATTATCCCAGTAACCAATAGATACACTGTCATAACCAGAAAAAAACTCAAAGTAATTATGTATGTATTTATAATTAACAAATGGGTATGAATTGTCAAGCAAACAAAAAGATATCAATTAAGAGTGTCATAATCTAGCTCAAAATTTGACCACTTATACAATTTACTAATGAACTTTTTTATTTCTGATTTCCAGGGTGGCTGTCGTAAGAAGTGTTTATCAATCTTAAAGACATTGAGGGATCGCCATCTCGACTTACCTGGTCAACCAATAACATCTTATCATTTGAAAAGCCTCGTTCTTTATGAATGTGAGAAACATCCACTGGATAGTGAATGGACAGAATCTTCCATAGGTGATAGAATCAACGGAATCTTATTACAATTAATTTCATGTTTACAGTGTCGTCGATGTCCACACTATTTCCTACCCAACCTTGACCTTTTCAAAGCAAAGTCCGCAAGGTGAGCCATAATCATAACCAAAGCTGACCAAATCAAGCCTAAACCTTCACAAGATAAGAAATCTAATATTAATAATTACAAGATGATCCAAGAACTCAAGAAACCCCAGAACTCACACACTTATCACTTAACCATATTGGATTTGAAGCTGTGCATTTTAGATTCATTTTTTGTCTTAAAATTGATTCTTAATTGTTGATTCTAATAATTGATCGTTTAAAGAGTTTGTTTTCACTGTTGATTGAATGGAAGAGTGGCAGTCGTATAGACAATCACTATCACTGAAAAGCAAAAAAAGCATGGAGTGATAAGTTACAAAACTATTTTCTAAATTATATGTTTACACCATTCTAATTTACTTTTGATATGCTTTTACATTGATTTGTTTCTGCTTTATTTTTCCCATTTGACAGGTTCCTTGTCATTATTATAACTACTCTTACACTATGAGAGTTGGACATTGTTTCGGTTAACTGATTACCGTTTTCAATGTTGATACTAGTAAAAATAATGATAATGATAACAATACCCAAAAAAACACAATAGCAATGTTAAAAGCAGCCAACATTTTACCTCAACCATTCAACCATAATCATCTATTTAATGTATAAAAGCAGTAACATAATAGTTACTATTTGTGCAAAAACAGACAAACTAGACTAGGTCAGTTAAAATGGTCAAACAAAATATGATCTAAGATAGTTAATTCCCAATTCAAACCATTTTCAAGTGTTGATATAAATTTGATACGAAAATGATTGGAAAATGATTGAGAAAACTGAACCAGCAAAAAACGCATTCAACTTCAATAACTTTCAATCCTTTCCAAATAATTGACTGAAGAGCAAAAAAGCTAACAATTTCCTTAAATCAAATTAATTAACTCTGATCAATCCTCAGTAAAACAATTCACGAATTGTTAACCAACATCTAGACTCTATTTTTTCTGGAAATCATTATTTTCTTGCAGCTATTTGCACTCACTACAATCTTATTTGATGATCCTTGCCTTTTCATCCTCTTCGTCTTGATCCTTCCTGACCATCTGATAATCATGAACCTATAAGACTGAATTTACTGTGAAACATTTATAATGATAATAAATATCAAATCCTAATTTAGATTCCATAAGTTTCAAAAGTAACTCCATAGCAATTCATTTAAAAACTCAATTACAAGCATGACAAACCAACAGTTTTTGTTTTGCCATCTTATCATTATTATATGAATGTAATATTTGAAGAAGAGCAACATTTCATGGTTGAACTCTGAACAAACATGACCATTATCAACACCCAAACAGTCAAATTAAATGGTTAAAAGGTTAATGGTTTGTGTTGTTTAAGACAAAAACAATCAATTGTAACCTAAAATGTTGAATAAGTAGTCAACAATTCCCTAAACTCATTTACAATTAATAATAAAAGCAAATGGTAACAATGTTAATTTCCATTAGTTTAATGAACAACAAAATAGAAACCAAATGACCATCTATTAGTATATTGTGTTAATAACAACACTTTCATATTAAATCATCTAAATGGTCAACATAAACAGTGTACATCAATTGAAAAGCTTATAGCCATAATCAATAGCAATTTAGATGTTTACATTTTTCACAATTGATCTTTCATTTTATATCGATGTTGGGTGCAAGTTGAAAAAATTTAAGTTTGTTGAGTTGATTAAACTATCATGTCACACCCAATGAATGATTATGATGATTATTATTATAATAATTCAGTGATAAATCAAGACGATTCTGCGTAAGCTTCGCGTAAATATTATTGTAAATATACTCCACCTTTTCCTCCTCCTACTTTCTTCATCCTCATCCTCATCCTCTTGAAACATCTTCAACAAACCTCCTTCTTTTCCTGCTTAAAGTATCTCTATTCATCTTCCTACTTGAAGAGACTTGAAAATTGTGAGTTGATTGAATCATGAAAAAAATATCCTTTTATCACAATTTCAATCAAATCAATAATCAAATTATTAGATCACACCGATTTCATAAAAATCAAATTGTTGTTGGCATTCGTTTTTTTAAAGGAGACTTTTGAGAAATCAATTTTTCTGTCTCACAATTTGGGTTATTGAATTTTATTTTTTAAATTCATGGTTAATCTTTGAGTATTTCATTGTTTCACTCAAAAGCTAAATATTTTCAGCTTGAGTTTGCATTTTGTTTTGGTCTTGTTTTCATCAATAAGGATCACTGATTTTTGTAAAATTGTTATCTTGTGTCTGTTTTGTAATTAACTTTGATTGTTGAATTTTCTTTAAATAATCTGTTCCTTTTTTTTCTCATTTTTATCTTCATGTTCATCTCTAGTCACTTGGAGACGGCAGCCAAGCAAACATGGCGTCTAACTCGAGAGCTTTTAACCAATCCAAGATCTTTTGATAAATTGTAAATCTTTTTTTACAAAACCTTGCACGGTAACAGATAACAACAGTTTACTAATTATAATGACGAGGACGATTGTAAGTTGGACAAAACTCTCATCAGCATTTGTCCAAGAGCTACATGTTTTGTTTATCACTGAAAGGATTTGAAATTGGAACCGTAAACTGAACCAGCAATCGGAGGAAAGTCCTTACTATTGGTCCTGATGTAAACCTTGATAAATGAATTGGATTACTTTTTGATCAACTAATCATTATGTCCACTTTCATCACATCAAAGTTAACCTCTTTTTCCGTTTGTTTAATCAGTTGATTTTTATCATAAACAATCAACTGAAACACTTATTATACATTGAATCAAAAATGAAAAAGGCGAAAAAACAAGATAAGTAAAAAATGCTAATTGTAACACTGTAACTCATTATTATCGATCAACAAATGTAAATGTATTATAAAAGAAACGCTAATACAATTTAATGTTTTGTTCACCATTAAATTGTATGCTTCTTCATTGTCATTATTGATATTATATAATCATTAACATCGTCAATTCATCTTTGTTTTTCTCCCTTGATTTTATCATCAAAAACACACATCACAAAACATTAAATTGATTTGAAAATTGAATGAGATATGTCAGTCAAAGATTGTATTAGATTCCAAATCATTATTGCTTCTAAAATCAATGACAGTTAGATGAAAATTAAAAGTCAGTCTTTGGACCAGCAACCATCAAAATCGATCAACTTGTAAACAGTGTTTAGCATCAAAATGACACTGATAAACTTTTCCATTTTAACTGAATGTTTCACTTAAATGCATAAAATAGTCCTTTCGAGACATGATGATGTTTTAAAAATCTAATGATGTCTTCATTGAAGATGATAAAACAAATTTTGATATAAAAAAATAATGCTGTCTTTGTTATGATTATTATCATCATCCATTTACCACTTTATACATGAAGGAAGCAATAGCAACATTTAACCAATTGATTTGCTTCAACAATGAATAAGTTGATTACTTGTGAATCTCACAAAAAGGTTCAGATTGTTCAACAGAAACCATTAGCGTTTGCCTCTTGGCAAGTAATTAGATTATCTTTGATATTATGCTCATCTCAGCATCCTCATAGCAATCCTCCTTGCCATCCTCCTCATCTCCGCATTGCCGGTCTCACTGTAAAGAACCAGAGAATCAAGTCAACAGCAAAAAATGTAAAAGCTTTGCCATTTTTCCAGTAGCCATATTCATCGAGATGGAAAGAGATGTTGAATGAAAAAAGTATCATCTTCAGATTATCACCATTGTCATACGCCTCAACATAAAAATAACACAATATAAAATACATAAATTAATAATGAGCATAAAAAAAGTAAAGGCTTCAAAGCAAATATAATACTAACCTTACACTTGATCCTGTATGTTAATCATATTTGTAATCCACTCATCTTTGTGTTTGTGTGCTTTACCATTTTTCTCGTTGATCTTGTTGTTGTTGTGATTTTCATAAATCAAATGATAATTGAATTTTCATCCATTATAAACCCAGTACATGAAGTAGAGGAAGAGAGGAGGAAGAGGACATTTAACAACAACATTTACAATGACAATTAACTGTAAAAATGTTGACTTGCAAGGTCCATTGGTAAAATGTTTTTCCTCTTGACTCTGTTTTAGGCTTTCCGGTAAGCTTACAGTAAATCAACAATGACAATTAGTAAAATAATTAACCTATTTCCTGAACAAGCTTAAAGCACCATCTTGTCATCATCAGAGGAAAATTACTTTTGTTCACATAAAACACTTAAAACAATAATTAAAAACCAATATTGGAACGTTAAGTAATCACAAAAATAAATCATGAAAGACTTAAGATGAACAAGCAAAAAATATCCGCCAAAAAATACAACACCTTGTCCAATCAAATTTTGAGCGCCATTTTTGTATCTTAAATAATTAGTCAACAACACAATTAAATAATTAGATAATGATTTGCCAGCAATTATAATAATCTCATCTTTTGGAAAAACTATTCAACAAAAATTAAAGACTCGGATTGTCATATCAAAACTCGGAATTTGATTTAAAAATGTAAATTCAATCTTGGACTTGAACTTGGATTTGAACTTGGATCTGATTATTTGAAGTCAGCTGTTTAAAACAAAAATTCAAATCAAAATGTATATCAATAAATTGCTACTTTTTTATTATTTTTATTATTATCAAAATCATCATCAAAGTAAAATGTTGAAGGCAAAAATTTAGTGAATTGCCTTCATGAAAGATTTTCAGTTTTTTTTGAGTAATAATTCTCAGGAAAAGTGTCCTACTGTGATGATAAAATATTACTTTAAGTCACCTTTTAAAGGCTACTTCATCTTCATCTTCATCATTATCTTCATCTTTATCATTTCTTCGTTTTCTTCTTCTTAATTTACATCCCATTTTCAAAATGATTTATTTGAACAGGATGGTGATGATGGTGAAAATACAGAGACAGACTGAGGTAAAATTAACTTTTCAATATTACCTTAAAATGATTGCTAAACATGGATGGTCACTCCATTAGCTAAAAATGGGTAAGTTATCATTGTCATAATTTACATTTCTCCACTAATTGTCCAACTAATGAAGAAACAGTTGACTTAATGGTAAACCTTACAATTGTGATTCAAGATGGATGCTCATCAAATTAGTTGAAATGAAATTTGATTTGACTCGATGCAAGTTTATGTGATGGTTTATTAGGCTTTTCAATGGATGAAGATGCTAACATTTTACTTTACATGTGATTAACCTTTAACCTTGAGGTTACTCGGTTAATTGAAATAAATCAATGTATATTATATGTTCACTATGTATCTCAACAATTAATAGCTACTCCTCCTCAATATCATGATTATCTTGATGAGTATTACTTGATAACATTTACATTCCCTTTCAATCCATAATAATAATATTATTACACTCAAGAGACGTTGTTCATGTAATCAGTTACCTAATGTTAAATTGAATGATGACGGCTATGACTTGCGGCTATTTTCCTAATAGTTTTCAAATCCTTAATGAGACTTTTCTCCGATCTTAATACTTAACAAATAAATTAATTACAATCAAGGTTGATGGAAATGGAAGAAAAATAAGAAAAAATGAAATTGAAAATGAAAACATTAAAAACATGAGATAACCATTTTCATATTAAATTCAATGATTCAATGGTTAAAATGGTGATTCTCAAGTCACAAATTAAATTGTAAATTCAGTGATTCAGCAATGATTCTGATTTGATTTGTCAATGTAAAGGTTTAGTTAGTTTGACGATCAAGATTAGTAGATGATCCCTGACTTGCCGTGTCATGTGACAGAGATTTGTCTTACAAGTTCAATTTGCTTTCAAGATTTTAATCGTTTTTAACCACATTTTTGATTACATTATAGTGATTATTTGTTAATTTTAAATTGTGATTGAATTTCATGATAGTGTGATACCGTTAAGACACTCAATCAATTTGATAATCTAATTCAATCAACGAAAAAGTCAAGGTAAGATAGCGATCAAACATTTCATGTATCCCATTAGCTTGTCTTGTAGGTTAATTTTTTGCTTAGAATTTCTTTGCATCTAATTATATTCACTGTTTCTGTTTCTTGATCATGTTGTTGATATGATGATGATTGGTTAAAGTCATTACAATAATCAATCATGCTTAACTTTGTAACAATGTGACAAAGATTAATGTAAAGTCAACTGAATAAGTAATTTGTTGATTGATTATCATTTTTGTTTTCATTTTTGATTTTTCTTCCCATTGAGAAAAGTACAATTTTTTTTATCTTCATCAAATCATCATCATGGTTATCAGTTACAACAACCTACAGCTAAGACAAACACCAAGACAGTTAACAACAATAATCAATGTTAATGATTTACTTTTAAAAGTGCATATTTTGTCGATGAAAAAAGCAGATAATGTCATCTGTACAAAGTGTATTTTGCATAGAAAGTTGAACACTATGAAACACTAATTTCTATCTCATTGTTTTACACGATTGATTAATTGTTGTTTCATGTTTATTCCTAAACAAATAGACTATTTACTAATCTTCTTATCATTTCTATTCACTTGCAGCTAACCTGTTAATGATAAGAGCCATGAGAGATGTTAAAGGCTAGAGACTATCCAATAAACAGGAAACCTTAATGAAGCACTCGCTGATGGACACTGGATTTGACTTAACCATATTTACCGTTATTTGCTATTAAATAACATTGGACTCATCGCATGTTTTTAGTTTTGTTTCAAATAATTTACAAATAGTGCGTGTGTGTGTTGTCAATGTTTAGCTAATATGTTTTTCAATCCCTCTCGTCTTACGTTAATCTCCCAATAAAAGCTTGTTAATCCGCTTATCGTGTGTATAACAGACCTTTTTTATATTCACCTTCACCTTCATCATCTTCATTGGACACTCCCAACATATCAGTTTGTTATTGTTGTTATCAGCATCGTGTTATGGGTTAGTGTGAATGAAAACTAATACAGATAAACACGCAACAAGATAAATGATGAAACAGTTTTTAGTTGCTGTTTCTTGTGTGTTAAACATCATCCTTAATTACTCTCATCATTAGCCAGTGTTACCTGATTCAGACTAATGCGATAATAGCTATTGTCAAAAGAGCCAGACAAAACATTTACAAATCAACAATTTTACTGATGCTCCAATAACATGAAAAATTTGGTGTAAAATTGATAAAATTTCATTATTTTAACCCATTCAGGTTGATTGATGGATTGCTTTTTTTGGAGTGAAAAATATTGGACAACAAAAAAGTCAACCTACAACAACTCTGTGTGATTGTGTCATCAAATTGCTATCGATAAGGTCACAATGGGTAAGGTCAAAGGGGAATAATACAAAATTTGAATGGTCTATTAGAGGTTTATTTTCAGTATATTATAGAGAAGGAGGAAAACAGAAATGATGAAAATGATGAAAAAAAGAGCAAAGAAAAAGATGTTTAAATTGTTGTTTGAATGAGACGCCATTAGATGTGTTCCCTCCAATTCCCATTGGAAACAAGACAACAGCCATTCATATCCTTTCACTCTCTTCTTACTCTTCTTGCTCATCTTCTGCTAAAGACCAAAAGATTTATGTTATATTGTGTGATCTTCATTTGTTTTTATCCTCTTCATCTTCATCACCATCTTCTTTATCATCATCATCATCGTCATCTTGAGTTTGATATTTTGTTTCCATCTAGTGTTTCTTCATAGTCTATCACCTTCCATTGATTCCTTCTTTTGTTTCCCATTGAATTGGTAAACAGCTTAAACACGCTTCAATCGTTTTTCCCGTTACTCTTCATCATCATCTTTCTCCTCGTTTTCCTCATCATCCTCATCACTAGTCTCTCTCTCCTGTTTCGCTGCTCTTTTTGTATTATTAACAAATATTACTCAAGTAGATAATCATTGATGGTAAAGAACCAGTAACCAGCTTTTTTTATTACAACAGTATTTTGTGATTTTAATGGATATAAAAATGAATCACTCTTTGGTGAGCCACAGGTAGTTAAATGATAATGATGAAGGAAAAAGATGCAGGCTATTCATCAGAAACCATCTGAACCATTTGCATGATTCACATCATCTATAAACGTCCCTAAGTATTGTAAAATGAAACAAAATGACAATATCAAAGAGCTACCACAAAAGCTATATGCTTTGACCAAGTTCAATTACCGAGAAAAGTCTTGAAATTTGTTTTGTCATCTACTGATTTACCCCTTTGGTACAATATCTTGCTCAATCTGACTAGTTGGTTCAACTATTAGCATCAATTTTAATTCAATTTACATGGAAAACAAAGATTGCCATCTAAATTTTATTAAGATTAATGTTGAACACAATCAACCACGATGAGCAATAAATTATTCAAAACAGTTAATCAATGTTAACCTACACTTAGATAGTAATTTAAATCAATTACAATGAAGAAAAACAAAGAGAGCGAGAAAGAGAGCTGATTAATGATTTTAATCACTAATTTAAAGTTTTTTTTCCTCTCTCTACCTTACAGGTGCAAATAAATGGGAAAAGATTGGTATCAAGGAAAACCTGACTGTTAACCACATCCAAGTAAATTGAAACATGGCTTTTAACAAGGTTGATCAGAACGATTTGAATGCCTATGGTTATCATCTGATATAATGTGAAACACGCACCTCAACTATCAATATCATCTTGTTTGATGATGATGGAAATGATGGTGATGAGTGAATGATTAGTTTGTATCTCAAGCTAAGAAAGACGAGAAGATGGAAAACAAATATAGTCTCTTTCATGGTGGTCTTCTTTCTTCATCCTCATCCTCATCATCATTATCATCATCATTATCATCATCTTTTCTTGTAAGATTAAGGAAGATGAAAGATGACGAGAGTTGGGTGAGTGAAAGGAGCGATCAAGTTTCTCGGTCCCTCAATTGGTGGTCTCAAGTTATCTTAAGGGCAAAGCGATATCCACTTTGTTTGCTGCCATCAAAAATGCTATCAAGTCCAGCAAGGTTAAAGATCATAAAGGTTGCTGTTTAATAAATTATTGGTATAAATAGTGACTATTTAAAGTAATCATTTATGCTAATTCATAATATTATTGAATAATAACTCTTTCAACTATCTTTCAAAGTTAATCAAATTTCAAAGCCAACTTACAATCATTTGCTTTGTTTCCTTATTTTTCAATCAATGTCTGTGGTTAAGGAGCTTCTTTCATTGCATTCCTCATCACGACCCATTCACGCAGTTGGATATCAACATGTTACTAATAATTAATTAAATACGGAAATTTGTTTCATCAACATCACCAGCAATCCATCATATTTAAATTAGTCTCTTCAACAGATTAATCTTTCCATTTTGCATCGCAAACTAATTGCAATTTCATTGTGTTATCATGATCAACTTGTAGCTATTAATGTAACCTTTTGAGATGAAGAGTGCGTAAATGTTCAAACAAATTGTACCTACAAATGATAAGTTAATTGAATAGTTACATGGTTAAAGAGCCGCAACTCAATTTGATAAGAACGATCAAGTGTCTGAATTGAAATGTAATTGATAAGCCATACACTGATGTTAATGATTAATTAATTTGACACAAAAAATTTCAATCTTTACAAGGTTAACCGAAAAAATGAATGTCTATTGATTTTGTATCAGTTGATGAATCTTGATCTGCACAAGAAAGCAACTTAATCTGTTTAATAGCAATAATCACAATTTACAATTTAATGACATTGAAATATTTAAAGCTTACCAGGTATGATTTAAATTGTTGATAATTTACGATAAAAATCAATCCTAATAACCAAAGATATTCAGTAAACTTGATTCCTATGTAATAATGGCGATGACACAAAGTAAGCAGTGATAAGTACTTTAACGAAAAGATTAATGGTTAAGTAATAATAATGAAATAAAATTGAAATTGATGTGCCTCTTGATTTCAAAAAAAATACAGATTGATAGAATAAAAATTATGCTTGAGATTATCTTCTTCATCTTATACACTTTCATGATGAGAATGCTCATCATCATGAAAGTGCATGCAAAATGTTTAAGTCAGATAAATAAATTGCCGGATTTAAGTGAATGATTTGTTTGTCACAATCATTTGATATGAGTCTTCGTCATGGCTTAAGGTATCACTTGAAGAGGAAGAAAAAAAAGGTATTTTCTTGAAGATTGAGAGGAAAAGTTATTTTCATGCCTTTTCAGTTTACATCTTCTTGTTGACGGTAGAGAAGAAATAGGTCCTTTCTTTGCTTAACCATAATCATCATGATTATCATCGTCTTCAACATGATCAATTTCAAATGATCCTTTCAACTGCAAATAAAACTGTGATTTGTCTCCAAACTCCTTTAATAAGATAAAATCCATTTCTGTCCGTTGTAGACGTTACTTAGCGCTACCTCATTTCCCTATCCAACAAAAGGACAATAGCGATGTAAATGGTGATAAATGTAATTATTTGAGCTTAAAAACTGGTTTATCGACTGATCCTGAAAGAGTAAAAAAACACAAAATTATCTTCAATATCAAAATATGAAAATAGACTCTTTGTGTACTTACTCTACTGTTACTCTAATGTGTAAAATGACATTAGTGTTGAACCAGTCAGGAAAAATATTATTAGATCATCATATTGAAATGTCAAGATATTAAAAAAACAGATGATGAGTTTTTTTAATGATTATCCGACAAACAAGATAATATAATATGAAAAGGACAAGTCCATAAAAATTATCATCATTTGGATCAAAGCTGGTTCAACTTGAAGTTTGGTGAAGCGAGAAGATGGCCAAAAAATTGGAAATGGATGAAGATTTGATCTTTATACGGTTGACACTAAAGATTTCAAGTGACATGGCCTAAGGGAAATTTTGACAGACACCAGGGAGGATGAAAAGATGAAGAAGAGAGAGAGAAAGAGAAAGGAACAATTTGGTATAAAGTGATGTTGATTTGATGTAGAGATGAAGACATGAAAATGGAAGACGAAACTCGAAAAGATAATGATGATAATCAGGAAAAAAACATTTTACACTGTTGTAAACAGATTTATGAAGATGTAATCATGTTAAAATTATGTTTATTGAATTAGCGATTCAATTACATGAGAAAATGAATTAAACAAAGTAACAAAACACAATTGAAATCACTCTTGAAAATTTTTAATCTAAAGCTGTTATCAGCTGTAAATAAGCTTTTATGTTTTTGGCTCGCTTTTTGAAAATTAAATTGATTGATTGTCATAGGAAACAACAGTAATTACAACAATCAAGTATCGCTAGTTTTAGTTGAAAGTAGATATTAATAGAAAATTAAAAGTTAATTTAGATTGAAAACAGCAGTAATTAGAATTGAATTGAAGCATTTCAAGTTAAACTAACCCTGCAAGAGAGGACAAAACAATAAGGAGAAGAAGTAAAACTATCCAAGAGTGTATTCTTGTTGATTGTTAACATGGATCAATAGGTTTAATTAAAAGTCATTTATCTCCTCATTTATGTATTAATTTAATGTTGATTCTGTTGATTCATTAAAACGGCCGAACAAAAGGTATTCTGAAAAGTCACTTTTCCATAATATTGATATTGAATACAAGAAACATTACGGATTTGATGGACAACAATAAGAGACTATTTTGAGAAAAATGGATAATCTGGTTGAAATGATAATGATAATATAAAGAAATGAAAGGAACAATCATGTGAATGTAAATACTGGATGAGCTGAACAATAACGAAAAGGTGAAAACAAAAAAAGAGTGAAAATTAGATGAAAGTAGGTTTTCTTAACGGTTTAGTCTCCATATTGATATAAATCATCGCCTTGGAACCGAGAACAATCCATATTGGAATGGAAAATTGTATCATGGTGCTTTAATAGAAAAGTAAACAATTTAGTGATGAACAATCGGAATCCGTACACACAATTTCGAGTATAAAATGGTAATGTTGGACCATCAAGAGTATTCACTTTCCAAGTGTACGTTGTTATTAAAGGTTGTCAACGAGTAATATCATCACCACCAGCCAATACGCCAATAAATTAGTATATTAAGTGTATTTTGTTTATTTTTTGACTTTACTGTGCCACTGGATTCACCTAAAATAAGTGATAATGAATTCTGGTAATTTTCAAAGCTTAGGTAAGAGTAAAGCTTAAACGCGTTCATTTAAGAGTTACTTTAAATGTAAATTGTTCATTTCACCCTCGTTTTCACAGGACAATGTCTTTTTGTTTTCATCTGTTTGTGGTTAAGTTTTACTAATTGTCCTGCTAATGCTGATGGAGTTAAACCAGCCGCTGCCAATTTAACGGCCAGTAATGTACCTTATCCTTATTATAATTATGATCGTGATCCTCGCCAATGGTTCAGTTCTGGTTATGGTACATATGGAACCACTTTTGCTCCTTTCAATGGTGGAATTGAAACATTGGTTGTTGGTTTTATGATATCTTTAGCCATTGGTTTTATTGGATTACCTTTGATGATTCTTCTTTACTCCATGTTTTTGGGTAACACCGGTGGTGGATTCAATCTGGCGCCACCAGCAACCACAACTACAATCAATGGACGGAAGAGACGAGAAGCCAGTGTTATTGAAGCCTTGTTGCCTCAACTTGATTCAATTTCAAATGAAAAGCTTATTGAAATTTTTAAAAAGTTAACCGCTCAGCCTGAGCAAATGAACTACTTGATGAGGTTCTTTAAGAACAAGGAAACTCAGTGATCATCTTTGATGTTTTGAATTGCATTAGTCAGCATTGCATATAATCAACACTCAAAAGGTTCAATGGATTGGAAATTATCTGACTCCATTTGAAAAGTTTATATTTTTGTGAAAAAAACGAGCTTTAAAATGACAAATGTGCGTTGAGATAATTTTTGTTTAAAACAGTCATCTCAATAAACTTTTGGAATGAAAATAAATAAATAAATAATACAATTTATCATATAATTGATTACAATTTTGTCAGACAATGCGACTGTCGTTCGATCGAGGCAAATTACGACCATTTAAAGGCAAGTTTAATGTTAATTAGGTGAAATAATTCTAAAATGGACTAAATGAATATTGGACAATAAACCAAAGATAACATGCGACAAAGATAGATTAGTGGAATAAGTCTGTAATGAAATTGAAATTGATCCAAAATTCCGTCCAAAAGTCACTGACATTGGACATTAGACTGATATTGTGAGTCAAATGAGTCGAGATTATGCTCGTGAAGCCTTATCTAAAGAAGGGAATCTAACGGGATAACTAGAATCGATCTAAACGAGATTTAAGGATCGCACCAAGTCAATAAAATTTCAGCCACGCGAATTTGTTTGGCTATGTTTGGTTATGTTCAAGCCCTTCTGCAATTGCGCTACGGTGAATACGTCATATTTTGATGCGATTCTTGTAATTGTTTCCTTTTCCTGTTATTTAACCTTTATTTTCTTCTTTTCTCGTCACTCTGCTGATTATATCTAATATTTCTGATTTAATTTTTATTTATATTTTTATATTTTTAATATTTAAAATTTTAATATACTAATATGTTTTTAAATATGTTAAATTTTCTCTCTAATAAAAAGGTGAGTTTTTGTTTCAAAAATTCTTCTCCATTATAAACAAGTGTTTGTGTTTTTCTCATTTAATATTATATTTAATATTACAAGAAACTAATGCGATCATGGCTGATCGCAAGTTTCTTTTAGCCACCCATGCTAACCGTCTTTTCACGGTAATGTCCACCACTCAATCTAACTCATCCGCCAAATCAACTGAATCAAACATCACTTTTTGTCCATCACTTTCATTAACCACTTTAGAGTGGCTTTTTTCCACCAAATTTTCAAACACTTTTTGAGATATGATGGCGATTAATAGCGGACATGCTAGATGGTGTAAAAGTGGTCAAGAGGGTGCCGGCCAATTTCGTTGACAATTTGGTTGAGAAAAGTCTTTTTAAAAAGTGATGTTGTTTAGGTTGATTTGGTGGATTGAGTGGTAGACAATATAATGAAAAAAGCCTCTCTTAACTCTTTACTCAAATGACAAATTTTTACATAAAATCCTGGTCCAACAATGAACCATCAATCTGAATAACAAAAAATTTGTTCCCCCTTTTTCAATGTTATTGAATACGGATTCTACAATTTTTCCCCCAACCTCTATTTTCATGAATTTCTCAGAGATCTGAATTCTGAGGCGAGGTTTCCTATTTTTCGTGGATGTAGTTGAATTCGGGCTTTCATGCTGTGTAATTTTTTTTCTTAGAACCTGCTCAGTTTGGCCACAATCTTGACACAAAAATTTGATACATTGACTTTATATATTGTGTAGATTAATAGTTAAAGAGCTAAAATTCAGCATAACCAAAAAGAGATCTCAAAGATCAAAAACGAATTGGAACAATGCCGGACAGAATTAAATGGAATGGTTGCAACCAATGGTCAAGCCCGTGCTGAAGCTATTTCACGGGAAGATGAAGAAGACATTGTTGATGAGTTGATTAAACAACGAGACAAAAGAGTCAAGGTAAGTAAATCTTCTGTGAAATAATAATTTCTGAACTAATTTTACAATTATTTTCCTTCCACAGTCCAGAGCAGAATTATTATTATTAGAAGAAATCTATCGATTAAAGTTATTGGATCTCAAAAAGCAATTGGAAAGGACGAAAACGCCTAAACGACGGCGAGAAATTTTTAGCATGCTAAGTATAAAACGAAAAGATAAAACCAACAAAGAATATCAGGAAAAGCTTAATGAATGCAAATTATTGGAAAGTGTTTTACAAAAAGAGAAAAATAAACTTAAAAAGGATAAAGAATTATATCGCACGGAGAATGTGGAAATAAGCACTGAGAAAGATATTAAACAAGTGAAGTCCCGTACAAGAGGTACTAAAGTGAATGCGCATTCCAAGAAAAAAGTTGCAAAAAGTACAAACAGAAGCTAACAATATTGAATCTGGAATTCAATGGTATATTTTTCGACTTTACTGTGCCATTGGATTCACCTAACAACAAGTGATAACATTGACTTCTGGTAATTTTCAAAGCTTGGGTAAGAGTAAAGCTTAAACGCGTTCATTTAAGAGTTACTTTAAATGTAAATTGTTCATTTCACCCTCGTTTTCACAGGACAATGTCTTTTTGTTTTCATCTGTTTGTGGTTAAGTTTTACTAATCTTTGTGTTAATGCTGATGGAGTTAAACCAGCCGCTGCCAATTTAACGGCCAGCAATGTACCTTATCCTTATTATAATTATGATCGTGATCCTCGCCAATGGTTCAGTTCTGGTTATGGTACATATGGAACCACTTTTGCTCCTTTCAATGGTGGCATCGAAACATTGGTTGTTGGCTTTATGATATCTTTAGCCATTGGTTTTATTGGATTACCTTTGATGATTCTTCTTTACTCCATGTTTTTGGGTAACACCGGTGGTGGATTCAATCTGGCGCCACCAGCAACCACAACTACAATCAATGGACGCAAGAGACTAGAAGCCAGTGTTATTGAAGCCTTGTTGCCACAACGCGATTCAATTTCAAATGAAAAGCTTATTGAAATTTTTAAAAAGTTAACCGCTCAGCCTGAGCAAATGAACTACTTGATGAGTTCTTTTAAGAACAAGGAAACTCAGTGATCATCTTTTATGTTTTGAATTAGTCAGCATTCCATATAATCAACACTCTAAAGGTTCAATGGATTGGAAATTATCTGACTCTATTTGGACCGTTTATATTTTTGTGAAAAAAACTTTAAAATCGAGCTTCAAAATCACAAATGTTAGTTGAGATAATTTTTGTTTAAAACAGTCATCTCAATAAACTTTTGGAATAAAAATAAATAAATAAACAATACAATTTATCATATGGTTTTTTTCAATTCTGTCAAGCAATTTCGACTGTCGTTCAATTCAGTCAAATTACGATCACTTTAAGGCAAGTTTAATGTTTAGTTGGAGATAATTCTAAAATGGACTAAATTAATATTGAACAATAAAACAAAGATAACATGCAACAAGATGGAGGTTAGTGGAAAGAGTATTTAATGCAATTGAAATTGATTCTAAATTCAGCCCAAGAATCACTGATATTGGACTTTTGACTGACATTGGGAGTCCAATGAGTCGAGATTATGCTCATAAAGCCTTATCTAAAAAAGGGAATCTAACGGGATAACTAGAATCGATCTAAACGAGATTTAAGGATTGCACCAAGTCCATAGCATTGCAGCAATACGATTTCAGTACATTTCCAATAAAACGGTAAGTTTTTGTTAATAATTTTTTAATAATTTTACTTCATTGCAACGACTTATTTGTGTTTATTATTATTTATTAGTAAGAGCCAAAATTCACGATAACCAAAAAGAGATTTCAAAGATCAAAAGCGAATATAAACAATGCCGGACAGAATTTAATGGAATAGTTAAAACAATTGGTCAAGCCCATGCTGAAGCTATTCTGGACAAAGATGAAGATATTTTGGTTGTTGCTACAATGTGAAAAGACACAATTGTTATATGCATTCACAAATTGACACAAATGGGCAAAAACGAATGTAAATTAATTTTTTTCAAATTTAGAATCTGTAGGACATGAAGACTAAATCCATTTGTGCGATTCAAAATTTTGTCTGATGAACAGTTTTCGAGTAAATTGAATTGGTAGTTTGAACTTCGATCGTCTCATGTTCAGCTATGGAAGCAGATTTTCTCATGAAACTCATTTAAATGTGGTACTTATGATGACCAACAGAAAACGGTCTTATTATGAGAAATAACATTTTCTTTTGCTGTAAAACAGTACATATTCGATTTTTAGTTAAATCGATCGTCTTCTGTGACAGTAAGAGTTAGCGGGCTGAAACTTGCTGTATTATTTGCCCATAAAAATTGTTGCTCCACATAGTTGATTGAATAATTTTAACAATTTATCAACAGTTCTCTTGATTTTGGACATTGACCAAATACTTCGAGTCTCAATCAAAGAGTAGTATATTAATCTTTGGTCTCAATATTTCGGGAGAGATATCATCTACAATCATCATTATTTGACCAAACAGTAGATTTCATTATGGGCTAAAACATTATCTGACTAACGAGGGAACCTCGCGAATTGTTAAATCGATATCGAGATTTTATTTGTAAATATCGGTACATTCGACCTTCGATTAGACCAATTTAATAGAATTAGCTGCCACCTTTTCAATTTCGGCATTTTATTAACTTTTTTCGAAAAAACCGTAAGCACCAAATAAAATCTGAGTTGATTCATTTATATTGAAGATCATTCTAAAACATAAGATTTGTGTTTCAATACCCATTTACCTTTATGAATCAATTTAACAACAAGACAAAAGAGTCAAGGTAAATAAATCTTCTGTGAAACAATAATTTCTGAACTAATTTAACAATTATTGTCCTTCCACAGCCCAAAGCAGAATTATTATTATTAGAAGTCCATCGTTTAAAGTTATTGGATCTCAAAAGGAAATTGAAAGAATCAGCTCGCACGAAGAATCTTGAGCCAAGTACTGAAGATTTGGACCAGATGAAGTTCCGTACAAAAGGTACTAAAATGAATGCTCATACCAAGAAGAAAGGTACAAAAAATGTTGAAGTGCAAACTGAAGCTAGCAATATTGAATCTGCTCAAGCCAAGACTCGGAGTGATTAACCTTATAAACTATCGAAACCTAAATAAATCTTCTGTAAAACAATAATTTCTGAACAAATTTAACAATTATTTTCCATCTGCAGTCCAGAGCAGAATTAGTATTATTGGAAGCAATCCATCGGTTAAAGTTATTGGATCTCAAAAAGCAATTGGAAAAGGAGAAAATTTTACTTAAGCGAAGACGAAAAAATTTTCGCATGGGAAGTTCAAAACCAAAAGTTAAAATCAACAAAGAATATCAAGAAAAGCTGAATGAATGGAAATTATTGCAGTGTTTTACAAAAAGAAAAAATCAACGCAAAAAATATTAAGATATTACATGTATTAGATATTAATAATAACTCGCACGAAGAATCTTGAATCAACTACTAATAAAGATTTGAACCAGATGAAGCTCTGAACGAAAGGTACTAAAATGAATGCTCATACAAAAGACAGGTCAAAAAATGTTGAACTGTGAACTAAACAATATTGAATCTCAGATCAAAATAGTGATCTAATTTGGTGACTCACTCACTGCACAAATCCAACAAACGAAAATTTTTAATTAGTTAACTAATATTCTTTTAAATATGTTTTTAAATTTATTTGGGAATAAAAAGGCAAGTTTATGTTTAAAATTTTTTCTTTATTATATAAAAGTGTTTATTATTACTTATTAGTTAAGAAGTGCAATTAATGGTTATCAAAAAGATATCTCGAAGATCCAAAGTGAACTGGAGCAATACCGGACGGAACTCAATGGAATAGTTAAAACCATTGGTCGAGCCCATGATGAAGCTATTTCACACGAAGATGAAGAAGACATTGTTGATGAGTTGATTAAACAACGAGACAAAAAGGTAAGGGTAAATAAATCTTCACTGAAATAATGATCTTTGAACTAATTTAACAATTATTTTCCATCCACAGTTCAGAGCAGAATTATTATTATTAGAAGAAATCCATCGATTAAAGTTATTGGATCTCAAAAAGCAATTGGTAAAGGAGAAAACACCTAAACGACGACGGGAAATTTTTAGCATGATAAGTACGAAACCAAAAGTTAAAATCAACAAAGAATATCAAAAAAAGCTGAATGAATGGAAATTATTGCAAAGTGTTTTAGAAAAAGAGAAAAATCAACTCAAAAAGCAATTGGAAGAATCAGATCGCACGAAGAATCTTGAACCAAGTACTGAAGATTTGGACCAGATGAAGTTCCGTACAAAAGGTACTAAAGTGAATGCTCATACCAAGAAGAAAGGTACAAAAAATGTTGAAGTGCAAACTGAAGCTAACAATATTGAATCTGGAATTGCATGGAATATTGATTTTGTATTTGTGTTTATTATTAATTATTAGTTAAAAGCCAAAATTCACGATTACCAAATAGAGATTGCAAAGATCAATAGTGAATTGGACAATGCTGGACGGAATTCGATGAATAGTTAAAACCATTGGTCAAGCCCATGGTGAAGCTATTCTGGATACAGATGAAGAAGAAGACATTGTTGGTTGTTGCTACAATGTGAAAAGACCAGATTGTTACATGCATGCACAACTTGACACAAATAGGCCAAAACGGATGCAAATTAAGTTCTTTCAAATTTAGAGTCTGTAGAGACATGAAAACTAAATCCATTTGTGAGATTCAAAATTTTGTCTGATGAACAGTTTTCGAGTAAACCGAATTGGAAGTTGAAACTTCGATCGCCTCATGTTCAGCTATGGCGGCAGATTTTCTCATGAAACTCATCTTAACGACGCTACTTTTGATGATCAACCAGAAAACGGTCTTATTATGAGAAATAACATTTTGTTTTTCTTCAAAACAGATGATGTTCGATTTTTGGTTAAATCGATCGTTTTCTGTAAACGTTAGAGTTAGCGGATTGAAACTTATTATTAGCCCATAAAAATTGTTGTTCCACATAATTGATTGGATAATTTTTACAATTTATCAACATTTCTCTTGATTTTGGCCATTGGCCCAAAAACTTTGAGTGTCAATATTTCGGGAGTATGATCATCTATGATCATCATTCTTTGACCAAACATTAGATTTCATTATGGGCTATAACATTATATGACTAAGAACTAAATAAAATCTGAGTTTATTCATTTAATTTTGATGATTCTTCATAACATAAGATTTGTTTTAATACCCATTTACCTTTATAAAGCAAGCACAAAATCTGGTAACATAAGTAATCAATGTTTTCAATAACTTTTTTTGTAGGACATTGAATGCTTTAACATTCCATCAAATTATAGCCCGTAATAAAATCTAGTGATCAGGAAATTATTTTAGGTTCCACAATTCTTGAAATATTGAGACTCAAAGTTTTAAGGCCAATGGCCAAAATCAAGAGAACCGTCGTTAAATTGAACAAAGTTTGAGTTTACTGATGTACTTCAACAACTTTTTTCAACAAATCATAAGTTTCAGTTACCTAATTTTTACGTTCACTGAACGAGGTCAGTTTTAATCGAAAATCGATTTGATCTGTTATACAGAAAAAGAGAGCTTTATTCCTTGTAATAAGTCCATTTTCGAGTTGCTCATCAAAAGCTACATCAGGAAAATGCGTTTCATTCAAAAATCTGTTTCCACAATCGCGTAAAAGCCATTCGAAGTTTGAAGTTTGACCTCGATTTTCTCGAGAACTGTTGATTGGAGAGACTTTTTCATAGCATTAATGGACTCAGTTTTTGCTCGTGCAAACACACCATAACTTAACTCTCAACTCTAAAGTCAAAGTTTCTGTCAATGATCTTTTAAACATTTCATTTATGTAAAAGTTTGCAAAACAGACTATTTAACTAACACATCATAAGATTTGGGTTTTAACATTCATTTACCTTTATAAATGAAGCACAAAATCTGGTAACATAAGTAGAAAATGCTATAACTTCTTCCATATGATCTTAAATGATTTAAAATTCAACGATATTTTAGCCCATAATCAAATCTAATGTTTGGTCGAAGAATGGCGGTTTTAGGTGATGCCATTCTCGAAATACCGAGATTCAAAGTTTTTAGGTTAATGGCCGAAAACAGAGAGCTGTTGATAAATTGAAAAAGTATTAAAGTCATGATGTGATCCACTGTTTTGTGGACTAATAATAAGTTTCAGTTCGCTAAAACTCATGGTCCCAGAAAACGATCGATTTAACTGAAAATTGAACTTGATTTGTTTTACAGAAGAAGAAAATGTTATTTCTCATAATAAGACCATTTTCTGGATGTTCATCGAAAGTGATATCATGAAAATGAGTTTCATAAGAAAATCTGCTTCAATAACTGTACAAAAAGCGATCGAAGTTTCAGTCTTCAACTTGAATTTCTCGAAAACTGTTCATCAAAGAAATTTTTAAATTTCACGAATGGAAGCAGTTTTCATGTCCCTACAAACCAAAGATGTCTAAATTTGACCGAAATTCATTTTTTCCCGTTTTTGACCATTCATGTCAATTTGTTCTTAAATGTGACAATTACGTCTTTTTATTAAAAACTGACGTTGATGAGTTGATTAAACAACGAGACAAAATGATCAAGGTAAGTAAATCTTCTGTGAAACATCAATTTCCGAACTAATTTAACAATTATTTTCCTTCCCCAGTCCACAGCAGAATTAGCATCATTGGAAACAATCCATCGTTTAAAGTTATTGGATCTCAAATGGTTATTGGAAATCGCTTGAACGACGCCGAGAATTATCTTGAACCAAGTACTAATGAAGATTTGAACCAGCTGAAGTTAGAATACATACAAATGCCACTAAAATTAAGGCTCATACCAAGAAAAAAGGTGCAAAAAATATTGAAGTGCAAACTGAAGCTAACCATATTGAATCTACAACTCAATGGTATATTTTTGACTTTATTGTGCCACTGGATTCACCTAATAATATTAATATTTACCTAATAAGTGATAATGATTTCTGGTAATTTACAAAGCTTTGGTAAGATTAAAGCTTGAAAGCGTTGATTTCAGCGTTACTTTCAATGTAAATTGTTCATTTCACTCTCATTTTCACAGGACAATGTCTTTTTGTTTTCAATCTGATTACCTTCGATGATTCTTCTTTACTAAATGTTTTTGGGTAACACTGGTGGTGGATTAAATTTGGCTCCACCAGCAACCACAACTACAATCAATGGCCGGAAGAGACGAGAAACCAGTGTTATTGAATCATTTTTGCCTTAACTGGATGCAATTTCGAATGAAAAGCTAATTGAAATTTTTGCAAAGTTAACCTGAATCCATTTGAAATGTTTATATTTTCGTGAAGAAAAAAACTTTGGTTTTATTGGATTACCTTCGATGATTCTTCTTTACTAAATGTTTTTGGGTAACACTGGTGGTGGATTAAATTTGGCTCCACCAGCAACCACAACTACAATCAATGGCCGGAAGAGACGAGAAACCAGTGTTATTGAATCATTTTTGCCTTAACTGGATGCAATTTCGAATGAAAAGCTAATTGAAATTTTTGCAAAGTTAACCTGAATCCATTTGAAATGTTTATATTTTCGTGAAGAAAAAAACTTTGAAATCGATCTTCAAAATGAAAAAAGTTAGTTGAGATGGTTTTTGTTTAAAACAGTAATTTCAATAAACTTTTGGAACGAAGTTAAATGAGTAAATAATACAATTAAGTTACAGTTGATTTGAAGCTAAATTGAAGCTAATTTTTATTTAGAGCTGTAAAACATTCACAAGTTTTCGTTTGCTCAAATAATTAGTGTGGTCAACCGACACTATACCAATTTATCATACTATTGATTTCAATTTTGTCAAGCAAGTGCGAATACTGTTCAATCGAGTCAAATTAACTTTACAAAGGCGAGGTTAATGTTAATTAGGTGCAATAATTCTGTTATGGGCTAAATAAATATTGGAAAATAAACCGAAGATTCGGTTACACCAAGATAGAGGTTAGTGGAATAAGTCTAAATACGTCATATTTTGATGCGATTCTTGTAATTGTTTCCTTTTCCTGATATTTAACCTTTTTTCTTCTTTTCTACCACCATTTGATTTATCCTATGAATCTAATGTTTAAAATTTTAACTAAACTCTTATGTTTTTAAACATGTTAGGTTTTTTCTCTAATAAAATGGTTAGTTTTTGTTCGAAAAATTTTTATTCAATACAAACAAGTGTTTGTGCTTTTATCATTTATTGGTTAAGAAGTAAAATTAATGATTATCAAAAAGATATCTCGAAGATTCAAAGTGAACTGGAACAATGCCGGACACAACTTAATGGAATAGTTAAAACCATTGGTCGAGCCCATGCTGAAGCTATTCTGGACGAAGATGAAGAAGAAATTGTTGATGAGTTGATTAAACAACAAGACAAAAGAGTCAAGGTAAGTAAATATTCTGTGAAATAATAATTTCTGAACTAATTTAACAATAATTTTACTTCCACAGTTCAGAGCAGAATTATTATTATTAGAAGAAACCCATCGATCCAAGTTATTGGATCTTAAAAAGCAATTGGGAGAATTATCTCGTATGAAGAATCTTGAACCAAGTATTGAAGATTTGGACCAGATGAAGTTACATACAAATGGTACTAAACTGAGTGCTCATACCAAGAATATTGAAGTGCAAACTGAAGCTAACCAAATTGAATCTGCCACTCAAACCCATACTCGACGTGATCAACCTAATAAACTATCGAAACCAAAACTCAATCGACCAGCTTCATCACCAAAAGAGTCTACACATTTCAAACAATACACGTATATGCAGCTTGAAAATTTACTTACTTTGCGTGTAATGGAAAAAGTACTCGAGTTAATGGAAGTCGAACCTATTGAGATGGTGAAAAACACCAAAGACATAGGAGTAAATACTTCACAAGTTGAACCGGTACATGAAATGAGTGAAACATTTTACTTGCAGTTGCCTTCAGATAGAAGACCTACACCCAAACAAAAACTTAACTCTAATTTAACATATGTTTGTGGTAAAGTAACTCATGACCAATCTGTTATTGACGAAGAAAAACTTCAAGACAATGAACCTGTTTCATTAGTTTTAACAGACGCATCTTCCTCAACACCTTTATCCTTGTCTCAACAATCTTTGCCATCTCTTTCATCTTCAAAATGTTCAACACCAAATTCATCCAATCGAACCTTTACCCAGCATAACCCACAAATAACCAAGCACCAGTTGTCTATCTCTTCCGATGATTTAAGGCCATCTATCGAAGAAGGTATGGGTCATAGATTGAACGCTTCGGTATGTCGGAATCAATCGATTAGCAATCCATTTGAGCTCTCAAGTGTTACTAATCTACTGACAACTGGGATTGAAAGATCCAACACATTGAGTAAACCTCATCAACAGCCTTCCAGATTCATCCAATCTACTCCCAAAGTTAAAAATTACCGCGAAAGTATTAACTGAGTAATAATTTCTCAAATTTACTATTATTATGCTAAATAATTATTTTCTAAGAAACTTTATGTTTAATTTAAATGACTTACTACTTCTTCGTAACAAAATTTGTGACAAATAAATTTGAATTTAAGTTATTTTTTAAATACTTGAACCAATAGCGCTTTCAAATACATTTCTTTTCAATGCTAAGTGATGGCACCACTTGTTCGTCGGCTAAAATTTTCAGAGCCCAAATTTTGAAATTTTTGATAAAATTCATCGCATGAACTCTCGTTAAGTTTGAGATTTCCAAAAAATTTTCATCAATAATCTGTAAATTTATAAGTTAACCCTTAAATTATCCTTTGAATTTGAAGTGATCATTATATCATTATGAAGCTTGTCAGGTTTGTATCTTTTTGTTCCTGTGTTTTGTTTATATGCATTCAATTGAATTGAAGTGAATAACAGTTTTTGCTTTTGTCTTACAGATTTTTAATGAAACTTTCTAATGAGACATTAACGGTAGAATTAAAAAATGGAACCGTCGTGACTGGTACTGTTACTGGTGTTGATGTCGCCATGAATACACATATGAAATCTGTTAAAGTAGTTCCACCTAAAGGTATGACTATCATTTCTTTGCATTCTAAAATTTTACTAAATATCGAATTTATTTTATTTATTTGTAATATTAAGGTTCTGATCCAGTGAAATTGGAAGCATTGTCGATTAGAGGAAATAACATCAGATATTTTCTATTACCTGATGCGTTACCTTTGGAGACGCTATTAGTGGATGATACTCCAAAAACTAAAGCCAAAAAGAGAGAAGCCGCTGCACGAGGTAGAGGACGAGGTCGAGGAAGAGGTCGTGGTGGTGGTGGACGTGGTAGAGGAGCACCAGGAGGTGGTGGAAGCGGGGGAGGCAGTGGCGGTGGTGGTGGCGGTGGCGGTGCACCACCAAGAAAACGTTAATTCAGATATTCGGTACTGTTCTATACACTTTACCCATTTTCGCGATACAATCATCTTGTTTTATATACAGCGCTGATGCTCTTGCCATTTTGTAATCTATTGCCTCAAAAGGTCCGTGCTATTAAAAGTGATCAGAATTTGATGCTTTAATGCATATAAAATCATTTCAACATCTTGTTTAAATTATGTGTTTCCAAATCAAGTGAACTTCTCAATAAACTCTGGACTTAAAATGGAAACCGTTCTTTTTTTATTGATTTTTGACTAATTTATTTGTACTCTTCTGGTTATTTTTTATGTTATTTCATGGCTTTGATAACTATTCATCGATTTCATTTAATTATGAAAATCTTTTAAATCTTGGAGCCTAATTTATAAGTTATTTGCTGACTGTTATCGACTTGTTGTTGAATTACTGTATCAGCGACTGTTAGATCTTTTTACATAATATAGATGTCGTTTAAGTCGCTTGTGTCGGTTTGTTTTGTAGACTTGTTTTGCTTTGAGCTTCATTTAATGTGTTTTGAAATGTCTACGTTTGATTGTCAGTTGACAAAACGTCTCTGTCTGTATTATTGTGATGTCTCTTCACTCCGATGTTGACCATTCTCAAGCCAATAGTATTAGAAAAGCTGTCAACAACAATGAATGTCCAGTTAAAGAGAAACATGTACGAAGAATAATCATCGAGTCATTCCGAGAAAAAGGATCACAATTTTTCTGGAACCTTGTTCTTAAATTACCACTTCAAGAGAATCCTATTGTGTGTTGGAAATTTTGTCATGTTGTTCATAAACTTCTCCGTGAAGGACATCCTAAAGCCATCATTGATGCATACCCAAATCGACGAATAATTAGTGATCTTGGTCGATTCTGGGGATCACTGAAAGATGGTTATGGCAAGCTTATACAGAATTACTGTGCCCTACTTGTGTCAAAAATGGATTTTCATGTTCGGAATATTAGATTTCCGGGAAGTCTACTGGTCACCGATGAAGAGCTTGATGAAATCAGTGAAAGAGACGTAAATGTTTTGTATGTATCAGATAAATGTTTGACAAAAGTAACCTTTGTTTTCCCTTTGACTTTCATTAATCTCTTTACCTCTCATTTTTTACAGTTTTCAACTTTCATGTGAGATGTTTGATTATTTAGATGAAATACTAAACCTTCAATCAGCAGGTGATTTGGTCATTCATTACCTTTTCCATAACAAGTTATTTTCTAGGTGTTAACATTTTTCCTCCTCTTTTATGTTCAAGTTTTTGGATCTTTGGACATGTCTAGAGCCAATTCGATGACAAGTGCTGGCCAATGTCGATTAGCTCCACTGATTCCCTGTATACAGGACTCAAGTCAACTCTATGATTACTCAGTGAAAGTCTTATTCAAATTACATGGAGGTTGGTTCATTTGTCTATTTTTGGCTACTACTTTTTTCCTAATTAATCCACTACTCACCAACAACTCAAATATTCATATGCTGTTAGTGTAATGGTAAGAGCAAGACTAATGCTCTTTCAATGAGATAGAGGATGAAAAGTTGATTGGTACAATGTAATAGACTATAACTTTAACTCTCTGCATCAGTAAACATCATAAAATTTCTGACAGATTGACATTCTCATTCACATTAATCTATTTTTACACATAAACTTTTTTCCCTCTCATTCCTAACCATTACACTGGTTAACAAAAAAGTTGATTGTATTGTGTAATGAATTGGATTGTTGGTGAGTTTTAGAAAATTGGAAAAGATAATTCCTTTGAATTAACCTTCAAATATTTCATTTGTACAAAATAATCTTTTCAATTGAAAAAATTGAACTTCACAATGAATCTCTACTTTCATTTTATAGTATTTTAACTATCCTTCATCCTTAAATCGCTATTAGTCACACTTTAACTCATTTTATTTCTCTTAATTTACCTCATTAATTCAGCATTACCACCCGGAACACTTGATGGTCACAGAGATAGATTCCTAACTCAATTTAAATTGTAATTATCTTGGAATTAACTCCTTTTTCTTTCATATTAACCGTTATTCTTATCAAAATAATTTCAACCTTCTCTTCATTAACACTTTTTTTCAATAGATTGAAACAATTCTATCTCAACTCCAGCAATCTACAGTATTTCAGATATCTTATTCAAATACCATTATTACCAGATGTAAGTAGACATTATGTAATTTAACTAATTGCAATTAATTTTAAATCTGTTTTAAAACAGCTTTTTACATTAACATGTAAACGAAGCCTTTTAATTAAGAGACAACATTCCAATTAGTCGCCGTTCTTTCAAGCAAACAGAAAAAAAGGAAATTCAAAAATGTATATTTTTTAGCGTAGTAAAGGTGAACGTTTTTGTGATGAATACTTTTGTTGAAGATTATCTGAAGATCATTGAGCGTTAACGCTTATTTAATTAGTAAACTACTCATTTGAGATGTTTTCATCTGTAACTTCATCTCATGCTGTTTGACTTTAAACTTATTTCGGTGTTTTAACTAATCAAGATTGAACTAAATTATATAACTTGATCCCTCGTTAGTCAAAATAAGGTAAACAAAACATAGACAGTGAAACAGCTCTTGAATAACCAATTTTGTCTGCCTTGAAAGGTTAAAAGATTATCAAACTTGCAGTAATCTTAATCAGCATTTTCAGGTTACAGACAATAATCTGATTCCTTTTTTTTACAATCTAATTGTTTAAATTCATTCTACAGAATCCACCAAATTTCCTGTTAGCTTCTGATTTAAAAAGTCATGTTACACCTGTTGTCATCCTTCCTCAACAATCCGACTCTCCTGATGGATCTGAAGCAACAGATACTCTCATTGATTTATCCTTTCCAAATAATCAGGTTTGTATTTAAAAATTTCAAACTCAAATCGGTTTCTAATGATTCTTACCTAATTTTTATCTTATAGAATGAACAAGAGAAGAGTGACGAAAATTCATCAGTTTGGTCATTTAAATCGGAACCAGTCAATGGATCTGCTTCTCATGAAGCATTAGAAGTCAAGTAATTGTTTTTTAAAATAATTTTATCATTTTTTTTCTTCTAATCAAGTCGTAATGATATTGATTATTATTCCGTTATACTTTTATTACATCTAAATTATACCTTTTTTGCATTTCAGAGATAACTTAATCATCAAATTGAAACGCCGTATAGATGAGCTTGAAATGGAGATTCAACAAATCCGTATTGAGGTTAGTTTACCTCGTTAAATGTCAATTAATTTTATGATTAATCATCAATTTTTTTTTCATTTTTCTTTATTTGTATATCTCAGGATGGGCGTGTTATTGATAGTTTTCGGCGTAAATTAACTGAAGCTGAATGTAATGCAGTTGAATCAGATAGAGCATTGAAAGCCATAGCTATGGATAAAGATAATTTGATGAAAGAAAATGAAGAATTGAAACAAGAAATTACCAAATTAAAGATAGGAACTGATAATCAACAAGAGAATACCAAAGCCAACGAGAAATTAGCAAAAGTTCTTGATATTTATAAAAAATTGAGAGATGAACATATTGAACTATTAAGAGCGGTAGGTTTGAGAAGTGAAAATGGTTTCTTTAAGATCCATCATAAATGTTTCTTTTTTTTTGGTTTTTCCTCATTTTTTAGAAAGCTGAAGTTGACAAAAACTGTATCAGTGCGAAATCAGCATTGGAACGCGAACTTAAAGCCAAAGAGGTAACATCAAAATGAACAATTATCTCCTTGAGTGAATGTCATTTTATTCAGAGTCACGTTTTACTGACATGTTTTTTTTGGTGCTATCAATATTTTTTCAGAGTCTGGAAGAGCAATTAAAGGGATTGAAACACAAAGTTGAAGAAAATAACATCAAAAATGAAACTGTGGAAAAGGCTGAAGCCATTGAAGCTTACAATAAAAAGTTGCTCACCGAAATAGCTTTACTTCAAAAGGAGAAACTTCAAACTGAAGGTGAACTGAGTGATGTTCAGAAGCATCTTCTCATGGTTAAAGCTGATATCGAGGATCAGTCAAGAATCTGGGAAGCCAAATTTAATGAGCTTAAATGGCATCTTTTAGGTATCTATAAAAAAATTACAGCTATAACTTTGTCTCGGTTATCCGTCGTTTATCTGTTTCTTAGTAATCTTTCTACTTTAATTGCTACTAAGAAACAAGTAGAAATGAGTATTTCAACACAGATTTATTGAAATTGTGGCAAATTTCTCTCTGACCTTTCTCTCTTGTGTATAATTAAATAATTAATTTCATTTTTACCTTTTCGTTATAGATCTTATGCTTCAAGAGACTCACAATTCAACATCTAAACTAAATGATGATATAGATACTGGAAACTGTCCCGTTACAATATTTTCAACACCTGGTATGCTAAATGAAGTTTAATCCATCTGCGAATCTAATTTCCAAACAGTCATCTAAAAGATCTGAAATTTGAAACATTCACTACAAATCAAACCATTTAAAACCATTTAAGTCAAGCTCAAACTTTTGACTTGAAAAGAAGTCATCAAATATGACCAGAAATAGTTGTATGTTATCAAGCATGAAACATCTATAAAGTGAGATTATTAACGCCTGGATCATAACGTGAAAAAATAGCTTCATCTATTCATTGAATGAAATTGTTTGCAATTTTTTTCCTCCTCTTATGTGTAGATCAGGTTAGAACAAGATCAAAATGTCAAGTTTAAGATTGTTTTTAGATGATTGACTGTGAAATGATAGATTCCATGCCTTGGATTGATAATAATACTTTTTTCTGTATATTTTTTATTTATTTTGTTTTTCTCATCCCACAGAAAATTTCTTCAATCAATGTGATAGTCTGAAAGATTGGCTGGAAAAACTATCTTCAGCTTCACAAAATGTTACCAGTTTACTCGTCAATTTAGATGACATCAGCAAATTTATCATTAATTATTATTCGTCTCTATCTCATACTTTCCATTGTGGTCGAGTCATCTACCAAACATTACCTAACTTTGATCTGGCTCAAGGTAAAGATTAGAATTATCTTCTTTAATCGGAAGTTTGTTTGCTTTAATTATTAATCTGATTTCTGTTCACTTACAGAACTTATGAATCACTGTAAAAATCTGGTTAACTCTTCTCTCCAACTGAATCAAAAAATGAGGAATCGTGTTGACATCAAAAATCAATTAGAAGCCACAAGTTCCTGTGTCAACGAAATTATCGCCTTGCGATCTAAGATTATGCCACAATTGAATCTTAATCAAAATCAGAATCTAGAACAATTGCTTACCCAAGAATTGACTGATATGGACAAGGCAATTGAAGAAGCAGTTAATAAATTAGAGGTAAATTTCATTGATTGGATGCAAAAATGCAAATCTAACTCATTTATTTTCCTAAATTCAACAGCAAATGATGGCTATATCAAAGAAACAGGATACAGGAGTTACATTAGAAGTCAATGAAAATATTCTCGATTCTTGTACTGGATTGATGCAGGTACATTGATTACCAATTTAATCATCTATTTTATTGTATTTTATGTATTTCATCAAATATATGTATATTTTTATCACTACCAGGCCATCGTTCGTCTAGTGAAAAACTCAAAGGAGTTGCAAAAAGAGATTATAGTACAAGGAAAAGTATGTATTGAATCATTTTAAATTATTTTTCCTTATTATTCAAATTTGATTTAACTCTTTTTTCAGGGATCTGCTTCGCCTTCTGAATTTTATCAAAGAAATCATCGTTGGACTGAAGGCCTGATTTCGGCTTCCAAAGTGGTTGCTCTTGCAGCAAAACTTCTAGTGTAAGTTGGCTCAGCGATAAATAATGAGATTTAAATTACATGAAAATCTTTCTTTGTCTATTTTAGTGAATCAGCTGACAAAGTAATCGCTGGAAAAGCTAAATTTGAGGAATTAGTGGTTGCTTCAAATGAAATTGCTGCAGCTACAGCTCAACTTGTAGTTGCTTCCAGGGTTAAAGCTGATTCTAAAAGTGTAAAGATGTCCAAACTGGCTCAATCATCCAAAGAAGTAAGAGAAGCTACTGGAAATGTCGTCGCAATAGCCAAAAGTTGTGCCGAGAAAACGGAGGATGTAGATACAATGGATTTCTCGAAACTTACCTTACATCAAGCTAAGAAAATGGAAATGGAAAGTCAGGTTCGCCTTTTGGAACTTGAAAGTGAACTCACACGAGAAAGAATGAGACTTGCTGGATTACGAAAAAGACATTACCATTTAGCTAGTTAAATCGACGATAAATGCTGCCCGAATATTCTTAATATACATCATTTTTATTGATCGAAATACATTTCGTAAAATTCACAATCATTTCACTCTATCATCACCATAAAGACCACGCATCATGCTACTTCGTATTTCATATAGAAACCCGTTTAAAGCTATTAATCGAATCACTTTTTTTACATTATTTAAATTGCTTGATATACATATTTATGCAAATTTTGAATACTTGTCAAGTGGGCATTAGTTTTAATCTTTTGTTCACAATTTATAGATTACCTTTTTTCAATTTTAATGTTTATGACCTTTAATCATTAAAGGTTCTTTAATCATGAGATACATCTATTCAAAGGATTAATTTGAAAAATAATACTTTGATTGTTACCTTGTATTACGAGATCAGCCTTCATTTATTTCATTAACTTATTACATGCTGTGTATTGATTGTTGGTTTTGACTGGACGATAATTTATTGAATAGCATAAATGAATAATTAACTGACGCATGTTAGAGTATTAAGATAAAAGAGTAACTCTTTTTGATTTTTATTTACAAAAATACAACTTACTTTTAAGATTTTTTGTTATCACTTATTATTTGGTGAATCCACTGGCACAGTAAGGTTAAAAAATATACCATTGAGTTGCAGATTTAATATGGTTAGCTTCAGTTCGCAGTTCACAATTTTTTGCAGCTTTGTGCTTGATATGAGCTTTAGTACGGGACTTCATATGAGTGCTTGACTGGAGATTCTTTGTGCCAGATAATTCTTTATATTTTTTAAGTCGATTTATTTCTTTATGAAGAATACTTTCTAATAATTGGCACTCATTAATCTTTTTTTTATATTCTTTGGCCATTTTAACTTTTGGTTTTGGACTTTCCATACTAAAAATTTCCCGCCGTCCAAGGGATTTCTCCTTTACCAATTCGCTTTTTATCTTACAAATTTCTTGTTGGCTATTCATGATCCATGTTTTTAACTATTAAATGAGAAAAACACAAACACTTGTTTATAATGGAGATGAATTTTTGAAACAAAAACTTACCCTTTTATTAGAGAAAAAATTTAACACATTTAAAAACATATTAGTATATTAAAATTTTAAATATTAAAATATAAATAAAAATTAAATCAGAAATATTAGATATTATCAGCAGAGTTACAAGAAAAGAAGAAAATAAAGGTTAAATAACAGGAAAAGGAATCAATTACAAGAATCGCATCAAAATATGAAATGGTAAGTAACCATGTATTTACCCTGTACGCATGTACTTGTGGTATAAAATCAGAGCTGAATCAGATCAGAAACCGTATTGAAAAAAGCTACCGACTTGGTGTGATCCTTAAATCTATTAGGTATCCCGTTAGATTCCCTTTTTTAATCACGACTCATTTTACTCACAATATCAGTCAAATGTCCAAGGTCAGTGACTTTTGGACTGAATTTTGAATCGGTATTAATTGCATTTCAGACTTTTTCCACTAACATTTATCTTTTGTTGCATGTGATTTTTCGTTTATTGTCCAATATTTATTTATTTCATTTCAGAATTATCTTTAACTAAACATTAAACTTGCCTTAAAGTGATCGTAATTTGACTCGAGTGAACGACAATCGTAATTGTTTGACAAAATTGAATTCAATTATATGATAAATTGTATTATTTATTTATTTTTATTCCAAAAGTTTATTGAGATGACTGTTGTAGACAAAAATTATCTCAACTAACATTTGCTATTTTGAAGCTAGATTTCAAAGTTTTTTTTACAAAAATATAAATGTTTCAAATAGAGTCAGATATTAATTCCCAATCCATTGAACCTTTTGAGTGTTGATCATATGTAATGCTGACTAATGCAATTCAAAACATCAAAGATGATCATTGAGTTTCCTTGTTCTTAAAGAACCTCATCAAGTAGTTCATTTGGTCAGGCTGAGCGGTTAACTTTTTAAAGATTTCAATAAGCTTTTCATTTGAAATTGAATCAAGTTGAGGCAACAAGGCTTCAATGACACTGGCTTCTCGTCTCTTCCGTCCATTGATTGTAGTTGTGGTTGCTGGTGGTGCCAAATTGAATCCACCACCACCAGTGTTACCCAAAAACATGGAGTAAAGAAGAATCATCAAAGGTAATCCGATAAAACCAATGGCTAAAGATATCATAAAGCCAACAATCAATGCTTCGATGCCACCATTGAATGGAGCAAAAGTGGTTCCATATGTACCATAACCAGAACTGAACCATTGACGAGGATCACGATCATAATTATAATAAGGATAAGGTACATTGCTGGCCGTTAAATTGGCAGCGGCTGGTTTAACTCCATCAGCATTAACCCGACAATTAGTAAAATTACATTGAAAGTAACTCTTATATTAACGAGTTCAAGATTTCAAGTTCCGTTTGAGTGGCGTAAATCAGTACTTGGTTCAAGATTCTTCGTGCGAGCTGATTCTCTCAATTTCTTTTTGAGATCCATTAACTTTAAACGATGGATTGTTTTCAATAATACTAATTCTGCTCTGGGCTGAGGAAGGAAAATAATTGTTAAATTAGTTCGGAAATTGATGTTTCACAAGATTTACTTACCTTGACTATTTTGTCTCGTTGTTCAATCAACTCATCAACGACAGTTTTTACATTTGTAATAAAAAGACGTAATTGTCACATTTAAGCACAAATTGACCAGAATGGTCAAAAACGGGAAAAAATGAACTTCGGTCAAATTTAGACATCTTTGGTTTGTAGGAACATGAAAACTACTTCCATTCGTGAGATTTAAAAATTTCTTTGATGAACAGTTTTCGTGCAAATCAAGTTGAAAACTGAAACTTAGATCACTTTCTGTAAAGTTATGGAAGCAGATTTTCTCATGAAACTCATCTTAACGATGTTACTTTTGATGAACATCCAGAAAATGGTCTTATTATGAGAAATAACATTTTCTTCTTCTGTAAAACAAATCAAGTTCAATTTCCAGTTAAACCGATCGTTGTCTGTGGCCATGAGTTTTAGCAAGCTGAAACTTATTATTGATCTCCAAAAACTGTTGGGTCACATCATGACTTAAACACTTTTTGTAATTCATCAACAGCTCTCTTGTTTATGGCCATTAACCTAAAAACTTTGAATCTCGATATTTCGAGAATGGCATCACCTAAAACCACCATTCTTTGACCAAACATTAGATTTTATTATGTGCTTAATCAAATAAATTTCAAGATCATATGAAAAACGTTATAGTTATAGTTATAGCAAAACAGTTATAGCTTCTCCGATAAACAGATCTATCGACAATTTAACAAGTAAAGTAGTGATTTTTTCAAGTGATGCGGATCATCAAAATGAACAAAATTGTTTAGCTGTAGTACCTGTTAACAAACAGGATAATTTATTAGGAGTTTTTAACTCGAATGAAAATTATAATTCCCAAAATGATTTAGTTTTTTCAAATATCTGCACAAATCAAATGACTCAAACAGAAAGTTTTGAGCTTTAAATTTTCAGCAATCAGAAACTTTAGACTTGTTTGAGGTAAGGTTAATATCATCTGTATTCTTGCACTATTCACAATGGAAATTGTAATTATGTTGACAAAAAGTCTGAAGATAAAGTTAATGTGCACTCATGTGCAAAGTGTTTTATTTATTATTATTATTTATTTTCGAAACTTGCGAGGCTAAAGTTGCTCATCGAACAGGTTTCGCGCAACACATTAAATATCAATACAGCGTGTGTGCTAATAAAATGCAGAAAGGTATTAATAAGTTTGCTAAACAAACTTTCAAAAATGAAAAGTGATTTACTTGTATTGTTAACTTTGTATTTGAAAAACTTGCGAACAAAATTGCCAATGAAACATCTTTTAACATTATTCTGTAGAATTATCACCAAAAGAAAATCGCAGCAACATTGCGTTCAAATTTTTGGTGTTTAGATGTTACACTTGATTCATTATTTTCATGTTGTGTGGTGTATGGCTTGGAACATTAGAAGGCAAATTGCAACAGAAAGACTATAATTGAGATTGTAACTTGAGAAATAAAAATGATAAACGGAATACGAAAAAATTGAAAATTCAAAGGAACGGTTAGGGATTCATCATTCGGCGATTCATCTTTATCCATACAAGATGCTGATGTAGATGCATCAGTGCTCCAAGCGTGTAAACTATTGCTACTAAGCTTATCTGTTAAAATTCCTCCAGTTTCAAATAAAGTATAATATCCATTGAAGATTAACTTCCTAACGCTTGGCGAACTTCTTTTGCTCATCAAATAACCAGTAAACATTGTCGAAATGTGCTTGTTAATGAGTGGAGCACGCATTTCTTGTTCAACTGCAAACGTACATCCAGCACGTTTGATCAAATTAAATATGTTGGATTCCATCAGTGTTACAAGATTATCCCTGATAAACCCTGAGTAAATGAACAAAAGCGGATTTGAAATTGTCTGGCTTTCCTTTGCATCGGGTTCTTCTTGTTCTTCCTCGGACTCTTCATCACCATCCTGCTCTGCATAAAGTTGCGCTAGCTCAGCCTCAAAGCGCTTGTTTATCAGTTTAGCATGAGGATCCAATGAATATCTAACAAGGCTACGACAAAATGTACCTTGGGGCATCATGCTTACTCGATATCCTGATTCAACAATATCTTGAAAACTTTCTAGTTTAACGGGCCTTTTATAAATTATTAAACCAGTTTGCATTGTTGAAGACAATAATTTACTGACGAGCAACAGAGTTACAATATAAATAATGTAAAGCCATTTTTTGTGTAAATTTTCAAAGGATCCAAAGTTTTGGTACAAAAGGTATTCGCAGTGATGCCAGATTACCTTGAATATGGACTGTTGTGAGTGGCGAATACTGATGATCAGGAAAATGAGGGAAAATAATGTGATGATAATTGTGAAGGGTAACCAAACATCCAAATCAAATTGAGTTAGAAATTCAAAGAAGGTTGAATTTGAATGTATTTCTGTAACATTTTGTTTGTAAATCGCATCACAATGCTCTTCTTCTTGTACAATAGTCGTCAAATTGGGACCAACAACGCCCAATAAATCATAACTAAATCGAGTCATACTTAAATCGATAAGTCCTTGTTGAAGATCATTCAATATACCTTGACAGGTGCCATTGGGGAAACATCGATGTCCAAATATCTGGTCATATTCAACATAAGTGACGTTTGATTTGCTGGTAACAAAATAAAGATATTTTTCATAATGTGAAGCGTATGGGCCTTCAAGTTTATTGTCATTTGTGATCCTAATTGGTCGGTCTGTTGAGATAGCGACTCTTACATTGACCATTTTAGTCTATTTGATTGTAAGCAAATCCAAAGTCACTTGCAACTGAGGTTTGAATAAAATGAGCAACATTGACAGTAACTTTTGACGATCAATTTTTGCTTTTCATCTAAAATGCTTTTCAACTGTCTATCATTTTTAAATCAACTAATTGTTTTTCATTGAAACATCTTCAAGTAATCGATATAAAATTGATTGATTTATTACAATGTTACTAAATTATGTTGTACTTCAGATAAATTGTCTATTTTGTTTCGATAATTATCGAGGGTTTCATTGAACATAGCCAGCATCAATCATGAGTACCTGATCAAGTGAAAAATCTCATCAAGATCTGATTATCTTGGGCTTGAGTGACAATGTTTTACTAATATTATGAGATGCCGAATGAACGGACATTATTTTTGATATTAATGAGCAATATTGATTGTAAGGATTTCTGAAAAATATCCATTTTTCCTCATTAATTTAATGGAAAATTATTATTTTACTCCTTCTCTTTAAAATTTTCTGCTATAGCTTATAAATATCAGCTTGATTGGTTATTTGGACTTGACGTTAATGAAAATTTGGCAATGAATTATTCAGTTTTTAATTAGTGAAATTGAAATAAATGCATTTGAACCAAATTACTATTCTCATTTTCTGCTTGGTCACCAAAATTTACGCCAGGAAAATGAGTAACATGAAAAAATCTGGTCGCATAGTTTTACAAAAAGCGATCCAAGTTTCAACTTTGACCTCGATTTTGCGAACTGCGAATCAGAGAGATGCTTAAATCCCACAAATGGACTCCTCATAAACTAACAGAGTATAAATTTGAAAGAAATTAATTTTTACCCGTTTTTGCTCATCTTTCTTTCAGTATTTTGTCAATTTATCAATGCGATAATTGTGTTTATTGTGTCTTTTTAGTAGCTTTTTTGATTCTTTTCAGTCAATATCATTTTTGTCTTGTAACAAGCCTTGTAAGCCTAGAAAATGTTTGCTCCGCCACAAGTTTTGACTCTGAGCTCATCACACTATTTTGAAAGCTTACTTCAACCAGTTCGAATTTCCTGATTCGTATTTTTTCTATCTTTTAAGCTACAAATCCTCAGGAAAAAATGTAAACCAAGCTTGGAAGTTGTTCGGCGAACTTTTACCGAACTTTTGCCCAGTTACTACTTTTTACTAAATACAGTGAATGCATATACTCCGTTTATGTACTCACTGTAACAGTATAACACGTTAATTGCTTATGCTCCTCTTTGATCACTAGTCTTATTTTAATGTGATGTAGAAGCTTTTAAGGAACCGCCCAAGGTAGGAACAATGATAATTAGCAAAAAGGTGTTTTGTCTACTTCGTACAATAATGAATAATGAAGGTAGAGTTTATTTACAATGTAAATTCAATGTAAAGACAACGCCATCTTGCTGATTTTCCCTGTAAGTTTAACCCAAATTTCCTATTTGCTATTTGACTTTTGTAATGATAATGTAACTGGTAAATGTAAATTAAGGTAGGATCACCACAGAAAGCCTGAATTTGAAGAAGAAAGGTTGGTATTCCTAAAGTAAAGTGACATTAACCATTCAATTTGACGCTGAATTAATATCATCCCTCATTTGTATTATTGAAGGAATAAACAAGTGAAATGAACAACATGAAGAAGCAACAGATTGGAAACAATCAAGACTGTTGGATGAGTAGCTGCAACGCAAATTTATGGGTTTAACCTTTGACTAACAATGAGTAAAAGTATTGATAGGTAAGTAAAAATGGTAATCATCTGAAGTTTTATTTCCTTTCTCATATTACAAAGAGATTTACCAATGATTCTTTCCAGAAGAAGGACTGGAAAAAATAAGGAAAAGTAGACACTGTGAAGAAGACAAGAGAGAGAAATAAAAAGAAAGAGCAGAGAAGAAAAATTTGAAGGGGAAAATTCTTGTTGGTTAACAGGTTAGGTTCCTTCTTTTCTGTCTGTACATCTTTCTTCTGTCTTTCTCTTTTTTGGTTTAGCTAAGACATTTTTGTTGCTCAGGATAGGATAAGGGAGGGAAAGAGAGATGATGGTGCATAGGTCAGTTACCTTGCGACGAAAGAGATTAGAATATTTGATCGGTGAGAGTACAAAACTTTTCTTACATTTCTTTCTTTCTTTTTGATAACGACAATATTTTTGCGCCCATTTTTATTCAATTTTTACTCTTTTTTAACCAGTTTTCTTGTTCCTTCAACTGTTTGGAGGTACAGTCAAACCTCTCAAAATGCTATATGTTTAGAAGCTATTTTCAAAGCATGAACTCTGAAATTAGATATGGACTTCGAAAAATGGCCATAAAACGGTTTAATCAAGGAGTTTTTATTAGACTATTAATGAATTCAGTTTATAAAGATCTTTCGTCCTCATAATCTGTCACTAAATATGTAATTCATTCATTCATTTTTAGTTTACTCATATGTTCAACTAGTGTTGATGCGTCTATGTTGCTTGGTTACGTCTCAATTTTAGTGAGTCTCATTTTGAGAGGTTTGACCAAACGTTATACTCTTTGGGTTTGACTGTACATCTATTGATTACTTATTAATTTTACCCAATTTCAATGTTTCTATTACAGTGTTGCTGTTGATTTTGTGTTTGTTTGCACCCAAAAAATCGTAACTTCAAAGTGAAACAATTTCAACGAGTTGTTAACTGGATTACATGTGTTTTTGTTGATCCATCAAATTGGTGTTTTACATTTTGTTGAGCAAGTCTGACTCACGGTTTTATCGGTTTGGAAAAAATCATCATCTATATTGTTGCAATTATTATTGACACCCTTCAAATTATCATCACAATTATTCATCACTAAACATAGGTCAACTTTGATAAACAATGTTATCAAATAGATACATTGGTTTGTTTAATAAACAATTTTTAATTGTTAAAATTTGTCTTTACCTTGTGCTTTTCAACCTTCCCATTCAACCAATCAGCTGTCAATCTAATCAAGGTGAGTAAACCCTAATAGCATCATTTCATTCATGCCCTTTTGGAGTATTTTTTGTTCAATCAATTTGGAATTGATGAGGATCGCATAACTTTTCCAAGTTTTAAGTTGATAATTTTCTAATAATAATTTTCATTTTTGTATTTCAGGCTATTTCACTCAGTATTCTAAAGGTACACCAACCAAGGAATTGATATGGTGTACAATAAATTCGGCCGAACAAAATAAATGCCGCGATTGGGCTGAAGCCATAAAACGCTATCCAAATAGTGTGCCTGTTGGTCAATATAAATCGTTTGAATTTAATTTAAAATGTGAACAAGCCTCTGATAAAGAGCATTGTATGAACCTCATCGAAAATGGACGAGCCCATCTTGTTACATTGGATCCAGGGGAAGTTTTCATTGCAGGAAGACATCATTCTCTTGTACCAATCATAGCTGAAAGATATGGTTCTACATTGGAAGATTATTATTATTCAGTCGCTGTTGTACGAAGAAGCTCATCAACACACATAAAAGACATTCAAGACTTAAAAGGAAAAAAAGCTTGTTTTCCTGGAGTAAATCAAATGGCTGGCTGGGCCCTGCCATTAGCTCGTTTGATTAATGACGGAGTACTGGAAGTAAAAGATTGTAATAATATTGTTAAAACTGCAGCCAAGTTTTTTAACCAATCTTGCACTCCTAATGCTCTAAATGATAAAAACAATCCTAGTGGTGATAACCCTGAATCTATTTGTGCTCTATGTCACTCAAAATGTTCTGGATCGGACGAATATGCTAATTTTGAAGGTGCTTTCAAGTGTCTTCTCGATGTTGGAGATATTGCTTTCCTTAAACATTCCACTGTTCAATTAATGTCTTTACGCAATCAGTATAGCTTTAGAAAAAATGATCTTGAGCTTTTATGTCCGCAAGGAGGTCGTCGATCATTGGACAGTTATTCAGATTGTAATTGGGGTCGTTCTCCGGCTCATGCTGTTGTCGTTTTTTCTTCTATGTTACCAGAAGAAAGGAAAAAAGTTCAAGAGTTTCTCATGCAATCAATCCGAGTTTTTAACATGGCCAGAGATTATACATATGGTCAAGGATATAACAGTGAAAAAAATTCTGCCTCATCGTTTGCTTTAGCCGACTATTTAGCTCCTCAGAAATACGGAGATAGAGCAAATCTCTTATTTTCAGATGATCTCAATGGCTTTGAGCCATTATCTGGGCCTGATCAAACATTCCGTAATTATTTAAAAAAGGAAAATTACGATTTATTGTCCAAAGAGTTAAAAAAATGTCCAGTCCCAAGTGCTCGATTATGTGTAGTTTCAGCTGTTGAAATGAAAAAATGTCATCAAATGGTGACAACTTTTCGTGGAGCCTTCTTGCAACCTGTATTAAACTGCGTTGTTGAACGAAGTGCAATCGGCTGTATGGAAGCAATCCGTCGAGGTCGAGCCGATCTGGTCATGCTGGATGCTGCAGATGTTTATCGAGCCGGTCATCAATATGGCTTAGTACCGATATTGACAGAAAAATATGACCTCACTGATCCCAGCTATTATGTCGTTGCTGTTGCTAAAAAAACTGATCGTGAGTCAGATTTATTTTTCCTCAAAGGTAAATCATCATGCCACACCGGTGTTGGAACCGCTGCAGGCTGGGTAGTGCCATTAGGTTTCTTGCTGTCTAATAATCGAATGAGATCTTATGGTTGTGACTCTCTCACTGCAGCATCTCAATTTTTCCAGAAATCCTGTGCACCGGGCGCTCTTTCACCCGACTATACAACTTCTGATTGGGGCCTTAATAATCTTTGTGACCTTTGTGCGGGAACATCGAAATATTTCTGTGCTCGTGACGCAAATGAACCTTTCTATGGCTCTACCGGTGCTCTCCGTTGTATTGTAGAGGGAGGAGGGAATGTTGCTTTTGTTAAACATACTGCAATCCTGGAAAATACTGCTGGTCGGAATCCTGCTCTTTGGTCTCGTAATTTAATTCCAAGTGATTTTGAGTTATTATGTCGAGACGGAACTCGGGCCAGTTACAATGAATCAGTTAAATGTAATATTGGTAAAGTTCCTGGTAATGCAATGGTTACCAGTCCTTTAAAGCCTCATCAATATATCACTGCTTATGTTAATCTTTTCTTAACTGCTCAGCAATATTATGGATCAAAATATTCCCATGATTATACATTTAAAATGTTTGTTTCTGAAGATGGTTATCATGATTTAATCTTCAGTGATGCTACATCCCAGTTAATTGCTTTACCTCAGGATCAACGTAGCTACTCAACTTACCTGAGCCAAGAATTTATCAATTCAATGAAACTCACTGACTGCACATCACATTCCAATCGTTTTAATCCGTCCAAATTATCAATCATTGCCTTATTATATGCAGTTATTTTAGCAATTTTCCGTCAAAATCACTTGTGATCTGATTTTTTTCTCAATTAATGTTCAATCATAAATTTTACAAAACCCAGCTTTTTCATATTCCTATGTAATTATTCCTAACATCAACAATCTCACATTGACAATGATAATTTAATATAAAAATTTGCCAAAAACCATGAAGAATCTCTCACTATTTGTATTTGTATTTGTATTTGCTTATAATGATTAAATCCAAGCTACATTTCCAAATTATTGCCTTATATTATTGTTACCTTACTACCAGATTAGCCTTCATTTATTTCATTAATTTATAACATGTTTGTGTATTGACGGGACGACAATTTATTGAATAGCATAAATGAATAATTAACTGAGGCATGTTAGAGTATTAAGATAAAAGAGTAACTCTTTTTGATTTTTATTTACAAAAATACAACTTATTTTTGAGATTTTTTGTTATCAAAATGTAAAAATGGCAGGATTTGTATCGGGATAAAATTAATTAGCGCAAAAATGTACAATTTTTGCTCAAGTTCAATGGATAGAGAATGGGTTTTGATAGATCGGTTATTTAAGTTAAGGACTAACAATTTAAAAGGGGGAGAACTATTTTAAAATAAAATATTGTTACAATAGAAATTAAGAAACAGGATTAAGAAGCAAAATTACTTTTCTTCTGAACCTGAAAATAAAAGTAAAGCACTTGTGGTGGTTGCGCATCCAGCAAATCGTTGGTTTTTTAAAAATTAGAGACTTGAAACCTCAATAAGGTTAGATACATCAGATGTGATTGAGGAGAATGGGATGAAGATGATGATGGTTAATGTATACAAAACAAGGTAAAAATTGATTAACGCTAAAATAGTGATGAAGAAGAGACAAATTTAAGATTCTCCTCATCCCTTACACAATAAGTATACACAACGAAAATAAGATGATTTGTAAAAATAAATAGGCAGAAGGTTGCCTGTTGATGGCGTTGTAAGTAGCGAATTACCCACAGGATAGGCCAACGTTAGATTCCAAGCTTCTTTAATTAAACGATAATAACGTATCTGTATTTATCTACTGCATCGTTGTTCGAATGTGATTTTATCCTTTTCTGGCAAAACAATTCAAACCGGTTTTACAGGTGATACAGTATAAACTTGGAATCAAAGGTTGGTGGTGAAGATGACAATGATTGTCTTTCAAAATGATACATAATGTGATAGTTATAATTGTTTGATTGTTCAAATTGTGTTGATAACTATGGACTTATTCAATATGAGTTGAATTTATGTTTTTCTGGTGTTTCCCAGTTTTAGTAAAGATGATGGTAAGAATGATGATGAACAATTCGATAGTAATTAAGAAATAAGAGATCCATAATGGTAGACATAATGATGAATAGATTAACAGTGATCAAAAATTCGACATTGAATGGATCAAATTTACTCAGAGTAAATGACCTGTTTGTCGATTAAACAAGAAGATTGAAATAATTTCTTGCTTGATGCGGCTCTTTACGCGGATCCATTTTTCATTGGTTCCTCTCCAGGCTTTTCACCATCGTAAGTCTGAAAAAATGGAATGAAAACGTTTTTTTAAATTCTTGATTCAACAATTAATTCAAGTATCAACCAATCTTAAATTACCTTATAAGTGGGATTATCATAAGCTGCTTCAGACGGAGCTCGAGTTATTGCTGCTTTGGCACAAGTTTTAGTTTTCATTAAGACACAAAGTAAAGTCACAAATCCGATTCCAGTTATAATGGCAAAAATGGCAACGATCATCAAAGCAATATAATAAGGTTTAATTGCTTCACCGCTGCTACTTTCCTTAAGAGCTTCAGCTTCATTGGCTATAAAAATGAAAAGAAAGTTGAATAAATTAATAATTGTTCAGCAAAATTTATATTATAACAAGTTATACCTGATGGATCATCGTCTCTGTTTTCATTAATTACAGGTTTAAGATCTTCTTTTGTATTAAATGTTACTGTATTTGTTGAAAGAGTTGCTCCATTAGCAAGGTAAAGATCCATCCATGCCTTATAACGGTTATTTGGACGTAATCCATCGACAATTACGGTTCCATCTTCAGATGGAGTTTTAAACATGTGAACCATCTTATTCTCCAACCCTTCTGAATTGGCTTCTCGGAAATTAACTTTAACAACATTTACATATTTATCAGTTGGCCTGGGAAGACCACGAAGCTTAATCATAGTACGATAACTTTCAGGGGAAACATCAATTGAGGGTACAAAATCAAATTCATTAGGACGAGCTGGCATCTCAATCGTAACTGGTTTAGCGGAAAGTAATTGAGTTTGCAAGCTTTCCGCTGGCCTAAGAATTAAATCAACCACATAAGAAAGGCCAGACCTTAGATCACGTAAAGTGTATTCATTGACATCACGATGAATCATTGGAGTGGTTATCCATTTATCAAATGGATCAGTGGTTAAACGGTATTTAATTGTGATTCCATCAATGAGTGACTTTTCTCGCGGTTCCAACTTTCTCCAAGATAATTTAGCAGTGGTTCCGTCTACAGCAACCACATGAAGCTCAACATCCATCGTTACTTGAGGTGGAAGAGTTGATGAAGATGTGAATGGAATAGGAGATGAAACTGATGAAGAGGAAAGTAAAGTTGAACTTGTAAGTGGATATCCATGAGAGCCGGAAACTGATGAACCTGGAGCAGGTAAATATAACTTGTAAATTTGACTTTCAGGTCCTGAATGAAGAGCTTCAATTAGAATGCGAACTTGGAAATAGTAAGTTGTATCGGGTTTAAGTCCACCAAGATGATATTCAATGTTTGCCGTGTCAAAAAGTCGTTTGGGTCGAGCAAATTTTTGAACATTCCATTGGTGTCGTTGAATGTTTGGATCGGTTGTGAAATGAACTTCAGCGTGACCAATTAAGCCGACAAATAGTGATGGAAGAGTGAATCTGATTCGTACTGCTGAATTATTCATGGCAACAACACTAACGTTTTCTAATTCTTTACCTGTAAAGAGAAAGAGCAACAATAAAGAATTAATTGATTGCCAAAATTAAGAGGAAAAAATAAAGCATGAATGACGTTTAATCTTTTCATTGAATTGAAAGCTTACCAGTTTCTTCTGAATAATTACAAATAACATAGGGACAAAGTACAGGATCTTCTGGTGATATTAAAACTGGAAGTGGACATTCAGCTGAAGGTTTTAAATGTCGCTCAGTAATTTTAGGACAAATGCCACCAAAACAATCAACTTGAGGTTTACCCAAAGGAGGTGTTGGTTTGCAAGAGCAGCGACGACGAGGTCCTAAGACATTGCTTGGATTGACATCTTCCCATTGATCACCAACCTTGTAACGATTGCCATTGTGTATACAGAAGACTGTTAAAAAGATACGTAAAATGGTGTTAAAAATGGTAAGTTAGTTAAAAAAGAAGATCCAAATTCTATCGATTGTGATTTTAATTCTCAGAAAATTACCTGATCTTTCTGAATCTCGGCACATCCAGTGTAAACAGCAATCGTCACCAGGCAAATGCCCTCGATAAGCCATTTGCAGGGGACAAGGAAGATTAGGTGGTGGAGTTTCAGATATGGGTGGACAGCGATTTTCACAAGTTACATTTGCGTTCATACATACACACCGAGTGCCACAGGGAAGAAGCTCATTTGGAATCGGCTTGAAATTTGGGAATCTTAAACCAGCAAATATGCATGAGCCATCGTTTTTACAAGTGGGTCGAGGGCAACAATTTGGTGGTTCAGGAATGAAGTTTGGATCCAGTTCCCACTCAAGACACTTTTCATTTGGTGTATCGAAAAATTGGGGACAAGAGATTGGACCACAGGATACTTTACCATTTGGAAAGCATTCACAAACCGACTCACAGCCATCATTAAACTGACCAACAGGTATGGTTCGACCTTTGAACAAACAAAGACCTGGATTTGTATCTGGAATAAAAGGTTTTTCAGACGAGGCTAAAGTTGGTTGAGGCGTTGATGAAGATGAATGGTTTTGCTGGTCAATGGAAGAAGTTGATGATTGAATTGGTTCGTCTTCACTGTGATCACAAATCAAATAGGGGCAAAGACATGGATCACTTGGCGTAATTATATAAGGTTTTGGGCAGCCTGGACTAGGCTTTGTTGTGTTGGGCGGAATTGGAGGACAACCACCATGACATCGAGTTGTTGTAGTGCCATTGGATAATTGAACACAACGACAAGTTTGTTTGAGACATCCTCCAGGACCAGATTCATCCCATGCTTCACCAATGAAATGAAGACGATTATCTTTTCCTAAACAGAAAGGCTCAACTGTTTCAACAGGCAATGATGATGTCGAAGGGTTGGGTCGAGCTGTTGAAGACGGCACAGGCTGATGGCCCATGGAAGGTTCATTACTGTTATCAATTGGGTTTTTGATTGATTCCTCGTCCTTTTCATTTGTATCTTTATTTTTTGAGCAAACGGGAATGGTACAACATGGATCTTCTGGAGATGGAACCCAATCACATTCTTCGAAACCAATAGTATCAATATAGATTGGACAACGATCTTCACATTCTCGAGTTCCTCCTTGACCACAAACGCATTTATATTCACATCCATCGTAAAACTCTTGTCCCACTTGGATAATTTGATTGTTGAAAAAGCAACCATTAAATGAAGAGTCAACTCCTTCAGGGAATGTTTTAATGAAAACTGTGTTTGATGTTGAATTGGATTTAACTTCTTTAACTTCAACAAAATATTCAGTTGACGGAAGAAGTCCATTGAAATCAATCTCAAACATTCCAGGTTCTAACAATTTAAGGTCATCCTCTGATACTTCCTTAGTTGACCAAGCTCGATTGTTAGCATCATTGGATGATGATGGAGTAATCTGTGATTCAACTTTAGAGTAACGAATGAGAAATACATGTTTTGATTTGTGATGAATTGAGTTGGGAATAATTAATCGAAGCAATATGTGGGTTGAATTGGTGGCCTTTGCCGAGTCAAGAATTAAATTGAAAGGTTCCATCTTTTTAACATTAGATGAAACCTTTTCTGTATCACAGACAGCAATTTTACAACATTCAGGATCATCAGGATCAGGAATTAGAGAGCAAAGTTTTTGATTGTAACCATGAAAAACGGGACATCGAGGAGCGCACTGAAGATGATAACCTTCCTTGCAAATACAACGAGATTCACATCCATTTACAAAAGATTCACCAGGTTGATAGGTTATATTTTCATATCGACATCCAGTAACAGGTAATGGTGCATCAACTGAAACAGTATCTCCAACAGGTTCACCGTTATTGAATATTGGTGAATTAGCTGATTGAGATGAATTAACTCTGACCACATCAACTGGCTTTGATTCACATGCCATTGTTTTACAACACGGATCCTTAGGATCTTGAATAATGGTACATAAAGGATCAACTGTGGTCACTGGTTCATCCGATCCAATGAATGGACATCGAGGGTTACATTCAACTTCCAAAGCCTCTGAGCAGATACATTTAAAGTCACAGCCATCAAAAAATTCTTCACGCGGTCCATAAGTTTTGTTTTTGTAATCACAAATTAAATTGGATCGACTGTTGACCTTACGACAGCCGTTGATTAAATCATAAGGATCACCTCGATATCCAGGTTTACAGGCGCATTTAGGAGGATCCAAGTCACTGTGATTATCGAGACAAAGTGTATTTTGTCCACAAACCAAAGATTCACATCTTTTAGGTGTTTTAGTGTTGGCTTCAGAGCAAACTGATCCACCACAAGCAGTGGGACAACATTTATCCAAACCACGACAATGATAATCATGTTGACACTCTTCAAGACAAAGACCCGTCTCGGATCTGATTCGTGTGGGTTCATAACAGTGACCAGGTTTATCTGAAAAAGCAATCTCTCCTGACCCTGAGGGAGGAGGCTGGGTGAGTGGAGGTGATGTTATAAGTACATCTTCAGATGAATTTGTGGGAGGTTCACTGCGGGTTTCAATACAATTTAAACTTGAACAACACTCATCTACAGGAGTCTCGGTACAAGAGGGGTCCATGTTTGTTCCCTTGGAAATAAATGGTTCCTTACAAACTGATCTACAGTCCCAAAGGTTACCTGATTGACAGGTACATCGTGATTCACATCCATCAACAATTTGCTTGCCCAGAGGGAAAGAGGCATTATCTTTGATGCAACCCTCTTCGGTTGTTACAATAATCATCTCTGATTGATCTTTAGAGTCAATTTTTTTATTCCTCTCATCAAATGGATATTCCCACAGACCGATTCTAATGATATAACTTGAACCAGGCAGTAATCCTTCCAAAGTCCAGAAAGGTGTATTGTTTCCTTGAACCTGAATCCAATCCGATCTAGACATTGTATCATTGGTAACATTTAATTTACTCAACGATTGATCAATACTGATGGGATTGTTAACTCCAACCAGAGATGAATTATCAACAGGCTTGTACTCAATAACATAACCAGACTCATAATTGGGAAGCTTGAAATCGTCCCATGCAAAGGCAACCGAGGTTCGCGTTTTACTTGTAACCAATACTTTAGGTCGAGCTTCACTGATTGCTTCCATTGGTTTTACTTCACCTAGAAAATAAAGTGAAACAAAAAAACAAGTTAAAAGATGAATCAATTATTTTGGGTGAGAAAAGTAAAGCTTCTCAATGGGAAATTATCTACCCATGGAGATGAGAGTGATTAAATGAATACAGTGTTTGATTGCCAATTGGCTAATAGCTGTTAATGTACATATATGATTGATCTCAATCGTTCACTGATTTTAGGTGAGAATCTGTCATTTGATTGTTAACATTTCAGTAAAGATGCCAAAAATTTCATTTCTCAAATTCAGTCGATTACTTGAAAAAAATCCATCAAAAAGGATGGCTATCAACTTAATTGTGTGAAATAAAGATATAATAAGAAGATTATACACCAAGAATACACTTTTTTCATACTCTAATGTATCATGAAAATAATGGAAATACAAAATCAAATGATAAACAATATAATAAACTCGTCAACCTCATTGACAAAAGGTTATTGACAGGTTTACCCATTATCAGCCAATAACAATTATAATATTGATAATAACCACTACTTTCTAAATTATTAATATTCATGAGATGGTTATTGCAACAATTATGACCCAAGCAATACAAAATTACCTTCACATTGAGTAACAAGGCAACATTCAGGATCTTTTGGATCAGGTTTGGTTATACAATTTGGTCCTTTTAATGAATCGGGTTTGGATGGACAACGATCCGAACATTTAATCGTTGAATTTGTTTGGCAAATACAGATTTGATCACAGGAGATATTGAATCGATCACCAATCGCATAGATTGATGAATTGTGGAAACAGCCATCTGAAAGAAGGAACAAGAAAAGAAGAATTAAATTAAGAATAAAATTTAAATGAATTAACTGATTCATTGATTATGACAATTTGCTCCTAAACAATTGAAATAAATGGTGTTCATTGCTAAAGCCTTTTGTTAAACTGTTAAACATAATAAACATAATGATGATCATTTAGTTATAATTTTTTCAACGTATTTTGAAGGCAAGCTAAAATAATTATAAAGCAACAGTGAATACAAGTGAATTACATTGGTAATTAGATTAATAGTTTACAATTTAAACTTGATTTAAACGTTAAAAATGTCAACATTTCCTTTTGCTGGAAACTTCCGTCTGATTGGGAATGCAAACCAAGATATAATGATGACCAGTATTATGTTTTATTATAATGATAACAGCAAACCTTTGAATTTACTTGTAATTAAAAGTGCTACAAAAGAGGACAATTAAGATGCTACCAAACTATTAATGATACAAGATGAACATCAATTAACCAACAATCTTCCTCTTCCTTTCTCTTTGTATTTTTTAGCTTTTTAATTGCTCAAGGGTAAAGACTAATTCACTCAATTAAGTGGATTAATAACAGTGTCCAGATATTGAATGATTAGAGGAGTGGATCACGCTTCACATATCTATTCACAACAATTTGTAAATTATTCATAGATAAATGTCAATCACAGTCAAGTTCAAAATTGATGGGAAAATGAGCAATGAATCAACTAATTTAGTATATTGGTAATCACGATAAATTGGTTTCTCTCATTTCTTTAAATTGCTTCTTTAAATTGCTTTTTACTATTTTCCTTTTTTCCAACTCTTTTAATATCATAATTCAGGTTGATTCAGTTGATTCAAGATTAGTTAAGATTCAGATGATAACCTTTTGTTTCCACGATTAGAGTTTCATTCATCTTGTCGTCTTCAACCTTTACCAAGTATTTATAGCTGAGCCCGTTGATTGATCGGACGACAAACCAATCTGATGAAAAAAAGGAAAGAAAACAGAAGATAAATTAGTTTATTAAATGTTTATAATTAAGATTCAAATTGCCGCAACGACTTGAAAACATCATTTAAACCTGAAAGATTTTTCAATCTGATAAATTTGATTCGATAAATCAACAGTTAATCCAAATGCGATGAAAGCTGATATTGATATTCATTTGTAATATAAATTTTAAATTATTTTAATCAACCCTAAAAATAGCTCAAGATATTCAAAGTTATTTAAAAATGAATAAAATATTCATTAAACATTTTTATTGAAAATTTGCTCTAAATTGAAGGTTTCTTGTGAATTGGAAAGCTACTTTTCAATGAAACTATTGACCAATGATTTTAAAGATGATTTTTGTCCAAATTTTAAACTTGAAATTGATTTAAATGATTGCAATGAAAATGAGCGATTAACAATTGATGAAACTCGCTCAATTAACTGCTTCAATCGGATCCTAATTTAAACTCAGAATCAGCTTTCATCTATTTTTTTATCAAAATGTTGAACTTGAAATGGTTAAAATTGAATGGTCAAGATGAGACCAAGAATGATTTGGAAGATTAATTGTAAATATAAAAATGATTAATTTGATTTCAAGAATGATCAGTTAATGGTGAAAGAAATCTGTAAAAGGTTTACATTCTTTCCATACATTTTATACACTTTTATTAGCCATTCGAGATGGCAATTGAAATGTAATGTTTGCCTGTTTTATTTTCAAATTTGCTCAAACATTTTGATTGATGAGCAAACAAATAGAATGCATTTGACCATTGAAATCTATTAATCAACCAAATAAAATTAAGAAATAACCTTTCATTGAATAAAAGGAATGAAGATGAACAAAAAATACTAACCTTAACTCCTTTGGAGCTCCATGGTATGTTATGACTGTTGAGTGGTTCAGAACCATTTGCTAGTAAATAATGATAGACCATCATTTGCGGTGGCCTAAGGCCACTAGTGATGGCAATTTTTTTAGGAGCTAACCATTGCAATGAGATCGTATTTACCGTCGTCTTTACCCTTTGGACGAGCAATTTGTCTGTAAATCAAACAAGAAAACATTTGTTATTGCAAACTCAAAAATCATGAAAAAAGGTATTTTAATGCTCATTGTTCAATCTCATTTCCATTTGATTTTTGTTCAACATTTTAACCTGAAACATTTTAGCTTTGAATTGTTGCTTATTTTATGATTTTGATACAATTTGTTGACCATTTAACTGGTCATTGTAATCTTTGATTTTGTTTGCTTCATTGTTGATCTGTGGACAATGGAAGATGTTTTTTTACCAGAAAATTAATGAATATTTTTATATCACAATTGGCACGCAAAGGAATGATTGACTGTTGATTGGGATTTGCATTGATATACAAAATTACATCTAATTGTGTGCCATTTGTTGAGCTTAATCACATCCAAATCATGCTCATCATAATAGTTATGAGAGAGATGATAATATTAATAATTACATCAAATGTAGGAACAAAGCAAATTTGTAACTGGTTTTCATTATTAACTTTAACCAAAAATAGGTAATTATTGTTAATGAGAGGGCTAAATTGGTTGGTGAAAAACAATTTTTATTAACAATTAACTTCCCAACCAATCAGTTTAACAAATTTTCACCAACATTCAATCTTAATCCACCTTAATTATCAAAAATCATCACATTTACAGTTAAAGCAAAACAAATCTTCTTCTTGGTCCAATGGTCATCATCGTTATTTTTGTTAAACATCAAACAGAAAGATTCACCAAATTAAAGTTATGCTTGATGGATGATTTATAGTTGCTATTTTTTTAATAGATCATGATTACACAGTGAATAATCAGACAAATTGAAATATTGATTCTTCATCTGATCAAAATTATCGCCTCTCTTAAGTCAATTTGTCAAGACTTTTTCAGTTTTTGATCAAAGACGAAATGTTAAGGAATGAGAAAATGATATTGAAATATTTTGATGGATAATGTATTGATCATGAAAAGAATCAGATTTTATGGTGAACGAGTTTTCCATCATTTACATTGATTGATTGATGGCGATAAGGGAAAAATATGACGATTTTAAATTATCAATTTGCTGTTGTAGAAAGAGATTCAATGGATAACTGATTGAATCAAGTGTAACTGGATTAATCATGAAAAGTGTGACTCAATGATTGAATAATCACTCAAATCACAAATGAATATAGACACATATAAAGCAGATATCACACTTACTAACCATTATTCAAGGGTAATAACTGAACATCATCAGAATCTCACGCTGGTGGATGAAAAAACGTAATCTAAAATTGTATCCAAAGCAGGTAATAGTCTTGATAGACTCAGACTTGGTTATCACGGAAAAACGATTTAACATAAGTTGACCATTTCTCGGACTTTTACTCATAAAGTGTCAATAGCAACATTACCAAACCCAACAATTGGAAGTTCATTTTCAAATCTTTCAAAACCATAAAATTCTGAAAACATCTTTTAAAGATTCCTAACACTTGCCTTAAAATGAATCAATTATCAAAATCAACTCTTAAAATTGATTTCTAATAGTTAATTGTTTATAATAGTAAATGTAAAATGATAATTCGCTAATTTAGCAAATTAATGATTAACCTTGATTAAATTGTAAAAGGTTTGATCAATATTTGAAGGGAAAATTTGATGTTGATTCCTTGATTAGCTTTTCATGAATCTTCAGAATATGTTTAAACTTTAAACAGTAACATGAATATAAATTGATACGGGAAAATAGGTTTGGTACAAAAAGATGAACATGAAAACGGTAACTACGATTATCATCTGATATCACCGAAAGTTGTTAAAGGCTAGATGAATTATGTGGATGGGCAAGAGGATTGGTGCAGTTGGATAGTTTAAATGGTCAATCGGGAGTGGTTTAGTGGGAACAATTTACTTGTTTTAAATGATGTAAATAGCAATTTATCCGGGAGTCGATCACCACTCAAGTTTCAGTTATCATATGAGAGGTGAGATGAAATGTATCAAACCAGGAATGAAGGGTAAAGCCTCCTTGTTAATACAATATTCAATTTACAATGTTAACAATGTTGTTGTTTAATTGAAATATTAGAGCTGTAAGGTGAAGGGCTGCTGTAGTTGAGTTAATTGAAGAGCAAGAAAAAACTCCAAGTTAGATAAAAATCAAAAAAACATTGATTCAAATGGAAGACAATTCATTATATGTTGACCACCGTATTCACCAATCTTCATCATCTTACAGAATTTCAATTTTCTCTTCTTATCTTTCTCATCTTGTCTCAGCTTCTTAACCATTTTCACTGGAAACAGGTAAAGGCACCAACAATGTGTAACATTATTGCAGTCATGATAATACAAAACTAAGAATAACCTGAAATAGTAAAGATTACTGTTGATAATGTCAGGTTTGGATTCTTTCAGCAAACCGAATCAATTTATTCTTTTGGGTTAAGGAACAGCTGAATGTTGGCTCAACATGATCAACTAAATTAATAAACAAAACTTGAACAGTAATACTTAAAGCTTCCAGAATTTTTCAATTGAAAAATCAATTTCCAGGCCAGCAAACTACACGGTAAATCAGGTGAAAATAGGAAAAATTTACTCTTCAAGTAACAGTAAAAGGCAAACAAAAAGCCGTTCAACAGTGACATGGATGGTTAATAGCGGTAAATGTTATTCTGTAATTACACATTTTGACAATTTTTTATTCAGGAAATATCTACTTTTTATGGACAAAAAAATCTTTGTAAATTGCTACCTTAAAGTCTACCTTTTTTGAATCATTAGTGTTAAATTATTACAAACATAATCATTATCCTCACTATTGTCACCAAATTACCAGTTTTTTACTCGACAGTTTCATTAATTACATGGAAAAACGAACCATCTTTTCAAATTTGGTATGAAACCAACCGTCAAGATTATGATTTTGCATTTCAATCGCCTTCATTGAGTAACTCAATATGATTCAGAAAATTTCAAATCTTACAAAAACATTGAAGTGCTAAAAGCTGTTTACCAGAATTATATTGGATCGTATGAAGATGAAAATTTCAGTTTAATCAAGTAAAGCGTTTTGGTCAGATCGATTGTAAACTAGACTTAAATGTCAATGAGTTTTGAATCAGAAAAAAGTATTCTTATTGTTAATGAATGAGACTCAACACTTGAACAGCAAAGATTGTTGATGCAAAATCAGATAACAGATGAGTTAAATTTCCATCAACAATTGAATTTTTGATTTCACTTTTTTTCTCAGGGAAGTACAATTTAGGCCATTTTGAATTGGATCAAGAGTAAAATGATATTCTTAACCAGTTAAGTTTATGAAAAAAGGTAAAAGTTAATGAATCCAGTGTTTTCATTGCTACAATAGAGACGACCCAAAACTGGTGAGAGTGAAGATGATAATGTTGATTGAGTTGCTGATAAAAATGTTCATCAAAGGTAAGCTACAGAATGGAAAGAATCAGTTTAAAGTAAATCATTCATCAAGTAATTGTTTTCATGCAGATTAATGCTTATTGTCCAGACAATGTTTAATATTATTTTTGATGAAAATGAAATTTCCTTCAATTCTGATTAAAAATTGATTGACTGTTGAAGTCTATGAGATATTGAAGCTTTTTGATTGAGCAAAAGTTGAAATAATTTTCTGACTGACAACAATTACCGGCAACTCTCGTAACCATTAAAGTTGTTAATTCAATTTTTCACATCATTTTCGCCGAGATTTTCTTCACTGATTAGATATGATTGTCTTTCACTATCTGACAATTTATCATCTTAATTATTGTTGAGTGTGAAAGGTACCAGAAATTATCTATTAGAGATGGCCATCAAAGCAAAGGTAACACCAAAAAGTGACCTAGTAAATGGTCATCAACCAATCTCAAGATTGAATTAGTGTTAATAAGAGTTGATATCTTAATCAAAAATCTTGTTATGCATAAAGTGGCGATAAAATTAACAGAAATTGATACAACCAATTAATTTCATGGTATCCAATATCAGATTGAGAAGCATCTAATTGTCATTTTTGTTATTGATTTATAATGACTGGTTATGAACCTTTTGATTAACTTTAACTTTATGTTAAACCAGAAAGTTGAGAAATATAACAATAAATGTTCATCCATTAACATGATTAGTAAAGTTCATCATCATTAAAGATTAAGTTTTCACGTTGAACTTAATAATGGTTTAGCTCAACATTTAATCAAACAATATTGTCCGGAATAAAGGAGATGGTAAAATACAAGAAGATGATTAAAGGTACAATTGAACATTAAGAAAGGTTGAAAAGAAGAAGAAAAGTTAATTTCTTTTTCCTTGTTAAATAATTACAATTAACCTGGAAAATTGGATAACATTATGCAAAAGGATTTTCAGCAATATTGGCTGAAATGAAAATATTGAAGGAAAAGTTGAGACAAAATTTAAACTCTGGCTAAAGTTGATCCATTGAAATGGATGAAATGATTTAGACTCTTGACTATATTTAATAAATTGTCATAAATTCAATTAAATTGTTTTGATACGGTTTATTGGAAGAACCGTGAAATGTAATAATAATATGATAAAAATGGTTAACCAGAAACCACAGAAAACATTAAAAAGGTTATCACCGGTTAATGTGGAGACAATTGATATTAAAAACTGGTCGGTGATATTAAATGACTAAGTGGTTGATCAAGGATTGTATTTTGTTCAATCAACAGGCAACACACAATCAATGAACCGATAATTGAAATCAAAGTAAACCAAAAATAGGGAAGAAGCAATCTCAACAATTTACCATGTAATTGTACAACAAAGACGGAAGACATTTGTTTAGCACTTTCTGGGTGAAAAGTTGGGTGAAAAAAGGTGAGAAATCGGTTCTTTTTTTCTGTTCTTCCAAAATCACATTAATGAAGATATTAGTGGTTCCTTGCAGTAATTAAGACGCCAGGGAAAAGAAAAGAAAAATCATTGGAATCAAATGAATTTGGAAGAGTGAGAAGGAAAAACCAGATTCGGTAACACCAAAAGTAACGGGTGTACAGACAAGGATAAATATCGAGACAAAATGACATCAGCATTCAATAAAACATAAATTCAGATTTTGATTTTGTTTACCTAAAAAGGTCGCTAAAGAAGCGTTTCATTTTGCTTGAAATGTCACTGTTTTTCTGGTAATTTTGGGTTTTAATCTCAATATTTGAGCTAAAATTTAACCGTTTTGACCAGAATTTAAACAAACAAGTTGAAGCAACATTTTTGTTTCATTATCTGGAAACAAGATTGTTTTCAAATCAACATTTCCCATCTTCAGGTCATCACCTTTTTAATCGGCTAACAGTCAACTGTCCTTTTGCTCTTCTTGATAATCTAACAAGATTAACAACAATTGACTTTAAATTCAATCTAAATTTTGTTTGACCAGTTTTGAATAATTGTCTAATGATGAACAAACAAAAAATACAAAAGCTACATATAAACATGTATTAATAGGTTTTGATCAGAAGAGACAATCAAAGTAAACAAATAAGCAATGCAAGTTGGTAACAATGAAATCAGTGCCAATTGACCAAGTACCCTGTTTATGCCAATCAAAGTAAACAAATAGGTACAATATTTATACAATTTGACCATGTAAAATGAAAGGCCATTTACAATCACAACCATCAGTTTTATGGTCAAAATGAGAATTGATAAAATTACAGTTTCTACTGTTAGTTGCTACTGTAACCACATTTTTGTTTCATCCAAAATGACCACTTCAATTGCATCTTCAAAAACCCATTTTTACCTCTTCCTCTTCATAATCATTATCATCAACAGCCAATCCTTTTTTTTCAACAGAAAATCTGGAAATGTACAAAAATTCCGTTCAACTGATATTCCGTTTGCTACTTCATACTTATCATTGCACGGGTTATTTGTTTATCTTTCCTCTCATCTACCTTTAACCTTATTTTTGTGTTTTGTTTATTGAGTAACCTTAAACTTAAGGTAATATTAAGAGTAATCTTGAAAACTGGTTTCAATCGTAGTCTTGACCATAGTTTCTTTGTGCTATTGTCCATAAATAATTGAATACTTGCTAAGATTAATATCAAGTTAAATCAAATTTGTGTGGCCCAACAACCTGAAGGCAAACAATCAAAATTAACATCCATTATAATTAACATTTTTCCTTCTCTTTGCAATCTTTAAACATTTAGTTGATAATTGGTCTGATTTATGAGTTTCATTTATTAATCCCATTGAGAAAGGTTAATCTCATGTCAAGGGATTTTACTTTTCAGATATTATCAGGAATTAACAATATTGCTTTAATCCTTGAGAAGGAATCAGAAATAGATTGCTGTTTGAATAAATGATAACAATAAAAGGTATGTTTAACTGGTAAACATGGGATAACACAAGTAAATGTTGACCAGAATCAACGTTTACTTTGGTATCAACAGTAAACTTATTGATTGCATGATGTATTAAAACAAATTGAAACGCAATTCAAACAATGAATGGTAAAAAAAAGGTTAACATTTAAATTGATTGTAAATCAAAGGTTTTGTTGTAAACATGTGAATCTCATAAAATGTAAAATAGTCTCTATTAATAAGAGTGCAATTGCTGTTGATTGTTGATTTGGACAATTCAATTGTTTTGATTCGTTGAAACATGAAAACCAATGAGACTGAAAAAATGTGAAGAAAAAGCAAATAAAATTAAAAAATTAAAAGGTAAATAGGAAGATGGGAAAAACAAAGTTGATTGTTGAAACAAATTGTTATGAAATGTCAATACAAAGTGATTGTAATGACGGAAGCTCTTAATGATGATAGATTTGGCCAAATATCATTATTATTGTTTCAATGTTGACTTCCTCAACAAATCATCAATATTGGACTAAAAATTGATCTTCTTATTCAACTTAACGTTATATTATTCATCCCACTTGTTAATCGTTATGGTTGATGAAACTGGTAAACCAAGCGATCAACAATGACAATCAAATGATATTCTGGTTACAATATTAATACAAATTACAATACCGGTAATCAACAAGTCTTAAAAATAGTCACAAGCACAATTAACAATATTTTAACGAATGATGATGAAGCCTTGAAATTGATTTGTTTGGGACAACAATTGGATTGTAAGTTGTAATGTTTAAGACGACAATCAGTAGTTTAAAGTATTAAATTAAGCTGGTTTAATGAGGTATAACACAATCTAAATGAAAGTCCACCAATTTACAAATTCACACAAAATGAGTAAAATTATAATGGGACAGAAATAAGATTGATAATAATCTTGAGAAACTGTGATTTCAATTTTACTCTTGCTTTTTGCGTGTTTCAATTGTTTTGTGTGTTGCATGTTGATTAACTAATCATTTGATAAACTATATTCATGTTTACAGAAATATCTGCTCATTTTTAGTATGTCACTAAATATGCCTTTTGGTATCATCTTAATCATGTTATAACCAACATTTGATGTCCTCTTATTGTTGTTACCCTTGACCCTAATTAACATTTGGTTACTGAACTAAATCACCATGGGAGTTACAACTTTCTTTTTTTGCTTGATTATGATGATTATGATGATTATGAAGATGGGTAAAAATAGTGTTGAAATGTTGAAACCATATTTTAATGAATATGGCTCAAATTAGGCACATTTAATCACAATTAGAGTGGTTATCCGAGTAAATTGTGGGAGGATAATTTAAATTCATTCACAAATCCGTTAACTGTCCATTGTGTGGTCTTTTCAATGGTAGACTTTATCATCATTATAACACAGTTTTGTTGATGTTTCACTTTTCACGGTTATAACATTGACTCATTCCCAGTAACACTTTCATTGTCCTGTGAGAAAATTGAAATTTAAACAATTAAAATGATTGGATAATTGCTGTTAACATTGTGTTAGAAAATTGTTTGCACACTTTTCAAGATCAATGACATTTCCATTTCTATTTGTATTTACAGTTAACATTTACAGTTACATTTCTCATGAGCCTTGTTCGCCTGATTACGTGGTTCAGCTAATCAGTTTGCTAAAATTAACTCAAAATTGTCACCATCAACGACAATTCTATTATTGCTACTTCTTTGTCTTGTTGAGCGTGAAAATTGATCCAACTTATTGATGCGAAATGTTTATGAATACAATTAGCAGCTGATTAAAATTAGAGTTGGACCGATATTTCTTGATTTACTTTTTTGATGGTTTAACGAATCAAAATACTAGTTAACCAACTTTCCTCTATTCCAGTCGGTATTTGAAATACGATAATATTTTTTATCTCAACGGGATTCTGTAGTTTTTTCAATCATTATCACTGGCAACAAACTGGATTCTGTTTTACACCAAGAATGAAGTTGATTGATCTTAGAGTTTCCTTTTTTTCCAACCAAAAAGTTTCACTGTTAAGGCTATAACTTAACAGGTACAAGAAGTGAGATTGACTTGGAAAGGGAAAAGTCTTGGAAACCTGTTCATTTTCATCTTCATCATTTCCATTAAGTAAAAAATGAAACAAAATTCAGGTTCACCGACATCGCCAATTAAATAAGGAATCGGCAATAGAAGGGAAGAATGCAAAGGACAAATATCAGCATCAATAATCTAATCATGAGGAGCGAAATATCAACACATCATCGCCATCAAAAATCCATTACAATAAGAGCCCATTCAATTGATCAAAACGGTTAAAGAATAAAAGCCAAACTCATAGACAAATGTATAGAATGCAATAAAACTTGGCTTGAAAATGAGAAAAAACAAAACAAAACGGTGAAAAAGATGAAGTAAAATGATAGGAAAAATTAAAGGAAAAGATTATGTGAGTGGTGAGGATAACAATAATGATAATGATAATAGTAATAAACGTTTGAAGACAAAAACACGCAATAACCCACCCTCTCACTTCCTTACAAGAGTCCGTAGGGTAGAAAGAGTAAGAATATCATCTTCTTTTAGCAACAACATAATCATCATCACCTTGAAGAAAGTAACTGAAGAGATTGTTGCTTGTGATAAACAGACTTAATGTACTGTTTAGCTATAATTAACAATGATAACAACTCGGGTTGAAGGTGAAACTGCGTTTTGGGTTGAAGGGAGACACATTAACGAGAGAGGACGAAAGAAAGAAATGGTGAAAACATGAAGAAAAAGCCTAAGCACGAGCTGAAAATCCTTAAATTAGCACTGGTTAAAGATGAGCACGTAGATCACAAAGAAACAGGTAAAATAAATACTATCAGTTAACATTCACAGCAGTTGTTGGTTATGGCGAAAAAAAAGTGGAAGACAAAAGAGGCCAAAAGATGAAGAGAAAAAAATATCTTAACAAAAATATGTTAAAATGAGAAGTAAATGATGATGATGATGAGAATGATGATATGAGCGTGACTCCGTGAAGATAAATGCAAAGCTAAAAAATTATAATCATAATTGTAAATACATTAAAACTCATAAGTTATAAATCTTGGCTAAAAAGTTTCAAACTTGATTAGAGTCTAAAAAATTGCGAGACATGCTGCTCTTAATGGCTGACAAAAATGAAAATGGCGGCAAATCCCAACTATCGGATACTTGGATCCAAAATAGAAAATTAATTAATTAAAATTATAAATTACTTCATTTCTGATCAAATTAGTGATTAACTAAAATTGATAAAAAAGCAAACAAATAAATATAATTAGATGAATACAGATTTGGGTTAAATTGTCGACTAAAAGGTAATTAATGGCCAAATATCTGAAGATTGGATTGAAATTTAAAAAGATAATGATATGTATTGATATCATCGATTGGGTTGATCAATCTTTATCAAATATCGATGTAAATCATGCATTTAAATTTGATGCTGATTAGTTGATTGTAAAAAATCAGGAGGAAATCAAATTAAACCAATCATTACCATAACTAATTTGTGTATTTAACTGTGGTTTAACAAGCTGGTTTCATTTCCTATTCAACATTTTCATTCTTCTTGGGTAACCAGATAAAAAACCGATCTCTTGTAATGGCTAAAGGAGTTGCCGCTCTTTTGGTTAGCCTTTGTTTCAACTTCTGGTAAGTTTTCCTTGATTTGTCTTTTCTCTTCTGATTTTTTTTCTTTCTTTTTCTAAATCGGTTTCTCTTTTCATTATGTTTCAGTGTTGCCGTTGTTTCTAGTGATGTAGATGATAGTACAGTAATAATTATCATGACAACAAGGAAAGAATCATTCATGTAAACACATTCATCTGACGTGACATCAAAGTGACAAAAGATTGACACAGCAATTTTCCAACAAGTTTTACTTGTATTTGTAATGAGCAAGGTCAAAGTTTCCCTTTATGGTTTGTTTTATTCACCATCATCATCAACAACAACATCATCGTTTTCATCATCATCTTGTTCAAATCATTTTAAAACAATCTTGAGTAGGAGAGCAAATCAAAAGTGTTGATAACGGATAAAACTATTTCTCTCTTCATTGCCAGTTCTATCAGCATTATTCAATTGTTTACCTGATGGTGGTTAGTAGCTGTTGCTACCTATTTGCTTATAGTTAGTCAATGGGTTAACTAAGTCAAGGTTTGATGTCAGCCTGTTGAATGCTTTAAATATTATAATTTGATAAGAGATACAAGTTGAAAAGAAATTAGCGTCAACAAGCCTCAGACGATGAACAAAAAAAGCTGATTTCTACTCTACATGATTGTTGATAAACTCTTTCTTTTTTCACCTTTGCTGGTGGCTAAACTCGTCTTCTGTAAGATGATGAGTAGAAAAATGTTTGCAACTCTTTGTTTGCTTTAACATTTTTTCTTCTCTCCTCAACCAACTTTGAGGTAACGAATCAAACAATAGTCAACAGTCAAAAGTTAATTTAAACACATTCACCTTCTACTTTTTTTTCTCCCTCATTTCAAGGTACTGAAAGTGATCACAGATTATAATAAGGGTGATGATGATGGTTATTGCGATGATGATAATAATGATGGTGATGGTGATGGTGATTGATTGTCTATTCCAATTGATAAATTTTTAAAATCATCCAAGGATGACCAATTTTCAAGGAAAGAAGAGAAGAGCAAAGATCAATTTCCAAATTATATATAATGAAGGAAAGGAGCATTTCAAGGATTACCTGGAAGAAAAGGTTAACATACATAAAAAAAGTGGATGGAAAAGATTGATGATGGTTTGACCAACAACCAATGATCCAAGCCTCATCATTATCTTCTCAGCCCCTTTCCTACTCTTGATAATTCAACAGGCCATTTCATCATCGTTTCATTTTGCCGGAATTAACATAAATTTTGATTTATACGTTGACACATTAGAGATTAAAAAACGAAACATCAGTCCACTAGAAACGCAGTGGACAAGGAATATAAAGAAACATTTGACCATTTTCAGGTGAAGCTCTCATCATTATTACAATTGAAGCATTGTGACTCTAATCAGTTGCTCGTCTCTTTTGTTTATCCCAACCAGCTTAACAAGAGGTTACAAAAATTACCAGATTGAGTGAAGCTAATTTATAATGATTTGGAGAGACCAAATGAAGTAGGTTTTGGAGGCAATTTGATGAATCCAATGGCTTTTGTACGAAAATTTGAAACTCACACCACTTATCCATTTGGATGTTAATGATGTTGATGATGGCTGGTAATTCAACAGATAAAATCAATCAAATATCAAGATACAAATCCAACCAGAATCATGATAAATTGATTAACCAGTGCATGGGTTACATTGATGAATTTTTAATCAGCAAATCATCGTGCTAATTTAAGCTGAGGCTCTTCTACACTTTAAATTGATATGAAATTCACAACCCATAAGTTATTTAAGGGTAAAATTAAAACAGAGGTTTTCATTAATAATTGTGATGAATGATGGTGATATTTATCAGTGGATCACGATTATTTTTATTGTTTTCCCATTCGTTTCCCATTCTGTTTGAATTTTATTTTCCATTGTTAACCATCATCTTGAATCTTATTGAATTCATAGAGATTCACCATTATCATCTGTTTATCATCATCTGTACCCTCTTGAATGGTTAAAGAAAAGAGTCTGAACCTGAATTAGCGTGTGAGTTGAAAAGAAAGACGAAATTTATTGAATAATAATCAAGAGCCGCACTTTACCCGAGCAAACACCGACTCTTATTGTATCACATTTTCAATTGTAAGAGGGTTTTTCATTTTCCAAATTTCCATGAATACATATCATGGTTTTTCATAATCAAACTCTTTTTCCTACACTTCATGATACATGAAAGTATTCTTTTGTAATTGTTGATGAATTGATGAAATTTAAAGGGCAAAAATGTTATTTCTATTTAGATATTTCAATTTCAATTCCTACATCAATGTAAAGTGCACAATTATATCAACCTAATACATCAGCATCAACTTTTCATCAACTGATAAATTACTGAAAATAAACTTGAAGAAGGTAAATTAATAAATGAAAGCATAGTCAATGTAGGTAACAATAAAGATAATAATAATCATAATCATCGTCATGATGATCATCATTATTGTAGTCTCTCCATTATTCGCCAACGTCTTTTCATCATTGTAAGTAAACACAAGCAAACACACAAAAATAAATCTAATATTATGATAATTGAAAGGGTTGCAGGTTGATTGTAACAGCAATGAAATAGATGATGATGATAATGATGAAGCTTTATCTTCTGAATTCCAAAGTCATAATTGAAGTTATGTGAAGTGTTGAAGTTAATCAAAAAATGTAAACATAAGAGTTGAAAAAAAAGAAGATGGAAAACATTCGTTGGGAAAATTTTTCCCAAAAAAACTGGTAAATACCATTTCTCACACTAATTCAAGATATCATCTTTCATAATTTAAGGTCAATGGGCATTTAACTCACTTGAAGGTTAATAAGGTGAAATATTGTCATAAATATCATATTGATGTTACCATGTGAATTGGGTAAGTAAATACAACAAAAAATGAAGGTAAAAGGTAAAGAAACCGAAAATATTTTTGACACAAAAAAGTGCTTCAATAAGGAAGAGTGACTTTTGGTTTTTAGGTTTACTTTTTGGCCTTTTTCATTGCAAATTACACTTTCACATTAAATTGTTTTATTTTAATTATTTCAACTTGACCATTTTAATTGTTGTTTCAATTTGCTTGTTAATTGTTGATCATCATTTAATTGCAGGAAAGAAGGAAGGATAAAATGGAAAAGGTTTTCTGGTTAAAGTGATTTTTGCAAGATAACATTTGTTCAAATCAAATTGAAGATCAACCGACTTTGAAATGATTTAAAGTTGATTGTTAATTCAAATGATGGATTACCTGTTGATCGAAGAAAGGATTCCCTTCATTCATATTAATGTATATTTAACAACAATCTGACCGTTTCTTAATTTCGTGTAATTCAATAATTGAATGATACCAAAATGATGATCATTTGGTCTTATCCTTGAAAACTGTGACTATCAAATTGAGTTAGTTTACAACAAATGTAAATTGCAATGAATCAAGTTAACCTTTTGTTTGTTGATCAAAGGAGTAAGTGTTTGTGTTGATGACCATTGATGATGATTGTGATCCAGAAAGACCTGACATTAATCAAATTACAATTGAGTTTGCTTTACATTGTCGGGTCACTTTTTTTTCCTCTTACATGGTAAACTTGAATGTATTAATACAAGGTTGTTGCATATTACATTGTTGATTACATTTGATTATTATGTGTAATTGATGAAGAGTATCTCAACAATAAATGTGAATACAATTTAAATTCAATTTCAAGCTCTTTCACCGAAGGCAAATTGAATCCCAATCAAGATTCATTTACTTTCACGCAATCCAATTAATTCACTTTGACTATCATAATTAAGATGATTGTTGACAAATAAGGTTACCAATTAATTAGATTGAAAGTGAAAATGTTTTCTCATCAAATAATGTTAATCAAAATCACAACCAAATATGAAAACATTGCAAGATTTACAATTTTGTTGGATAAATTGAAATGTAAGTCACTTAATGTTGGTTAGTGAATCAGTAATTCAAGGGATTGGTTGATTGTTGGTGTTAGTAGTAGGATGAAGATGGACTCGTCAACCTTAAAGTTAATTGTTTCAACTGTAAAATGTAAATTGGTGAACAAAAAAGGTAGTCAATAGGGATTGATTAACAATGTAAAAAGAGCAGTAGAAAGTAGCAATTAAGGGTTTCCATTTTGTAACCTTGCGAGTAAATCAAACGCAATTACCTTTAATTATTTTCCAGTTAAATCGGGAAAGAAAGCAAAATTACGATTCAAATGTATGATAAGGATAAAACTGTCATCTTGAGCCTCTTAATAATAGTTACATAATTATATTGCTATTGAAACTTGACCATCAGAGTAATGATCATCAATTATATTTATTATCAAATTAACATATTGTTAAGGAGGAGAAACATTTAGTTTTTGTTGTAACCAGAAAAAAAAGATTGTTTAATTGTTCACTTTCCCTTTTCAAATGGAAACACAACTGAT